TATGAAACCTTGATTAATGATAGAGAAAGACGCCAAACGAGTAGATTGGATAGGGGGAGAACTATTGTATCATCTCCTTCTATTCCTATTGTATCATCTCCTTCTCTTTTTTGTATCATCTCCTTCTAATTCTATTCCAATCCCAAATCCTTTCTCACCATAGCCTTGCATATCGGATGGTATCTGTTTTCGAATTTCTTGAAAAATTGCACAGCGAGTTGATGACTTACTTTGTTTAATAGCATATAACCAGGTCGAACGAATTTCATTCTTCCTGTAGTACCCAAAAATTCACCTAATTTATTTTCAAAATCTTGTGTGCCACCAGTAACTTGTAAATAGAACCATCTGAATTTGATTTCTGCATTGGGACTTGAACTATATTGATTTTTGTACAATTGAGACATGAGAAACATTGCTTTTGGATTTTGTTTCCATGAAAAATCTGCCACTTTTTCATAAGATATCAATGTATCGAGTAACACAATATGTTGGTTTGCTGTAAAACTTGTAATTTCTCCAGGTACAAACACTGTATCGCCATTATCTTTGTTACTTGCGTATAAATACCATCTCTTGGCCAATTTATAGCATACGTCTGCCAATGAAGTATCAAATTTAGGGTCCACAGGTGGCATTCCTGGCTTGAATAACCATTCATCCCAGTCTATTCCATCCAAACTCTGTTTCTCGTCTTTGAAATAATTGTATAAATAGTCGACAAATTGATAAGTATCCAAAGACTTGTACCTGAAATGTTTGAAATAATCGCGAATAAAATGATCAAATTTACTCTTACCAACAGTCTTTTCAATCAAGTACAACAAGTTGAACCCTTTTTCATAAGGTACAGTTGAAAACGAATCATCTGGATCTTGTCCGTTTTTCAAGTTTTGAACCAATACGGAATATTTATCAACATTGTCACCCATTGATTTCAAATCATTCTCCAAGTCAGTCCAGCCTATTATAGCGCTAAATTGCCGTACTTGCTCACCATACGCCTCTGCTTCTTTGTCATTCATTCCATTGTTTTTAGCCTCAATAACAGCAATGGCTTCTAAAAGTCTTCTTTCAATGTACATTGTCCATCCTTCATTCAACCAAAAATGTTCCCATGAACAATTTGTAACCAAATTCCCTGACCAAGAATGAGCTAATTCATGAGCAACAACATTTACCAAGGACCTGTCACCACAGATCAATGTTGGAGTTAATTGACAAAGGTTAGGTATTTCCATTCCTCCGTATGGGAAACTAGCTGGTAAAACCAAAGAGTCAAATCTCTGCCATTCATAATCAAAGATCAAGTTTTCGGCAATTTGGATAAATTTCTCGGTGTCTTTTTCAAACTCCCATTTACATTTATCTAAATTCACTGGTTCTGTCATTATATCACTTCTAGGTCCAATGGAAGCACGGGCAATGTCACCTGAAGCAATAGAAACCAAATATGATGGAATAGGTACCGGTTGTTTGAAGAAATAAGTATCCTTTTCCTGCTTCACAAATAAACCAGACATCAATGTATTCAATGGTGATTTTACTGTATACTCAAAAGGCGATTTTATACCAGGTGTATCAAAACATGGAAACAAACTACGTGCATGAATAGCTTGACATTGACAAAATAAGTAAGGATACTTCTTACCATCTGTTGCCTCCTTATCGAGAAATTGTAATGCAGTGCATTTCGACGTTGTAGCAAATTCAATTGTTAACTCAAACTTGTTTGGAATGGACAAAGGTATCGCAATGGATAATTTTGAACCCAATGTCTGTTTCCTTTCGTGTAATTTGTATTCTACCGATTTGGTGTTGATTACAACGGTGTTCACATCAAGATAAGAGGTATCTAAATCAACGTGATCTGCTTTACCCTGATTTACTAAATGATATGTCACTTTACCAATAACAATCTTCTCGTCAAACTTAACATCGAAATGAAGAGTTGTTAACTCAACTGTGAAATTTTCATAGTTTGATAATGTGGATGGGTCAAGTTCCGGAGAAACTTTTGGACGGTTCAACCTTAGCATACTTGTCGTATCTGTGCCTCAATTGGGGGGGTGTAAATGTAATACACTTGCCTGTAAATGCAAAGAGATGAGATTGAAAAATTGACTTGTTAATTGCAGCGGCTACCATATGTGCCTACAAGCATTTGATGGGAGGGGAGAATGGAGGGCATGGAGAGCATGGAGGGCATGGAGGGCATGGAGGGCATGGAGAGCATGGAGGGCATGGAGGGCATGGAGAGCATGGAGGACATGGAGAGCATGGAGAGCATGGAGGACATGGAGAGCATGGAGAGCATGGAGGGCATGACGCGAGCATGTTGGAACCTTTCCTAAAGGTGTGTAGTCATTCCTTACGTCAGTGCTGCTCCACTTTCATGCTCTGCTCGATAGTGTTGCATCCATTTCTAGAAAATATTTAAACTTCTAAAATGAATTAAAATTGATTGGTATATCATTACAATTTACAATCATTTGAAGGAAATGTCCCAGATTGAACTTTATTGTATCAATGAGTGATGAAAAAACTTTGGATTTTAGGTAACTTGTCCGAGTGGTTAAGGAGACTGACTCGAATTAATTGAGCCTTGAAAAAGGTCCTTTAGTAATCAGTTGGGCTTTGCCCGCGCAGGTTCAAATCCTGCAGTTGCCGTTTTTTTTTAATTTTTTTTTTTGAAATTTACACCTTGAAAGATAAAGCAACACTATCGAGCAAGACCTCGCTTTACTCGATAGTGGTGCACATTGACTAGCGACATTAGGGAGTAGAGCGAGATAGCGTAAGATCAAGCAGAATGCTTTTGAATATGTGACTTACACTTTGTGGGTTTCTCTCTTTTTGTCACGATAAAGCTACACAACTAAACTCGTCATGTTTCAACTACCAGAAACATGAAATTGCGTCTCTCCTTTTCTCTTTAGTCCTACTAGCTTCATTCAGTAATGTATGAGCTAGCCGCCGCTTCTAAAAGAGGAAAAAAAAATAAAATTTCCTTTGGAAATTTTTCAAGTTTCACATCTTTTATCAAAACGATCTTTTCCTCTCCTCATCAGCACAACAAAGAATAGTAGACTCGTTCCTCGATAGTAGATACTAGAGCACCTTCTATTAGATACTAGAGCACCTTCTACTAGATTACTTATCTACTATATCGTTCCTCAATAGTAGATACTAGAGTTCTTTCTACTATCTCGCTACGCTCGATAGTAGAGACTGCAATGCCACGATCCTCTAAGAAACCAAAAAAGAATTCATTACCCCCCCAAGATTTCCAAAAAATTTCTCCACAGATTACAAAATTTAAGCAAAGACTACGATCAGCTCAATCGACACCTCTTTCACAAACAACAGCATCGAAACTAACATCAAGATGGCCGATATATAGAATCATCCATCAATGTACGCGGTACGTTTTTGATCTTTACCAAGAAGGCAAAATCTCTGCTGAGTTATATGAATGGTTGAAAGTGCAAGATTATGTTGATGCACCATTAATGGGTAAATGGAAAAAACGAGGTTATGAAAAGTTATGTTGTTTAAACTGTATAAATGGCGAAAAGGTTTGTGTTTGTCGAGTTCCCAAGATTGAATTGTTGAAGAAGGGGGAGGAGTCCAAAAAGTGCAAGGAAAAGGAAACGGAAAGGGAGATGGAGATGGAGATGGAGATGGAGGAGAAGAACGTGGAGAAGGAGAAACTGGTGTCGATGAGAAGAGGCGATATTTCTGCGAGGGTTGATGTGGAATGTGTTACTTGTGGATGCCGAGGTTGTGCATCAACTGACTAGAGGATTGTGTTGGTCAGATAATATTCTCAAATTAAACTGGAATCTATATATCAAAAGCTTTACCCTGTACTTCTAATCATTTCTTTCCAACTTTCTTAGATCCAAAATTATATTCTTAATATTACTACTTTTCAATTCTTCTAGGTCATTAAATCCTCGTTTCAAAATGGGACTCAGATGTATAGATAATTGGGGATGATTCAAGTTCCTCAATATCAAATCATCATCATCATATGACGCTATACCCATTGTACCATTTCCCACAATATTGCTCAATTTCGAATGTGACGATGCTACTGCTGCTGCTGCTGCTGCTGCTGTATTTAAATAAGTAGTGGCTGCCATTGATTGCTGTTGTGGTTGCTGCTGCTGCAGCAGTTGTTGTTGTTGTTGTTGTTGTTGTTGTTGCTGCTGTTGTGATGGTAGTTGTTGTTGGTGTACCGTGCTCAATGGCGGTACATGTAGCGAATGACAATGTTGACTACTCATTAACAATGGACTGAAGTAAAAATCATCTAAATAAGAAGGGGGACTATTCCATAGTTTCTTCATTATTGAACTGGTTTGTGGTGTAGTTCTTATACTGGTACTTCTCAATGGTGTTTTTTTGCTGCTGGATTTAGGTGTACGAGACTTACCCAAGAAAACCATATGATGTAGATGCTGCAGTTGAGGATACTGTTGGTATTGTTGTTGTTGCTGCTGCTGGTACTGTTGCTGCGATTGTTGTGTGTACAGTTGCTGTGGTTGTTGTGGGTACAGTTGCTGTAGCTGTTGTCGCAGTTGTTGGTCTTGTTGTTGGTCATGCTGTTGATCCTGTGGGTAGTATTGTTTTGGCTGGTTTGAATATTGGAATAGGTTGTTATTTGCTGGTGTTAGTGGTTCTAATAAAGGACCAGTTTCACTTGTTCTTAATGGAGATAATTCAAAATTTGAGTTACAACTAAAAGATGAAGTATACGTAAGATTCTTTTCAGCTATAATGGGTTTATCGGGAGACTTTCCCTCATCATTGATTATAAATCGTGGATTAGTTGTTCGTTGTTGTTTTGGAGTAGCGGTGATGGATACCACAGGTAGCAGATTAATAGAAGGTAATTTAATTGCTTGATTATTGGGAGAAAGCACTTGCCAACTAGCATAGTCGATATTATCCCTTAAAGTATTTTGTTCCGACTTGAATTTTTTCATAGGTGGGTCAAGTAGAGTGATATCCTCATCATCTTCATCTTCGTATTCATCATCATCACCGCCATTATGGGAAAAATCTCTCTTTTTGGTATAAGTTGGAGAAGACAACAACGCTACTAGTTTTCGATTTCTCTTGAATGATTTAGTTTCCGTTTCTTGAGTCAAAGCAGAAAGAGATACTGATGCATTGCTTTGCTTTTTATGCTTGCGTTTTCCTTTTCCATCTTTCTCTTCTTCATCTTCATCTTCATCTTCATCTTCAACTTCAACTTCAACTTCACCCTCTTCTTCTTCTTCTATTACTCGTTTTTCTGTTTGTGCTCTTGCTTTTCCTTCTTCACCTTGCTTACCTTCTTCTTTTTCTTTTTCTTTTTCTCTTTCTCTTTGTTTTGCTTCTACTTCCTCGCGTAGCTTCTTTGCCGCGGCATTGGCAGCGTTTATTTTCGTAGCCTGATTTATTTGATCCATTACTTCATGGTATGATGATTTCTTAACGCTTCTACTTCTAAGGAACTGCTCTTCATAACCAGGTTTAATACACCAAAAATGGCCTTTACCATCTTTAGATTTCTCTCCCTTAACGAATGCTTTATTTAGAGACAAGTTATGCCTAATTGAGTTCTGCCAGCCCACATCTTCTTTTTTGTAAAATCTAAATGTTTCTGATATCCATTGATAAATGTGAGATAATGTTAATTTTTTCTCTGGATGTGATAAAATGGAAATTCCAATTAAAGTCGCGTATGAGTATGGCGGTTTCTCTTCTGAATAAAGGGTAAATGGGGCCGAACCAGACTTGGGATTAGAGCCGGAGCTAGAACCAGAACCAGAGCTAGATGCAGAGCCAGAACCAGATGCAGAACCAGATGCAGAGCTAGAACCAGATGCAGCAGACTCTAAAGATTTGAATTTTTTCTGTTTCTTTATTGGTGACCTATGATTAGTAGAGTCTTCAAATGTATTGAAAAGAAGACGATGATGATAATTATGGTGGTTCTGTGGTGACGATAAAGCAGGGGACAAATAACTCGACTTTATTAACAGATTTTGATCTAGATTTGATATCACTGTTGGGTCCAAATGTATTGCTCTTAGTGGAGTGGAAAAGGCGTCGTATATCTGGTTATGAGTAACTCTTTTGGAATACGTTGGTGGAGTTTGCGTTATAGCTGTTGATTTATTGGTATTGGTTATTACTTTTGACGGGGTAGATGTGGATGTAAGTGAAGCATCTGAAAAGATGTTTGGATAATAGTTTGTTGAGTCCAGTAAGGGTATCCTTGACGTTAACCTTTCAGTGGTGAAGGACATCTCTAATATAAGCAAAAAGTAGTACTGCGTATCTAGCGGAAACTAGTAAAGACGGCAGAAAGACTCTTTTCCGTGGGCTAGGTCAGGAAGCTTAAATTGTGTACTTGCTCCAAGGGAATTGCTTCAAGGGAATTGCTTCAAGGGAATTGCTTCAAGGGAATTGCTCCAAGGGAATTGCTTCAAGGGAATTGCTTCAAGGGAATTGCTTCAAGGGAATTGTGTACTTGTTCCAAGGGAATTGTGTGCTAGCAAAGTAAATTGTTTTGTCTGTAGATATCTAGTATTAAAATAGTATTGTAGACGTTATATTTCACGTTATATAACTGACTTTATATGATTACTTCTCAAAACGGCAAACAAAAATTCTCTTTATTTTCAAAAAATCTCAAACTTCTCTTACTGAAATGGAACATGGAATACCAAAAATGCTAGTTGCAAAAAGTATAGCTGTTTGCTCACTGTAAATATTCTTTTTTCTGTTGCTCTTCTTTTAAGTCATGTCAAATAATGAAAATCCGTGTATTTATTGTTAGCCTAGTTGAAAATCGACTCAACACGTAAAAGGAGATGGGACGCGTGTTTTCTTCTTTTTTCTGTTTAACGCGAAATGTTGACGTATGTATGTATGGGCGCTTTTTAAAATAACGCGAAGAAAACAATGAAGAAATTTTTGAAATACGCGCAACTGTTGGATTAGTTTTACTATAAGATGTAAATATAACACAGAGTGAGGGAATAGGATGCATATGGGTTCAATGCTAGAGAAAGGAGCGTGTATATACAAGTGGTTCGATAACAAAAAATATTAAGCAAGTCAGCTTAGTGGTACAATGTAATTCTTTAGAATAAATATTTCTTATTCTCTAAACAATATAGATTAGACCTCAACGTGTCAACGTTGGGGTCATAAATGATAAAGTGCTAATAGTTGGATTATTACAAAATTAAAACAACAACAGATAAAACGGTTAGATTGACTGCTACCGTGTGGTGCGCTACCACCTACACTATCGAGCAAAGCGAGATAGTAAAGCAACATTGACTACCTGCACTATCGAGCAGAGCGAGTCGGTGTCGGTAATGAGTGTTGCTCCACTATCTCGCTTCGCTCGATAGTTTCGATAGTGTCGGTGACAGCTGGTGACGGTGACAGTCGGTGTTGCTCCACTACCTCGCTTCGCTCTATAGTCTCGATAGTAACGGTAGCAGCTAGTGTGCTCCACTATTTCGCTCTTCTCAATAGTGTCGATAGTGTCGCCATTTTTTGTCCATAATTGCACGACTTTTCACTTGAAAAATTGAATTATAAGCAAGTACTTCTTTGGTAATTACCACGGCTTCTTTCCCCCCCCCCCCCCCCCTCTCTTCAAGTCATTGGTTACGTTGTCTGTCTACACATGGACGACTCGGTTAGATCTTTAATTAGATTCGTCAGTAGAGGGTTCTACGGTACTCCATATGTCCTTATATTAGACGCAGTGCTACGTCACTCGGTGTTATCAGAAGATGATTTAATACATTTAATTGGTATCAAGAGAAAAGAATTGAGGTCTCTATGTAATAGGCTAGTGGAAGATAGGTTGCTAGTGAACCACATTCAAAGAGAGGATAATGGGCAACAGAAATACATTACGCGAACATATTTCTATATCCACGTCACCGAAGCAATAGATTCAATCAAGTGGAAAGTTCATTCTATAGTCAACAATTTAAAACAAGAAATGTCCAATTTTGGTAACCCTCAGGGATACATGTGTCCGCGGTGTGGTAAGAAGATATCGCAGTTGGATGCGATATCGTTGCTAAGTGAAGACAAGACTGAGTTCATTTGTGACACGTGTCAAGGAGTTTTAATTGAAGATGATTCTTCGCAACAAGCAATAATGAAGCAAGAAAAATTGGAAGATTTGATGCTACAAATCGATCCCATTATTAAGTACTTGAAAAAAATCGATGATATACAAATACAAGATAATGATTTCGAAAGTAGTTTATTGCAAGCAATACCGGCACAGTCTATGACAACTGCACAATACGCATTATCTAACAAGGTCAGTTCTAAATCGAGATCTCAAGCACAAGCTATGTTAAACGCAACACTAAGATCACAAGCCACCCTCCATGTTTCTATCACGGCAAATGATGAGAACTACGAGCGTGAACAGTTGGAAAAAGAACGAAGAAGACAGAAATTGGAACAGAATGCCTTACCATCTTGGCATTCGAGTAGTACTGTTGGTGAAAAGGGAAAATTGGACTATATGAGAAGTGAAGAAAACGAGGAGCAGGATAGTGGTGAAGATTCAGTTGTGAAAAGGGAGCAAGATAATAAAGAGGGCTCTCTCTTGGATGCAGGAGAAGCAACAACACCAACACCATCGACACAAATAAAGATGGAAAACATTGCGTTTCCGGGTGATGCCAAGGAGGGTAACAATAGTGAAAAGAGCTCGGTATTACCTACTCCTGAGCCTACTAATGAAGACACAGCATCCGCAGAAAATCTATTAGTAAATGGAGGAGTTGCCGATATTAAGGATAAAGAAGCTCAAGATGCATTGGCGGCGTATTATGCTAAATTAGCACAACAAGAAGGCGAAGACGATGATGATGATGATGATGAGGAGGAGGAGGAGGAGGAGGAGGAGGAGGAGGAGGCTGGAGAAGAGGCTGTTGGAAAAGAGGGTGCTAGAGATGAAGAGAGCAAAGACGAAGGGGTCAAAAACAACGTAGACAATAATGATGTTGAAGACGACGACGATGATGATGATGATGATGAGGAAGATTTTGATGACTTGATATAGAGAAAAATCTTTTATACAAATTGGCTTATTTTAATCTGTTTTTACTTTACTTTATTACTATTATATCTCAACACTAGTGGAAAATTGAGTTGGATATTTATCTAAAGGTGAAGTTGAGTGTGTAAGGATGCAATTGAAACTAGTACCATTGCCATTAGTTTCGCATTTCAGTATTGTTTTTCTATTCTATCTCCTTTCATTTTCGCACCAATTTAAAGAAAAAATTTAATTGTATTAGTATGCTGTTAATATGCTCACCACCTTAATCATCTCTATACTCGGAGACTATTTCTACACAATCAAATCTTAGAATACAGCATTTTACTCGTGTAAGCTATTCAGTACTGCTCCACTATCTCGCTTCGCTCGATAGTGTCGGTCGATATTGTCGGTGTAGTCAGGTCGCTTCGCTCCCTAGTGTCTCAACCATCCTATCTTTTGTCTTAAATTCAATCTACAATTTACACAACTTAAAAATATTTAGTTGACAGACAATCTAGTTTCCACCATGCACTCTAATACCTCTATCTCATCTACAACTTTTTATTTCTTTGTCCCTCTTACACTCCTATCCCATTGCCTTATTAAGTCCAAGACAACTTTACAATGACAACTAGACAATTCTCTACTTCCGTTCTATTCTACTCCCCTACTCCCCTACTCCCCTACTGTTTTCTTTAAGATGTTCAAGCAGGCAGAACTGGAAATCAAATAATAATATACTTACCCCATAATACACACGGGATTGATTGCTAGTGTGCTCCACTATCTCGCTCTCCTCGATAGTGTCGCTAGCCTCACCCTTTTGCTCCGCTTGTTTCGGTGCAAGCGAGCGAAAAAAAATCAAGTCATAAAATGAAGAGAAAAAAAAAAATGACATGCTCGGAACACAATTTAAGGCCGAGTAAAAGAGTTAGAGTAAGCAATTTTAATTACTAGCAATAACTAGGTAGTCAAGAAGCTTAAGTTTATTTCGGTAAAGGTTTCATAGAAGCAAATTATTAAATCAAAACAGTTTGTATACTTTTATATTTTGTGTGTCTGCGACGGTGAGCTCAGAAAAGTTTTTTCTTTTTTATTATTATGTCAATAGGTTCAGGAATTGTCACTCCACATTCTAGACCGGGTACCCCAGCTGATCTCGTTACACCACCGGATCAACAGCTGAAACTGAATCCAGCTGCTTTGCATATTCCATCGTCGTCGGCCGTCTCAGCCAGGTCACCAATGTCCAATGCCGCAGGAGGAGGAGGATCTTCTTCAAATCATAGTCATCACTTGCACTTGTCATCAAAGCAAAACAATGTGCCCTCGTATGAGAAACCAATTTACGAGCAATTGTTGGCCATGTATAAGAATTTGTTATCACTCAAGAATAATAGATCAAAGTACATTAATCTGAAGCAAGTTTATCAAATATACAATTCATTTTTAGACATTATTAATGATTTGAAGGTGACAAGAAAAGACGAAGAGTTGAAGGGGATAACTTTACAGTTGCCCAATGGTAATGATTCAATTATAGACGACAATTTTCAGTTGTTAAGTTTATGCTTTGTCACCTGTGGGTTGATCAAGTTTGCTCCTGCAACTTATTCAAGTTTGAGTACTGTTATGAAGTTGTTGACTCATTTGAAAGAATGTAAGGTATATACAATGGATGACTTACAGCCCGTTGGTACGAGATTGGAGGAAATTGGGGACATCTTGGTGACAAGTCAGGACAAGTACGAAGATGAAGATGAAAACGATGGAGACAAAAAGGAGGGACAAAATCATCAGATTGAAGAAACGTTATTGAGAAATAAATTGAATAAGTGCAACGCCTTGTACCAAGAGTTGGTTGATAACTTCAATAACTTTCCTCTGGACTTGGAACCAGTTTATCGTGAATTGGTTGATTTGAGACAGCAAATAATCAACTTGTATACAGACTATCAAGATGTGTCGTCTCTGGCTCAGGACCAGGATCAAGATCAAGAAAAACAACGATCACTTAGTGACAAGATTGTCGCTATTAAACAAGAGTTGAAAAGAATTGAAAAATTAAGAGATGAAGGAGATGGCAAGTTTCATAGTAATGAATCAATCAACGATGAGCAATTGGATTCTATCCAGCCTGTTATGAATGGATTGATTGATGATTGTAATAATTTAATTGCAGATGCACAAATGCATGAAGAAGATTTGTCACTTGAGTCACTTACAATAGAAGATGACAAGGATCTAGTAGACTTGAAGCAAGAATACGCTACAATTTATAAGCAACTCCAAGATTTAAAATTAACGTTGGAGAATTTATTAGTTACAAGAAGATGGACACTAAGAGAAACCGATCTTTATAATTATCAAAAGCTACTCAAAACAGTAGATGAAGAGAGAATTCAAATTGTTGCAAAAACACCAAAAGGTAAGCTCAAGAAATACCAGTTATTAGTTCTTTATTCATTACGTCGTTGCTACTCGATTGTTTATAAACTATTGGAAAGCAGTGAGCCAGTAAGTGAAAGTTTGACTCCTATACATAATCAGTTGTCCACTGTGAAGAGATGTTTATTGGAATTGAAAAGAGTAGACGGGGTGAATAATTTGAGAGAATTATACCCTTTCCAGTTTAAATTGGCATCGATAGATAATATGAGAATAGATGGCAAGTTCATGGTTGACACAACTGTTCCTGAAGGACAAGGTGCCCTTTGCGCATTGCTTAGTGAATGTTTTGATATTTTACAAGAAATGAAAATCGAAGCAGAAGAAAAGGAAATGGAGGAAGAAGAGGACGGGGATGGAGAAGAAAACATTGATAATGATGGTAATAGAAACGACGATGAAGTAGGACGTATGGTTGCCCATGGAGGCAGTTTTACTAATTCAAAAGAGGAGAATAACGGATTTACCAATTCTACAAGCACTGGAGAACCCGATGATGTTGAAGTGAAAAGAAACAGGTTTAAGGAGTTTAACGAGGCTGACTATGACTTGGATAGTGTTGATGAAGACGAAGATATTGATGAGGATGATGACTATGAAATCAGCGGCGATGACGAGTATGAGGGAAATGACTATTACTGAGCAAGCAACAAGCGACGATGACGAGTATGAGGGAAATGACTATTACTGAGCAAGCAACAAGCGACGATGACGAGTATGAGGGAAATGACTATTACTGAGCAAGCAACAAGCGACGATGACGAGTATGAGGGAAATGACTATTACTGAGCAAGCAACAAGCGACGATGACGAGTATGAGGGAAATGACTATTACTGAGCAAGCAACAAGCGACGATGACGAGTATGAGGGAAACGACTATTACTGAGCAAGCAACAAGCGGAGAGAGAAAAAGAAAGAACAAAAAAGGATTGGGTGTTTTTATATTTTGGTAAACAACAAAATTGGTTTCACAATTTATTTAGATAGATATTGGTACCGTTTATAAGAAGAAAAGAAAAAAGAACAAAAAAAAAAAAATAAGTAAAAAAACAGAGAAAGAAAGAAAAGAAAGAAAAATAAAGAGAGTAAAAGGAGAAGATTTAATCCAAGAGGCTTGCAATATGAAGCCTCCTCTCCCCTAACCTATAAGTATATGTATTTTCCTCTATATTTTTTAATAACATAGACTCTCTATAATAAAAAGAAAATCCTCAACTTCAATGCTAATGCCCTTTAAATAGATATCTTCCTTAAAGTGCTACCATATGTACTATTTTTAATAGAGCTAAATTTAGCAGAGCCTTTTTTTTTTTTCACTAAGAAGGAAAAAAGAAAAGGATTGTTAGCAAGAATAAAAAACTCTATAAGAAGAGGTTAATTTTTAGACTGAGACGGTGCTAAGGAGACGATATTGGGTAAAACGCCACCGGGGAGGTAGTCTTTATTCACTAGACTATTAGGTTTCTTTTTCTTTTTGCTGTCAAATTCGAAAGGAGGTGCTGTTTTTCATTTTTTGTTCATTATGATGTCTGCTGGGTTTCATTGGGGCAATTCAAATTACAGCGGTACTAGCACATTAGACAAGCCTAGTACGTTGCCCAATAGTGTACCGAGACTACACCATGAGTCATCCTCGTCAGTAGTCTCTCACCAGCATGGTAAGAAAAGGAAAAGATTTGATAACGAGGAGAATGACGATGGTGGCAATAACTATAGTCATCATCACCATCAGCGGTCTATACTAGATTCCAAGCTGAAAAATGTGCCTAGCCTAGTAACAAAAAAGTTTAAGAAAAGCAAGACTCCTAAAATTATAGGTCAGCCATTACCTACTTCGCGATTAATTGAGTCCCTTGATAAATCAAATTTGCAAAAATTACTAAATTCATTAATTGATATCCACCCCGAGTTGGTCAAAACAGTTAGCAAGATAACGCCATATCCTTCGATGGAGAATTTACTTTGCATATTGAATGAAAAATTGAGCCACATTGTTCATAATTTACCATATAAATGTGATTCCTCAAGTGATTATTCGTATTTGAGAATCAAACCTTATTTACAGGAATTTCTCTCCTGTTTGGAAGATTACGTGCTATGCATATTACCTCACAATCAGCAGCAGCAGCAACAGCAGCAACAGCAACAGCAACAACAGCAACAGCAACAGCAACAGCAGCAACAGCAACAACAACAACAGCAGCAGCAGCAACACCACAATCACTACCATCACCACCTGCTCTTTGATTCGTTGAATTTTCTTCACCAAGCAACAGCACTCATCCATAAATTACCAAATTTCACGAATTCGGAATTCCAATATATTAGAAACTTGACCTATGAGCAACTTGTCAATTGTTGGCTAATTATCATAAATCAAGATACAGAAGAAGAATTTTATAAGATTATCCAAGAATTAGATATGATTGAAAAATTAAAAATACATATTGAACAAGGAGATGCTAAGTTCAACAAAGTTATTGAATCTATTGAGTGCAAAATGAGCTTTTACGAGGAGCAGAATGAGAACAAGAGTGATGGGAGAAGCATGACGTTGAACGAAATGATTACCGTTGACTATTCACAGTTTTCCATTGCAAATACTTCTTCTATATAGATACAAGGCTTATTTGATAGACATATACACACATATAGTTAACGCTCCCTTTCATATAAATATAAGACGAATCTAGTCCATCCGCTAGTTTTTATTGAACCATACGTATTATATTTTCCCTTTCTTTATCTAATGATGGATTACATAATCCAAAAAAGAAAATGAAGAACCAGCTTTTGTTTCTCCACATTATCAGGCTTTTGATGAACATCGCTCTGTAACTTTGGTGGTCCTTTCAGTATTTTTGGCCATGATTGAGCTTAGAGGTAAAAACGCCTTGATAACAGGTGGAAGTGCTGGTTTAGGAGCAGCGGTCGCGCACCAATTAGCAGCAGAAGGAGTCAACATTGCAATCAATTATGCACATTCGAAAGAACGTGCGGATTCGTTATCTCAGGATCTCGAAGCTAAATACAATGTGAAAACAATAACAATACAAGGTGATGTGTTTGATGCGCCAAACCTTCACAGATTGGTTGACAAAACGGTTTCTGAACTAGGCGGGATCGACATTCTTATATCTAATGCAGGATGGACCAAAATTGTAGATTACCAAGATTTGGAAGCAATGGATGAAGAATTGTGGGATGGAACATTCTCGGCCAACGTAAAAGCTCACTATTTCTTATTCAAAGCAGCGAAACCGTACTTTGACCAGAATTTGGACGGAGGAGTGTTTATTGCAAGTGCATCAGTTGCAGGTCGTATGGTTTTTGGATCTTCAATCCCTTATGCTGTCAGCAAAGCAGCACTAATTCATTTAATAAAGATGTTGGCCAAAACACAGGGCCCGAAAGTTAGATTACATGCAGTGTGTCCCGGATTATTGTTAACTGAATGGGGTCAACGATTTAGTGAAGAGAAAATTCAAGCTGCTCTTGGTAAATCTCCCCTCGGAAAAATCACTGATATTGATGAATGTGCTTCCCAGTTTGTATTGTTGAGTAAATTGGCTACTCTGACAGGTACTGTTGTCGCTATGGATGCTGGTATTTCTTTGTGATCTGGTTATATCACGTGACATAAAAATGTGATTTTTAGGAGGCTTGTCCTGTTCTGTATGCAATCTTGTTGAGTGACAAGACAAGACAAGACCATGTTTTTAAATTTTTGTTAGGCGGAGTTTACCATTAGGGGAAAAATATACTTTTTACAATATTGTTTAAATGAGTCTCTTGACATAGGCGCGGCGGCTCCTTTAGAAATGTATTAGAGTCTATTGTATAAGTTTTTGAAAGTCTTCTCGCATTTACTTTTTGTAGTAAAGCTGGTTTTGTAGATATTATTGGTACTAGGGGTGGTTGGTCGTATGGGTGAAAATTAGGGCGTAACGGTGCTGTTTGATCGGGATCTTTTTTGGGCTCTAGCCGCCGTCCTCACTTGCAGAAACAGAAGTCACCGAACAAACAAAAAGCGAAATAGAAAATAAAATAATATAGGAAACCAGTAGTAAGCAAAAGTAACAAAGCACCAGGCACCAGGCACCAGGCACCAGGCACCAAACACCAAGCCCCAAGCAACAAGTCGCAGGCGCCAGGTACCTATAAACCAGTGTCATTTTATTGCTATCAAAACAACAGCATTACACGCTGTTGTGGAAAGTGCTTAAGAAGAGATGTCCTTCAAAAATACTGGATCCTCTGTGTATTCCTCCTGTCTGGAGATGAGTCTTTCCTCCGGGATGCTTGTGCTGCTGGCACAAGAATGGGTCCTGTTTATCGATCGTGCTGAGTACCAACAGAGTTGTTACCAAGGTGTGCCCGTGCTCAACACAAATGTCGGGCTCATCATGGATAAGTTTAGCCAGCCGCTACCGCTAGTGCAAGAGTCATGGCGGTTGTATACTTCCAGCCATGACGGGGCATTCAACTATAGTATTGTGCCCATAATATATGCCATCAGTGTCTCCGCAGTGATCATATGGTTCTTAACAGTGTTTGTGATCACCAACTATCGAAGAGGCACATGGCTTTTGAAAGGGTCGTGTATTGTGCTGCTGGTGTATGTATTAGTAGTGGTGGTGAAACTGATACTAGAGTTGCACACCGAGCAGCGGGAGGGGTACCTCCATGGAGCACAAGTGTTGCATGTAGTCAATCGAACAAGGTCAGTAGGCATCATAGAATTGGTTGCAGTGTTTTTGTTATTGGTAAATGAGGTGCAGATAGTAATGCGGTTGTTCCCGCGGCGGCGGGACAAGCGTGTTACTTTTTACGTTGGCGTGGCAGCCAGTGTTGCTTCTCAAGTAATGTGGAGCATAACCCAGTTTCATCAGTTTCCTGTTGGGGACGAGTCCGGAGCCATCATGCCAGCATTTGTATACTTGGTGAGAATTGCCATGGCGTTATGCTATGCTGTTATTCTCACCGTTTACATAATGAGGCACGTAATTTTAATCATTGGGCAGAGACAGATGTGGGTGCTTAGTGCTCTTACGCTATTGTTTGTATTCAGTCCTTTTGGCTTTTTTGTTGCAGATGTGCTGAATGGGTTTGTTTACGAGTTGTCCGAAGTGTTTTCTGTTGTGAACTATGTTATTGGGGTAGTAATACCGTGGGAGTGGTGTAACAGATTTGAAACGGTTGTGAGAATGAAAGAGAAGGAGGGAGTGCTAGGGAGGAGGTTCTACGAAGAAGAAGTAGATCTGCACCGGCGCGAGCGCTTGCAGGGATATCCGTACAACGGAGATGGACATCCAAATGTAAAGGTGCACCATAAAGATAATATGTTTACGACATTGACGGACAGATTTATTGCAGCAGCGTTTTCCATACCAAGGTCAGAGAGCGTTACACCGAGTGTCGCACCAGCAGAGGTGAAGCAGAGAAATGTTTATGTGTATGCAGCAAAGGAAGTAGTTTTGTAAAAAAAAAATAGAAACCGTGCTTATGCCAGTATATACCTACAAAAGCAGAAAACTCTAGTGTATTATCGAGCACCGCGTCAACTACTCTTCACTGTGAACCACTAAGTCAAGAAAAATGAAGACACAGTTGTACCTCTTGTACTCAAAGGCCTTGTTTTTTCAATTCTATGTAGTCTGCTTCCGCCAAGACATGCCCATGTTCATCCTCTACTTCTATATAGTGCAGTTTATTCATTGAAGTGATAGATGCATTGAGCTGCTGTACGTCAGCTATGGCTGTGATACCGTTAAACTTGCGTGTGTCTGAGACACCGAGAGCATGCAAACCTTGCAAGTGGCGAGCACCAGCAAAGTGGGCAGAAAATGCCTTTGATCCAGTATACGTGGTGTTGCCACATATCTCGCACTGGTATGACTTGTGAAGTCCCTGTAGCTTGTATAGCCAGCGGGGCATACTTGGATCTAACTCTGGTTCTGACTCTGACTCTGACTTGCTAGAGTCATCCGAGTTATACTCGGCCAGGGTGAGTGCACAATCAATCTCCCGAGTTTCCCTCTGACAAGTTAGTTCTTGCGAGAGAGATTCCAGAAGGGTGCGTACTACGTCCCAATTAGCAACAGGCTTTGCCTGCTGAGAATTGCCACGTTTGTGCTTTTTTCCTCCAAGATGAGCTTTGAACACATTTTCATTGGTGAAGGAGCGGCCGCAACAATATCGAATAGGTAGTTTCTCCAAAGGTTTCAAAAGGGCATAAATGGAAAGGAGGTGAGTAGTCAAACTCTGAGTATATGCGTGATCGCGCAATTTTTCCACCATGGCGTTGTCAGTGATTGCCATTTTGCCTAGAAAGTCTCTGTAAGCTATGTTGTCACCTGTGATTTGGATGTACCATTGGTGGAAGGGACGTAAATCTATTTCCACAGGTTTAATGTGGTCTGCCTCCTGGCAAAGCACATTTTTTCTCGGCTGCTTTCCCAAAGCACCACGAAACATCATATAAGGGCGTCTCTGGTCAGGCGCTATGTCAGACAGCTGGGGAATCTTCGTGATAGCTTCATCGAAGGCGGAAAAGTCCATAGGCTGTGGAGTCAAGTGTACCTTTGTGCACTTGTTTAGGATGTTGTTGTACCTGTCAGCTAGAAAACGAAGCTCCCTCTTCTGTAGTAAAGAGAGGCTCCTTGATGAGGTGGGGTTCCCCCACCGTGGCCCCGATGCTAAGGCTTTTGGAAGAAGACGCGGATACCTGAGTAGCCTTTTAGTTATTGCATCTTCTATAGTATTTGCCTCCTGTAATAACGCTCTTTTTGACTCCATCGTGGGGGAAATTAAAAAAAAAGGGAATATTTATTTTTGAATATTTGTTTTTCGAGAAAGAGTGAACACATCAAGATCCTCTGCACAAGTAAACACCTACATCAAGATCCTCTGCACAAGTAAACACCTACAATAGTAAATTTACATTGAGTATCTGTACAATTTAAAGTAGATGTTCTAAAGAGAATACAACTCATTCTTTTGAATCAACTTTAATTTATATGTTCAGCGATGCTTTACAGAGTAAATCATCAGAGAGTGGTGTTTCGTAGAAGGTATTGCCTATGCAGCACACTTCTTACATACCTTGAGTTCAGAAATCCTTCTCTAATGTACCATCACTAGATTCTTATGAACCCATTTGTTTTATTGTCCATTTGAACCCCCTATTCTATTCAAAATGTCCTGGGCTCATCTCTCCTGTAACCCTTTTGGGGCTTTGAGCATCGCTTATGTAAAAACACGTGATTTAATCGACTGAATTTATTGACAGGTTCCATTGACGCGGTATCACAAAACCAAACGAAAAAAAAGAAAAACAATAACAGTGAAATTTTCAAAATTTTCAAATTTCACAAACGTTTTGAAATTTGAGAATGTTTAACTTTGTTTGAAATGTTGCTAGTAAAAGTCATCGCTAAGGATTTGAAAGGAAGTAACAGAGCAAAAAGGAACTGGGACGAGAAGATAATTTATTGAGGGCAGACGAAACGCAGTGGAACACATCAAGACGAACTGAAAAAAATAACTGGATCAGGCAGGGTTATTTGAATAACTGGATCAGGCAGGGCTATTTGAATTATTTAACCATCTTGATCCAAGTCTTTACAAGCTTTTGGGTTGTTTTCTTTTTCTCTAGTTTTTACATAGCTTTTTCTTTTTGTTCAATTATGGTTGCTACCAGTAGTCAGTCTACATCAACAGTTGTTTCCACATTAGTGGCAAACATAGTGCTATTTTCGATATTTGTCTCGGGTTTCCTACTTTTACGTTTAAAGTTTAAACGTATTTACAGTCCCAAATCATCAGCGTTTAATCTTGTTCCCGAGGACCAAAAACCAGAACCATTACCACGAGATCCAATCCGATGGATCTTTGTTCTATTGAATAAACCGGATTCATTCATATTGCAGCAATCTGGTTTGGATGGATACTTTTTCTTGAGGTATATCAGAACTTTTGCTCTTTTGTTTTTGTTTGGAATACTTAGTTGGATCATTTTGTTACCTGTGAATGCTACAAATGGGAACGGAAACAAGGGGTTTGACCAGCTCTCTATTGCCAACGTTAAGAATCAACGCAGATACTATGCTCATGTGTTTATCGGCTGGATATGGTATGGAATGGTGATGTTTGTTATTCATCGAGAATTGTTTTTTTTCAATTCTTTGAAAAATGCTGTTTTGTCATCACCGAAATATGCCATGAAATTATCTTCGAGAACCGTTTTATTCCAAAGTGTTCCCGATGTGTTATTGGACGAGAAGCAAATTTTCAAGATTTTCAACGGAGTTAAACGCATTTATGTTGCTAGAACTTCGAGAGAGTTGGAGGAAAAAGTGAACCAAAGAGCAAAGTTAGTTAATAAACTAGAAGTTGCCGAGAACAAGTTGTTGAAAATGGCAGTTAAAGCTCAAATGAAGGCAGAAAAGAAAAGAATTACTTTAGAGCCACCTGATGAACTAAGCACTTATGTGCCACAAAAGAAACGTCCTAGGTGTAAAACAGATGGGTTCTTTTCTCGTAAAGAAGACACGGTAAAATTTTGTCAAGAACAAATCCCCATCTTGGATAAACAAGTCAAACAAGCTCAAAAGAAATTTAGACACTATGTACCATTAAACTCGATTTTTGTTGAGTTTGAGAATCAATATTATGCGCAATTAGCCTACCAGTCCACGGTGAGCCATAATCCAATGAGAATGTCTCCTGCATATGTCGGGTTTGAGCCCGCTGATATTCAATGGATGAATTTGCGTATATTCTGGTGGGAAAGGATTATTAGGCAGGCATTGGCGTTTCTGGCGATTGTAGCCTTGGTTATATTCTGGGCTATCCCCGTCGCTTTTGTTGGTGTTATTTCCAATTTCACTTATTTGACCAATAAACTACACTGGCTTAGATGGATTGAACGATTACCTAAAGAGCTTTTTGGTATAGTAACTGGTATTTTACCAACAGCTTTATTATCAATATTGATGATTTTGCTACCCATGTTCATTCGTGGATTTGCCAAAATCGCCGGTTGTGTATCAGCACAGTCAATTGAGCTTTATACTCAACATGCGTATTTTGGATTTTTGATGGTAAACGGTTTCTTAGTGACTGCGTTGGCATCATCGGCCACTGCAACTGTGACAAAGGTAGTTGAAAACCCTAGTTCAGCAATGAGTATCCTAGCAGATAAACTTCCCTTATCTTCCAATTTTTACATTTCCTATTTGATTTTGCAAGGAATGACCATTGCTAGTGGATCCCTTTTCCAGATTGTAGGATTGTTTTTGTATTACATTTTAAGCTATATATTGGATAAAACAGTGAGACAAAAGTGGACGAGATATAGTAGCTTGGGCACACTTGCCTGGGGGACCGTTTTCCCACTTTTCACCCAATTGGCATGTATTACATTGATCTATTCAGTGATATCGCCATTAATTATCATATTTGGTTGCCTTGGATTCTTTTTGGTTTACGTTGCATACATGTATAATATCACCTATTGTCTTGCACAGGGACCCGACTCAAGAGGTCAACATTATCCAAGAGCATTATTTCATACCTTTGCTGGTATCTACTTGGGTCAGTTATGCATGCTTGGTATATTTGCAGTGGGCAAAGGATGGGGTCCTATTATTCTTCAAGTTATTGCTGTTGTAGCTACCATTTTCATAAATATAAACCTTTATCAAGGATTTGGCCATTTGCTCACGGTTATTCCAATGGACTGTATGAGATCATCAGATGGAGTTTCAAATACTGCGTCCTATCAAGGAAAATCGGAATATGAGGAAAAGGTGTTAGAGAAGTTGCGAAAGCATAAGAAATACGACGAAAAGATGGAACTAGAACGTGAAGGTGAAGGTGAAGGTGAAGGTGCACAAAAACAGGAGAGAGGAATAACCAAGAAAAATGAACAGAATGGGTTCAAGACAAGTGCAGATGATTCGCAAATTTCAGTTGTACCGCTCCTTGCTGATCGTGATTGGAAAACAACAAAATCGCAAAATGCTATAGTGAGATTTCTTAGACCAGATGTGTTTTTAAGCTATTCTCATTCAAAAAGATTACTACCCGAGACATTTAATATCGAACCAGAACAAGAGGATGACAAACATGCCTACAATGCACCTGCTATTTCAGCAAAGTGTCCAGGAGTATGGATCCCGAGGGATCCAATGAATTTGGCGGAAACTGAAATCAAGAACCTATCCTCAATTGTCGATATCAGTTTTGAAAATGCCTCGTTCAATGAAAAGGGTAAAATTATCTTTCTCGGAAAACCACCAAATTAAAAACATCAAAACATCAAAACATCAAAACATCAAAACATCAAAACATCAAAACATCAAAACCACCAAAACCACCAAAACCACCAAAACACTACAACACTAAAAAAATAACAAAACATAAACACATTTGTAGAAACATAGATATATAAATAGAGATAAATACGATTGATTAGTAGACCAAGTTTGTAAAAAAAAAATTGCAGATAGCGACCAATTGCTATCCATAGTCCTACACTGGAAGTGACGTACATTTCAGTGGTGTACCACTTGGTTGTGGTGGTAGTGGTGTGTACCTCGGTGACATAACAATTGGTGTTGCAACTCTCACGATATCCAACTTATTTTTTTTTTTTCACATGTATTAATCAATGTGAAAAAACGCTACTATTGTCAAATATCATATCGATAAATTAAGTTATCGAAATATTGTAAATGTCGGTTTTCTTCAAAAGAGTCATGTCGAAAAGCACCAACCTATCAACGCAGGCGGCAGCAGCTGGGAAGGCGGTAGGTACGACGGCAATGGGGGTGGCACCTACGAGACTTGTACTTATCAATCAACATCTTCAATTCTCTAGAACATCTTCAAACCAAGTAACTATCAAAACTGGTAAATCGGCACCATTAGTTATCCCGACAAATCAAGGGACAAAGTATACTTCTAATTATGCCAATTATGCCACTACCAACGACGGTAAGATTATATCGTACTTTCATGATATTCGACTAGACCTCGATCCCCAGGAAATGGAAGCGAATTTTATTTGTGAGATACCTCGTTGGTCAAATGCTAAATTTGAAATTGCTAGAAACTCACCAGGGAACCCCATAGTTCAGGACATAAAAAAGGACAAAGTTCGGTTTGTGAAAAACTTGTTTCCATACCATGGTTATATTCACAATTATGGTGCATTTCCTCAAACTTGGGAGGACCCAACCGAGGCACACCATGGACTATATGGTGATAATGATCCTCTTGACGTATGTGAGATTGGTTCAAACATATTGAACACAGGTGATGTCAAACGTGTAAAGATTCTTGGATCCATAGCTTTGATCGATGATGGGGAGTTAGACTGGAAAATAATCGTTATTGATACTGCAGATGAATTGGCTAATCACATATCAGATATTGACGACTTGTACAACAAATGTCCCGGACTATTAGAGGCTACAAAACAATGGTTCAAAGATTACAAATTGGCCGATGAAAAGCCAGAAAATAAATTCGCATTTGATGGGAAATACCTAGGTGCAAAGGATACAATAAAAGTTGTACAAGAGTGTCATGAGAGCTGGAAGAAATTGATTAACGGGGAAAGAAGTAAAAGTAAAAATGGAGTAGTGAAAAATATGCCAGCAATTATTAATACCACTATTAGTGGAACCCCTGGATTTGTCGAGGAATTTGAAGTAAAACTTGATAATCCCGCTCAACCTGATGCCGTGATACCTTCAGATAATAACAAAAGCTATTATTTCAAATCGCAAAAGTAACAAATAAGAGAAAATAATGGACCAATTATTAATCTGTAACTCACCCTCCCCCCCACACCCCCTCCCTTCCACATACATTAACTAATTATACCAACCATATCTCTAATTGCAGAAACAATATTTTTCACAACTTGGTCATCAACAACTTGATGCTCATTACTCCTAACAATTCTAGATCTCAAATATTTCGGATGTTTCAATAAATTACTCAACCTCTCGCTCAATTCTTCTCTCTTATCTTCAGAGTCAAGAACGGGGAAACTGCCATCTGTACTTGCATCCTCAACACTCACTGAGCTTAAAAGATCATAAATGACCAAAATCTGATTAGTTTCAGCAACACCAGCAGTAGAAATAGCTCCTCCTGACCAATTTTCCATGACATATAAAATCTGCTTGGAAAAAAATGACAAAACAACACGAATCTCGGGAAATATACATGGTCCCAACGCGCGTATACAAGTAATGAGTAGTGGTAAAACTCCATCGACCCATAATTGGTAAGCCTTTGGTTCATGCATAATGGATAAACCACCCGCTCGGAAATCACGAGATACTGGACTTTGTAATAGAACAATGAAAAGTCCCGATTCAATAATATTTTCCGCAATAGATCTTATAGACATCAATTGTCTTAGATACTCTAGACTTAAACGCGCAATCGACAGTTCATCATTTGGTTCAAGAAATATTGAATTTGCATACATGTTTAATAATGTTTTCACAATGCGCGATTCATCAGTTAGTTTAGTCAATTCTCTTTGAAATATCGAGCCATTACTTTTGAGATTAGTGAACACTTTCAAAACGGATAATATCAACAGTAAATCATCAAGTCTTTCACTGAGTTTTTCACTATCAACTTTTTCGTTATTTTTCCCCAGGCGAGAAATACTCACGTCATGTTGTACTTCAATTGATATCATTTTGATTCTCTTTGTCACTATCGATTCAAATAAATCTTTAAATAAACTTAAAAACTCGGTAATAATACTCGAATCATCTTCAATAAACTTCAATGCACAAAAGATAGTTCGGAGTAATTGTCTATATGTTCCTCTGGTCTCATTTGAGCCACCACTTGCATTTGAGTTTGCATAGTTGTTCGAGCTCCTGGCAGATAATAATGTGCTTGCACTTTTAATAATATCAAGTAATGGTTTTCCTTGGCCTTGTAGCTTATTCTCCCTTTTATAAAACGAGTAAATTAAATAAAAGCCAAGTTCGATTCTTGCAGAGTAGACCGATTGAAACTGTTCCAGTGGTATGTTCTCAATAATATTAGTTTGGAATAAGAAATTGATGAAACCCAACAACTTTACATTTAATACCCCTTCATATCGACGACAGAAACTTGTGAGCAATATACCAAATGATTTGGCACTTTCTAATTGCGAAGTGATAAACTGAATATTTATACTAGAGGCAATAATCTGTTCTCTTATTTGTACCCAGTTTTCTCCACTACTCTTGAACAAAGTATCCATCAATGCCAAATTATAAATGACATTAACACCGACTCTATTCCTCTTACCCAACGCGGTTGTAAATTGTGATAACTTGAAGTTAGGATAAGCATTTTTGAATGCTTCTTCGAGATTCAAATGTAACGACGATTGATAATGAGTAATTTCAAATTTCTTCTTTGCAATATCAATAAAATTATCTGAGTTAACAAACTCCAAAATCTGTTTCTGGCATTTTTCGTTCTTTGTGGTAAACAAATAGAGTGCCAAAATATCGGCAATTTTAGCAACCAACTTCAACTCATAACACCTACTAATGAACATTTCAGGCGATGTGGGAATATCTGTGATTTGTAATTTAACTCTACCAATTAATAACTTAATGAACTCCTCATCGTATTTGTATTCCTTCACAGTAGACCACGAGTTACATGCTAACGCAAGAGCATCAACCAAATGGACGCTAACCGAATTGGGGTAATATTTCATCTCTCTCACATTTTTCTTTAAAAGTTCAACTATCGAGACCCCGCTACTAGACACAATAGTGTCTCTACCGGTGTTGTTTTCGTTTTTGTTGTTGTTTCCACTTTGCATCTCAGTAGCACCTCTTATCCATTCTCCACCTCCGGAATTAAACAAAATAATAAGCCCCTGTTGGTTACTTCTCATAACAGCACATACAAAATCGTGAATGGAAATTTTAATTTTATAATCGTCAAATGAATTATCCAACCCTGCAGCAACTGAACATTTTAAAACTTGAGCATTATAAGTTCCCAAATGAGACAAGAATGAAGGCATACCTCTATCATTGTTGTTGTTGTTGCTGTTGTTGCCGTTGTTGCTGTTATCGTCCCATTTCCCACTTATCAAGCAAGAAAGAAGATCTAAAACTATCTTTCTATAAGATTCAACTTCAGCAAATATCTTCACGAGATTAACAGCCTTTTGTAAAAGTTCCCTTTCCAAAGCCAGCGGCTTAAAGTTTAACAAGCTTCTTAAGCTCAATACCAATTGCGTAAACGAGAACGAACAACGAATCCAACTATCATACCAGAATCCAGAGGTGTCTGTTAGTTCATAAAGATCCAAATTTTCTGAAACATTCACTACTGTGTTCAAAAGTGGCAACGATGTTCTTGCGGAATTGATGTCCGTGGCTAAAAAAGAATCCAAGATAACAACTGATGCAGGGTGCAATATCCTGTGAAAGCCTTTTCCCATTGATAAACCATTTTCAATACCATAAGTTGTTGTGAGAATCGTTGAAAACAAATCTAAAAGCAATACTCCCAACTCCAACTGCTGATGAAAACAGTTGAATCTACAATGTGTGAAATTTTCAAACAAAAACATCAAAGTGTGCACAAGCTTAGTCATGGTATTACTCTTGGATTGTTCTGAAAATGTTTCATCTAATGAAATGCAATCAGCTACTAGAACCAGCGCAAACTTGACAAGTGACAAAGAAAATTCGTAATCACCGTTAATCATTTCTACGGCACCAAAAATTTTCAAAGCCATTTGTTCCTTCCCATCTCTGGAAAATAATGATGATTTGGACAAGTATGACCAAATCTGATTGGATACAAATGGAACCAAATTGGTTAATAATTTTATTATTGGGGGTAACACTTTTACATTTCTTTGATGCAAAGACATTTCAAGGAATCTCAAAATCACTTCAATTATATCTGAGTTGTCAGTGTATGCCGACATTGCCTCCAAAACCAATTTGATTTCATTATCTTCGTTATCTATGGCAACGTTGCTCGTCAAATTCAAAATGTCAACCAAAATTTCTTCTTGAAGCAGATCAATGCTATTAAGTTTGAGTATGTTTTGCAAAATTCGACCCAAGAACGCCCATCCATTATACTGATACAAAAATGTGACCAAAACTTCATCAGACTTTGCAGCTGGTAAAAGTTTGGCTTTTGTACCGGGTGCCAATGCCATCGTTAGTTTTCTGTTTGATTCAAATGGTGGGTTCAAAGTAACTTCGCTTTTTATCTTTACCAAGTCTAGGTTTTGATCATCAATTTGGTACAATTTATCAAACTCATCTTTTTTAAACACTTGGATATATGATTTCAAATAGTTGAATTCATGCAAGGCAACATTTCCATTTATAGATGTCAACTTGATATACGGTGTCAAAAGAAGCGGGAACTTTGTCTTGGCAATGATTATAGCATCTGCTACAGCTTCGTTTGAAAAAAACTGTTCAACAACATTATTGGGACAATTGCGAATCACTTCAACGATGCAGGTTGTAACATCTGGTGTGAGTTCTAATAGCGATATTGACGATGTGATGATTGTTGCAAGCAGGGCTGAATATCTATTATCGTAATGTAGTGTTTCATTAATTTTTTGCAAAAAGCCAAATACATTCAAATTCAAGCATTTTTTATTTATCTGGTTAACTTCATTGTCAATTACCAGCACCGTGAGTCTCGGATTGAACGCCTTGGATACCAGCGAGTCTGGAAATTCTTGAAGAAAACATAGCTTTCTTAAAAGTATGATACTCCATGAAAATAAAAGAACGGGATTATAGTTGTAATCGCTGGTGATGATACTGTTTATCAAACAAAACGTGTCCAAATCACCCATATATGATGATGATTTATTCTCTTGCGCGTTAAGGGAGTCAAAAGTGTTTTCGAGGTCGAGAAATTCTATACTAATGACTGTGTACAATGCTTGGAGTACTTCAAATGATTCATGATACTTCAATTTTGAGCCCAAAGCTACGGCGAAATCCGTTTCCCTCATAATATCGAACCAATCCTTCACCGCTTCTTTTGTCACTAAAGGGTTCTGTAAAGCTATTTCAAATAATAGTTTGCACGACTCGATACAGAATAGCACAGTTTCATTATGTATTGTTTCGTCAATTGAGTTTGACAAATTCGACTTGTATGTTCCCCCCATCAATTTTTTCACCGATATGTCTCGTACAGATTTTATTAACGAGTTAAAGTAAGATTTTGATAAGAAAATCTCCTTACCCAAATTTCGAATGACCGAAGATGCATACTGATTAGTCTTGTTGGAAAGCAGTTCACTCGCGATTCTTAAAATAATTCTTCTTTCTCTTAGGATGTTCCAAATATACAAACGTATTCGATCATTGTGCGATTGATGTTCTTTGTCGTCGCTTATTTTGCTCTTGAATTTCAATGGGTGCAACGGCTTTGCGGGGATTTTTTTGCTCGTTTGACTAATAACCCGCACAACCTCTTTGACGTCCAATTCAAGGTATTTAGCCAATAACTCGGCATCCTCAATATTTTGCTTGGTAATGTCGGTATAAAGTATTCCTCTCAAAGTAATCTCTCTACTATCAGCATTTAGCTTTGTTTTTGACTGGGGTCTTGCGGCAAATGGAGTTGGATCTAACAACAAGTCCTTTGCAAGTAACAAAAATTCATTCAAAGCTTCCAAAATATAGGGGTCCTGGCAATCTTTTATCAAAGCAAGGGCATTCTCAAAAGTCCAAAATTGCGTAGGTTGGATCGGTTTTAGGGGGAGTTTCTGCTTACTCAACTCAGGATCCACCACAAGAGACAGCATCTCAAATTATAACAGACAATAGGAGTACCAGCAACAACAGTACTAAAAAACAGTACCAACAACTAACCAACGTGGTATCAATTCTCTATCAAAAACAGCAACAACAGCACCACAACAGCACCACTAACTAGCCAACGTGGTATCAATTCACCTAATCAAAATGAATGAATCCAATAGTCAACCTCATCCTTGTCAACTTTTTCATCCTTGCCCGAATTTTTTTTTTCGTGTCGTTTTTTCAGTGTCGTGTCGCAAAATAATTTTTCACTTTTACCAAAGCTTGAGATGATGGGAGGAGGAGGAAGGAAGGGGAGAGGAAGAGGAAGAAGACCTATTTACAAGGGCATTGTTTTTAGAACTAGTTGAAGGATGACGGGTGGGTCTTCATTTATTGTTAGTGCTCCTGGGAAGGTTATTATATTTGGAGAGCATTCTGCCGTGTATGGGAAGCCCGCAATTGCAGCCGCGCTTAGTTTGAGATGCTACTTGTCGGTATCACCTTCAAAGGATGATATAAATACAATTAGGTTACTATTTCCCGATATACAACTAGACCATTCTTGGGATCGAAGAAGCTTACCGTGGGATGTTATCAAAAAGCATGTTCAGTTAGACTCTCGGGGCAAACCGCAGCCCCCCTCTGAGCTTGTTCCTGAACTTGTGGACTGTTTATCGCCATTGTTGAAAGGTTTCACAAATAAGGTCCAGCATATTGCTTGTTTTTGTTTCCTTTACTTATACTCATGCTTATGTAATGATAAAGTTAGTGGGATGACGTTTGTTGTTAGGTCAACCTTGCCAATTGGTGCAGGTTTGGGTTCTTCCGCGTCGACTTCAGTGTGTCTTTCGGCGGCATTGGCCAAATTGAGCAATTGCATCCAAGACCCCCAATTCTTACAAAAAGAGTTGGTGCTGGAGGCAGATATTGCAGAATTGGAATTTATTGACCAATGGTCGCTCATTGGGGAAAAGTGCTTCCATGGAAACCCTTCGGGAATCGATAATGCCGTTGCTACTCACGGAGGCGCGGTGATGTTTCAAAGAACATTTGCATCCAATCCTGAAAACTCTTTGTCATCTAGAACCAATATCAGAAACTTCCCAGCAATTAAGTTGTTATTGACAAACACAAAAGTCCCCAAGAGTACCGCAGAACTAGTCAGCGGAGTCGCTTACATGAATAGTGAATTTCCAGAAATAACCGGCTCAATTTTAGATTCTATGGATCATTTGGCACAAAGAGCTTATGAGACTATGATACACAAGGATTTTGGCAAGAATGAAGCCGCGATATTGCGTAAGCTAGTCAATATAAACCATGGTCTACTTGTGGCGTTGGGTGTGTCACATCCAGCATTGGAGACTGTTAAAATTGTTAGTGATAGGCATAAGCTCGGTGCAACTAAATTGACAGGTGCCGGCGGTGGTGGGTGTGCCATTACTTTAGTCAGTGAAGACGCAGACGAAGCAGATATACATAACGCTATGAATGAGTTATCAGAAGCAGGGTTTGAGAGTTTTGAAACCGCTTTAGGTGGCAAGGGGGTTGGAATGTTATTTATGGATGATGTTACGAATAACAAAGATACTCTTGCAGCAAAACTATTCAGCAACTACGAAAGTCCCTTTGATATAGAAGATGCCGCGATTATTGAAAACATCCCACAATGGAGGTTTTGGTGAGAATGATTGCAAAAAAAAAAAAGAAGGATGCAAACCTTTACATACCTTTACATACCTCTATTAAACTCCAATTCCGTGATTTTACCGCCTTCTTTATCTTTCAAATCGTGGAATTTACTCTCCAATTTTCCAACAGATATGGTTTCTCTCTGAGGAAATACACCCAATGCGAAGGGCAAGACAACCAAAGATGTTACAAAGATTAATCCAATATTTGTCAACGTTTCTACCATTTTCGATTTCCCCTTTAAAAACCTGCTTCTTTGTAGTCTCACCAATATCAAAGGAGGAATTACCATGATTGGTGTTGCATTTATGACTCGACTAGCCGCGGTTTCACCAACCGCATACCAAGCAGCTGTTTTCGAAGTACCTACCTCCTTACCATTCTTGTCAAACACGGAAATACCCTTTTTCAATTCTTCACTTCTCATCAAAAACACATTCGCTACACCTGCAGAAACAACTGCTGCGAAAGGTACTAACCTCCCCAAAATCACTCGAGTATTCGGCTTCAAGTTTTTTAAACGAGGCACTAACGAATTCAATCCCAACGCAACTGAACAAGACGCCGTCACTGCCATTGTATAATTGATGACAACCTGCTTCGTGGATAATGGATGCGACTTGTTCGAATTCGCTGTGTTTATCGCCACATTCAAACTTTGATTTGCAATCTGCCAAAATAATGTGCCAAAAGTACCTAAATTTGGAGTAAGCATACCCGCCGTAACTACAAGATTCGACAAGACGCATGAAGACATTCTGAATGGTAATATAACAGTTTCCCCTGTGTCCGGGTGCAAAGCCGAGTCCAACACTTTTTTGGCATGCCACAACTCTGGCGTAATTGTGGGAGTTACTCCATTCTTATAATCCCACACTATTCTTTTCGCGGTTTCCAAGTCCTTTGTACTATTTAGTAACATCGTTGGGTCCGAGATTTGTGCACAGTGCTTAACACGTCCCCAATACGTACTTAAGTCATATTTCGACTGAGGTAACGGCACAGGCCCACTAATTGAGGAAGCCATGGTGTTGACCTTCTTCTTCTTCTTCTTCTTCTTCTTCGTCTTCTTCGTCTTCTTCAATTTTGAAAAAAAAAAAAAAAAAAAAAAAAACTACCATGCCGAGCCGCACCATAAAGGGCGTTTCTATTACTAAACCTTACTAGTACATTTCCTTCTTCCATATATAAGTATATATAAGTATATATGTATGTATGAGCTACGGGGGCATCTATTACAGCAGCTTTACTCCCATTCAACTGTTGCAGGCGGCTTTGAAGTGATATCGTAGGTGACACGTGCAACGCCATCTACTTCATTAACAATTCTGGAAGCTGTTTTCTTTAAGAACGCAGCGTCGAAAACAAACCAGTCAGCAGTCATGAAATCAACAGTTTCAATTGCCCTCAATGCTATAACTTGATCATAGGTTCTTTGGTCACCCATCACACCAACAGACTTCACTGGTAACAAAGCAGCAAAAGCTTGTGAGATTTGTCTGTACAAGCCTGCTTTTTTGATCTCTTCGATAAAAATGGCGTCGGCCTCACGAGCAATCTTGCACTGTGCCTCGGTCACTTCACCAAGAACTCTAATGGCCAATCCTGGTCCAGGGAAAGGATGTCTCCATACCAAATCTTGAGGAACTCCCAAAAGTTCACCCAAGTGACGCACTTCATCTTTGAATAATTCTCTTAATGGCTCAATCAATTTCAATTTCATATTCTCTAACAATCCACCAACATTGTGATGGGTCTTGATTGTTTGTGATGGACCTTTGAAAGAGATTGACTCAATGACATCGGGATATAATGTCCCTTGTAAAAGATACTCAACTTCAGAGCCATCATGTGGTTTGATCTTTGCAGCTTCATCTTCAAAAACATGGATAAAGGTGTTTCCAATAATTTTCCTCTTCTTTTCTGGATCTGTTACCCCCTTTAATCTGCCAAGGAACAACTCACCAGCATCAACAACTGTCAAATTGATACCTAATCCATCATCCAAGGTCTTTTTGACACTTTCCGTCTCATTCAACCTCATCAACCCATTGTCAACATAGATGGCGTGGAATCTATCACCAATAGCTTCCTTCATGATTTTTGCTCCAACAGTGGAGTCAACACCACCAGAAACTGCACCGATAACTTCAGCTGTAGGACCCACGAGTTTTCTAATTCTGGCTATTTCAGTGTCTATGAAATTCTCCATACTCCAATTTGTCTTTGCTTGGCAAATGTCAACTGCAAAATTTCTCAATAACTGCTTTCCTTGTAGTGTATGAGTAACTTCTGGGTGAAACTGAATACCAAAGATTTTTTCCTTTTCATTGGCAATTGCACAAAAGGGGGAATTGTCTGATGTGGCAACAACTTCAAATCCAGTTGGCAATGCGTGTAACTTATCACCATGAGACATCCACACTTGTGAATGATCAACATCCTTAAACAACGCACACTGTTGATTTTTGACTTCTAAAGTAGCTGGTCCATATTCTCTTTTATCTCCTCTTGCAACACCTTTCCCATTAATCCATGCTAATTCTTGCATACCGTAACATATCCCCAAAATTGGAACCCCCAACTTGAAAATGTCGTGGTCAACATGAGGAGCATCTTCTGCATAAACTGAGTAAGGGCCACCGGATAAAATAATACCTTTCGGTTTCCATGACAATTCCGAGATCTTTTGGGTGCATGGTAACATCTCCGCATAAACTTGGAACTCTCTCAAACGACGAGTTATCAAATGTGAATACTGAGAACCAAAGTCCAACACCAAAATTGTATCAAAGACCTTGGAAACTTCGATTGGAACATCTTCAAGCTTATCAGACATTGTAACAAGTGGGAAGAAGCGGAGGCTAAAAAGAAGAAAAAAAAGTTGGAGGGAAATAAAAAAGCACCGCTATAGAAAAAGGGTGACAAGGAGAAAGAAAGGTACAATGGGAACACTGGGTTAAAAAAGCTGATTTGGAATGCTAAAATCGAGGTTTGTAGGTTAGAGATCTTCCCTTTTTTTTTTTCAACCTCATCGCAGGATGAAAGGAAGAAAAAAAAAATAAAAAAATTAAAAAACTAAAAATATATATGGTAGCGCTCAAATGGCTGCGAAAAGAAGAAAAGAAGCTACCGTATTTCTTGAAAATAGAATAGCAATACCATACCAAATATCTATTTTACAACTTTAGAATTGCAAGTTGATGATTGAGGGTAAAATTGAATAGAGTGCTCATTTGACTATGGCTTTGTTTTTTTTTGGTATGTCATTAGCGCCAATTTGTATTGAAAATTTTGCTTGAGTTTTGAAACTGAAGCACTTTTTAAATTACTAGTCGCCTATCGCCTAAGTTAAACTCGCCTATCGCCTAAGTCAAACTCACCTATCCCCTAAGTCAAACTCACCTATCCCCTAAGTTAAACTCACCTATCCCCTAAGTCAAACTCATCATTTATCCTCCATTTGTTTTCCCAGCAAAAGACAATTTTGTTTTCTCAAAGTGCTTTTCAAAACAGTTCTTGTCATCTTGTTTTTAGTGCGGGTCGTTAGTTTCTTTTTCTGAGAACTTCGGTAATCCGTTCAAAATGAGATCATTACCTCCACCAAGAATCACCAGGGCAAGAAGATGGAAACGTATAAAACGTGCAATAAAGAATTTATTTACTAAAGGGTACATTTCAGACTTTGGTGTTTTTCATAGGAAAACCATGTACTCACGCCATCTTTACACCATTTCCAAAATACATAGACTGCCCATCTTGGCAAGAATGAAGAAAACCACAAGTGATGTAAATGTAAATGTCATCAGGTCTGCCAACTGCGGGTTGATATTCGTTAGATATTTTAGCAAACTCATTACAAAGACTTCGGTTCCTGGATTAAGAGAGGATGTTTTTGGTAAAAGAAGTAAATTCAACTTATCTTTGAAAGTGTAAGTCAAAAAAAAAAAAAAAATAGAAAAAAAAAGACACAAAGTCAACCCTCTATAGTCCTAAGCTATAATGGGTCTGGATATAGTATTTTGTCAGTTAGTCAGTCAGTTTGTTATTCAATCAGTCATGTTACTATTTGAGTCCTTGTATAGTTTTGTAGGTATAATGAATAAATAAATGGATTAGGTGCGCATATGGTAGCATCGCGCGATGAGATCAAGAATTTTGAAAAATTTAAACAGTATTAGTTTTAAGAAGAAGAGGAAGAAGAAGCAGAAGACTGGCCATTCTTTACACCTCATATATATAGCCCAACATGTCTGAAGATAAGAACCAGATTAAGATTAAATTCATAACAAATGAACCGGAGGAGCTAAAAGTTGAGGAAACTCCCCTATACGTGCCAATTTCGTTAAAACGATATGGATTATCCGAGGTAGTGAATCATTTACTTGGAAATGATAAACAGGAAGAGGAGAGAGAGAGAGAGGCCGAGGAGAACAAAAGACATGTTCCGTTTAACTTTCTTATAAACGGAGAGTTGTTGCGCACTTCAATTGATCAATATCTTGTGCGTAATGGATTATCAAGTGAAGCATTTTTAACCATAGAATATACTAGAGCTATACTACCACCCAGTTTCCAAGCATCTTTCCAAGGAGATGACTGGATTTCATCAATAGACTCGATAAATAGAACATCTCCTTGTGTCACATCATCTCAACTAAATATTAGTAGTCCAAAAATTTTGAGTGGTTCGTATGATGGAATAGTACGAACATACAATTTATCTGGAAAAGTGGAGAAACAATATGTTGGTCATTCGGCTCCTGTAAAGTGTGTGAAATGGATATCACCAACAAGGATAGTTTCTGCTGGTAACGATAGACAAGTGAGATTATGGAAGACTACGTATGAGGGAGTAACAGACCAAAATGGAGAAGGTGCAGCTGGATTTGAACAGGAAGAGGACGGAGAAGAAGAAGAAGCTGAAGAAGGAAGAACATTGGCAATTTTGGAAGGTCATAAAGCCCCCGTGGTTGACTTGGCTGTGAACCATGAAACAAAAAGGATATTGAGCGCCGGGTACGATTTAGATATTGGATTCTGGTCAACTAACTACAAGGAAATGACCAAAATTGAAGTTCCTCAGTATGATTCAAATGTCGTTTCAACGTCTTCAAAAAAGAGAAGAAAGTTGGCGTTACAAGATTCAACAATAAGACGCCGCTCTCCTTTGAGTTTCTTAAAGGGTCATACCGAGCCCGTTGAAGGAGTAATTTTTGATGCATTTGATTCAACTGTGGGATATTCTGTATCTCAGGATAATACAATTAAAACATGGGATTTGGTAACCACAAAGTGTGTTGATACAAGAACTACTGGATTTGCACTATTATCCATATTACAATTACCAAGTGTTAATTTGATAGCAACAGGGTCCTCGGCACGCCATATCAATTTGCATGATCCTCGAATGTCCGCTGTGAATAATACAGATGTGATAAACTCGAAATTGGTGGGGCACACAAACTTTGTGGTTGGCTTAGCTGCATCTCCTCACAATGCCAACATATTTGCTTCTAGTTCGCATGATGGGACTGTGAAAGTTTGGGATGTAAGAGCTGATAAATCTTTGTACACAATAACTAGAGAGGATGGGTCAAACGATAGCAAAATATTTGATGTGTGCTGGGATAATGAAATTGGAATCATCAGTGGTGGGGAAGATAAAAAGTTACAGATTAATAAAGGTTCAGATATAAGCAAGTAAGTAAATAAATAAATAAGAGAGTAAGAGCCGTTTAAATTTTAAGGATTAATTGTAAAATCTCTATACGTTTTTATTTTCTTTTCTTGAACTTGTGAATAGATTCAACCCATAATAGCCTTGCCACATACTTTCTTTATCTGTCAAGTATCCAACCAAGCCGGTCTTATTACCCAACTGTAATGGATCATAAACAGAATAAACAGAACTAGCATTGATCCATCCCATTTTTTTGTTAACTTCAGCCAACTCATCAGCATTCAACTCCACTTGTGCAGCAGAACCGTATTTCAATGGTCCCGCATTGATCCAATATCCACGTTCTGGGAAGCTTCCATTTCTACCACTAGGTTTGGTCAATTGTCTGATTTTTTCCAAATAAGCAAACAAGTTTTCAGCAGTGTCAAGGAAAAATACCGAAACAACAACAATATTCTTGTACTTGTCTCTATTTGGTATTTCAAATTCAAGAAAATCCTGATTCATAGTAATTAATGATTCCGGTTTGTTGTTGCTGCCAATTGGTTTATATTTGAAACTTCTAAATTGGGACTTTGTACTGTAAAAATCAGAGTTTATATGAATGTATGGGTGAACTGTGTATAACTCCTCCTCGTTTTGTTGTGACTCGCGGTAATGAAAATCCACAAGCAGGTTCATCAATCCTGAATTCTCAATGGCAAAGACAGCACCATAATCGTCTTTACTAAACTCATAAGTTAGCCTCCCCAATCCACTACCGGGGAAGATCAAAGCGGTTTCCTTCTTCTCAGCGGAAGTGGGGAATAATAATTGCAATTGTGATGCAATGTACTCAAAGATAGGTAGTAGCTCCCATCCAACATTTCCTTGCTGCCAGTCACGAGAATAATGACCTAATGCTTCAATTACACGGAAATTACTACCGCTGGCTGCACTTTTCTTATCAAGTGATGCTAAATCCTTTGACGATATACCATATTTATTAATTGTATAGTCGGCTATATCGTTGACTAGCTTATAGTTTACAGCAATTGCCTTGTCAATAGCATTTAATCTACTCATATACCCAACTTCTGTGGCAAGTTTCTGTTGTTTTGAGCTTAGCAATCTGAATAATTTCTTTCGCCTCTCATTCATAACCAATGAACTTTCCTTGTAATCTTTTAACGATTTAACAGCAGCTAGTACTTCAGTCTTTTGCGTCACATTTAAGCTTTCAAAATTGGAATAGTTCAAGTTGGGTGAGCTGGGAATATTTCTTCTAAATGCTGCTTCTGTTTTCCTATTTTGCAAATACTTGTGTAACGCAAAAGCTAAGGACCTGAACTTTGATGTACGAGATACCATATTGGCCAAAAAAAAAGTTGTTAGTAGTAAAGGAAGCTGTGATCTTTTCCCACAAACCAAAGCTAGTAAAAAGTATACAATTATACAAACAGCAAAACTGAACCGTACAGAAAGGGTCGTTGGGAGTGAAGCCATCTTCTCTTTCAACTTGGTTAATGGGATGAATGGTATAAAAAAAAAGTATTTAATTAAAAAAAAAAACGATTGCAAAATTATAAGATGCTGGAACAAGAAGAAGAAGAAGAAGAAAACGAAGACTTATTTGAGCAGCTAACAAGGATGTTGGGTAGGATATGACTGTGTTTACTGAAACGTTATACCACTTCTAGGCAACACGCTCTCGAGTCTTGGTAAAAACAGGGGTCACGGTGAGGGGGGGGGGGGGGGGGGGGGGGGGGGGGGTCCCATCAAAATCGTGAATGGATCACATTTGGTAGCATCAAGTAAGTTTAAGCCGCACTATTGCCTAAAATGATTATTTTCCTTGTTGTGGACAAATTGGGCATGATGAGATGCGACATTGTTAACTGAGCGACTTGCTTTATATATAGTCAAGGTGGGCCAGGCAATTTGTCAAATCTTGGAAAAGAGAGGTTGGAAGGTTAAGAAAAGAGAGGTTGGAAGGTTAGGAAAAGAGAGGTTGGAAGGTTAGGAAAACTTGAGAGATGTCGGAGTTTGATTACTCGGATGTTAACGCTGTTGATCTCAATACTGAAGAGCCCCAATTATGCCAGATTCTTTATGACAAGGAGTTTAAAGACGTAATGGGAATTTTGTTAGCTTTGATGAAGAAACAAGAGTATTCGCATAGGGCAAAACATATCACGGAATTAGGAATAGAAAAACTAGCATCTCATTATACTATATGGATATACCGATTCAAGATTCTTGGGCAATTGTCCGATACAAATTATTTTGAAGAATTAGACTGGTGTGAGCAAATTGCGCTAGATAATGAAAAGAATTATCAGATTTGGAATTATCGCCAATTGATAATAAATGAAATTGTTTCAAATAAAACTATTGAGGCTGGCCAAGCTCATGAGACTCGAATATTTGATCCTCATAGGGAGTTCCCCATATTGGAAGCAATGTTGGATTCAGATTCAAAGAACCATCATGTTTGGTCCTATCGTAAATGGCTAGTTGAAAAATTCAACCTCTATGATGATGAAAAGGAGAGAAAGTTTATTGATGAGATAATAGATATGGATTTGTTGAATAATAGTGCATGGTGTCATCGATTTTTTTTAAATTTCAGCGATTCAAGAGAAAGAAATCAAGAGTTTGTTAATGGTGAAGTAGAATACGTAAAGGAGAAAATCATTGCTTGTCCTCAGAATGCAAGTACTTGGAACTATCTTTTGGGGATTTACGATAAGTTTCAATTAGATCTAAACACATTGGAACCATTTGCCAGTAAATTTGTTGACCTTGTTGAAAATAAAGTTACAAGTTCATTTGCAATGGAATTATTAGCAAAGATATATTCAAACAAGGGTCAACATTTAAAGTCAATTGAACAGTACCAATTGTTAAAAGAAAAATATGATCCAATAAGAAAGAATTTTTGGGATTATGAAATATCAAAAATAAAACAACTTGAATAAAATGCAAAATTACATTTATCTTTTATGTGTGACAAAGAAAGCGGATTTTCCCTTTTCACCAACGTGCTATTGGCAACCATCCAACATACAGTGCCAATCAAGAGAGAAAAAGGAAAAGAAGAGGTTGTTTTTGCTTTCGGAGTTGTCTTCTTGTTAGAGCCGTTTGCTTTTCGGAACTGCCCTTCTTGTTACCGCTTGGCGGCTTACTCTTTTACTATTATTATTATTATTATTATTATTATTATTATTATTATTGATTTCGAGTATACACACAGAGACTATGTCGGATTTATTTCCAAATTAGGAAATGCTAAAATGCACTATATTTATTATTTCTATTATTTTTATCTCTTAAGTTGAATGCTTTAAACTAGTTCCTGCATTACATGTTTAGTAAACGAAGGAGACGGATTTGGAGTGAAGTAAGGGGGGGGGGGGGGGGGGGGGGGTGCGGATAGAGGAAGAATATCAAAAGGAGACACTATCTCGCTTTGCTCGATAGTGGAGCACATTGACTAGTTTTGAATGATTGAAGGAGTCACTTGTACCAGAGTAATAAGAATGACTTTATTCTATAGAGTCGTATATCTTAACTCCGTATCACGGCTCTAGGACCAACCTTAAAGAGAATGCCCTTTCCCACAAAATGCGGCTAAAGGAATTGAAAAAAATAAAATAAAATAAAATAAGGATTCGCTTTGAGTTTAAAGTTTAGAGCTGTTTGAGTATGAGCAATTGGTTAGAAAATCGTATATATAGGAATACATATACATATATGTCTATGTATATATATGTATATATATTGGCTAAAATAGAGATAGAGTAGTTTGGTTTTACTAAAATAGAGATAGTAGTTTGGTTCTACTAGATAGAGTAGTTTGGTTCTACTAGATAGAGTAGTTTGGTTCTGCAAAAGTGTGGCAAAAAGCGTAATTATACTAGTTTTGTAGGTTTGTCCCCTATTACATTTCCATGACAAAAGAACAGTTGGTATCGTCGAGCATAAGCCAAACCTCCTCTTCTATAGGTGCGGCAACTGAACAAAAAGAACAAATGGAACTGCAGCAGCAGCTGCAGCTGCAGCAAAGGCAACTGCTAGACGTTGAAGGTCAACGACTGCATAAATATTTCAAAGAATCAGATGCAGGTGATGGAACAAAACGAGAAGATCAATATATTCACGGTTCAAGGTTGATCTTGTGTTTTATTTCCCTATTTCTTTGCTTGTTCTTGTTTGCATTGGACCAGACTATAGTTGCAACTATATTATCCACAGTAGGAAATAAGTTCAACTCGTTTGAAAATATAGGATGGTTATCGTCGGGGTTTTTATTAACTATGGCTGTTTTCATTCAACCATTTGGTAAATTGTCAATTATTTTTGGTAGGAAATGGACTATGGTTGCCGCAGTGGTTATCTTTGAAGGAGGCTCATTAATGTGCGCTTTAGCTCCTTCGATGAATGTCTTAATCGGTGGAAGAGTCTTGGCAGGTGTTGGTGGAGCTGGTATTCAGGGATTGACGTTTGTTATTGTTTCTGAAGTTGTTCCTATTGCCAAGAGACCAATTGGATTGGCTATCATGTCGGTGACATTTGCCGTGGCTTCGGTTTTAGGACCTTTGATTGGTGGTGCATTTACCACGAATGTTAGTTGGAGATGGGCATTTTATATTAATTTGCCAGTTGGTGGATTTGCCTTGGTGGTGTTTTTGTACTCGTTTAGGCCGCCAACTCCAAGAGGCAACTATTTGAAACAGTTGGGCGAGTTTGATTATTTAGGGACTTTTTTGTTGATTTCTGGAAATGTTTTACTCTTGTTGGCTTTAACTTTTGGTACCTCGGATTTTTCGTGGGATTCTGGTGCAGTTATATCGTGTTTTATTCTTGGTCCTGTCTTGTTGATATTGTTTTGCATTTGGAATTTCAAATATTCCAAGAATCAAATTATTGCAACCGATGTTGTAACTTGTCCGCAAATCATTGCTTCAACATTAAGCATAGGAGGAGTGTTTGCTGCATTCATTGTCACTATGATTTATGCAGCCGTTTATTTTCAAGTCATTAGAGATTCAAGCGCAATGGGCGCGGGATTGCATTTACTTCCCTGTATCATTGCAGTTGTTATATCATCCATTGTCTCAGGTGCCATGATCCAAAAGTTCAAATATGTCAAGCCATGGAATGTCTTTTCTGGAGTGTTGGCGCCTATAGGAGCAGGATTGCTCACGTTGTTACGTGTCGACTCGTCCTTTTCAAAACAAGTGGGATATTTAATAATATTGGGTGTTTCAACAGGATCTCAAATGCAGCCTTCTTTTGTGTCGGCTCAAATCAAGGCTCCAAAAACACCAGGTGGTACAATCATGACTACAATTTTCTTGAATTTTTTCAGGTGCATATTGTCCGCTATTGCAGCAACACTATCCGATGCTGTATATACATCATCGTTGAAGAACAATTTTCATAAAGCTATGGCACTGGCCAGCTCTCAGATTCAACAAGACTTGGCGAGGATCGATATAGAAAGTCTTATGTCATCAAATGAAATAATCAAGACTTTGGAGCCACAAGCTCAAACTTTTGTAAAGGAACAAATGATGAAGGCAATTGTTAATGTGTTTTATATGTGTATTGGATTTGCCGTGATTACCACTCTAGCTTGTCCATTTATCACGAATCATAAGTTACCTAATATGGCTGATTTGGAAGAACGAGAGGAAATAAATAAGGAACAGGAAATAAATAAAGGAGAGGAAATAACTAAAGGAGAGGAAATAACTAATGAAGAGCCAGAGAAAAAGTCTATTGAGGAAACTCCTGTTAAATCGGATGAAGCGCAATTGAGCAATGAGTCTAATGAAGTTGGTACTAAATAGCTTTTATTGCGATCTTAGTGTGGGTGGGGTACTGTAAGTAAAGTGTGTCCCTAAATTTTGGGTGCAAAAAAAAAGAAAGAAAAAAAAAATTATATGAAAAAAAAAATATTAACCGCCTCTCTTTCTTGCCTTATTATCAGCGTAAAAAGATTACGTACAAATTAATTTGCTCGCTTTTATGAAACCATCCTTATCAATCCTGGCATTGTGAGTAAAAGCCAAAGAATCCTCCTATACAGTAAGTGTTATTCTACATATTTACACATTAACCGATTAACACATCTACCCGATTTGACTGAAAAACAACTTACAAGGGAAGAAAAAAAAACCAAATAAAAAGAAAATGACAAGAAAAAACGACAATTAGTGTCAAACGTTTGACGCATTTTAATTTATAGAGTTATTTGACACACTGATGATAACAATCACCAAGATTTTTATTTGTAGGTCCAATTGATGTTAACAAGAATAGCTGATACATATAGATATCATGTGCATCAATTGATTGTAAATTTCAAGTATTCATATACTCAATATCCTGGATTTTCAATTGCCTCAAAATTGCTTTTATGTGAGGCTATCTGAACAAGTAGTATGATGGTGTTGACTTGTCAACACCGCCAACGTGGTCCTTGGTTTATTGCTGAAGAAAGGTTCTAGATCACAAAATATTATTGGTGTGGTGGGAGGTGGTGGGGTGGGGAGTAGGTATATTAAAGCAAGCTTAATAAATTTGGTTCTTCGGTACTTTGTTAAACCCGACGCTAAAACCCTTTGTGTTAGGTTCGAGACTCAATATAATTCTTGGTGATCAAGAGAGTCCTCACCTTTCCTGGTGTTTTTGTGCCGCTGTTGTATATACCCAGGGCATTCATTTTTTCATTTGTTTCCTCTAAAAAAAAAAAAAAAAAATCTAGAACTGATATCAAAATGAAATGAAATGCAGTAGTGGAACCAAAGAAAAAGAGGTGACATGGTTTCATGTCCTTAAGCCCTCGAAAACTCATTTGCATAATATGGAATGAAAATTAACTCAAGCTATGAAAAGTTTAAGACACAAGGAAGAGGCCAAGTGACTTGTGGAATTACAAGACTAGAAGTGTTACTTTCTTGTTCTATCTCTTATTTCTTATCACTACAATAGTTTATTAAATTACTCGTTTTTACATTCATTTTCGTTGCGTATTTCTTTGTTTCGCACTACGAGCCCAATTTTTGCTTAAAGTTGAAAACGATATACTAGAATAATTAATTAACGAAAGAACTGTTTTGTTGATTGTGTTTGTTTCTGCCTAGCTCTGTTGATTATTACAATGTCTCGAATACGTTATATAAAAAAAAACTCTAAATTTATGTCACGTGAGAATTGTTAAAAAAAGTTGCATGGTGGTACAAAACCAATCTCATAAGCTTTAAAAGAAATACTTGTCAATACTTTATATACTCAATCCTGCAAAGCTAATGAAATGCAAGTCTATAAGATAAAAATGTATTAACGTTACATGACATATAGCACAATAGACTCTTATATAGAACAGGCAACTTGTATTGCCTTTATTGCATATGCTTTACGGTTCAAGTAGAGGGCAAAAAAAACCTGTTCAATCAAGATAAACAAATTGATAAACCTTTCTCTTTTGGCCTTTGATAAAAAATTAACAGAAAGTAGAGAAATCAAACCTAAAAAGTGTACCTAGTGGTAACAAAACAAAAAAAAAACAGGTCACTTTCAGGTATATTTCCCTAGTAAACCATTCATGTTCATTTTTTTCTTTTATATCTCAAAGACTTCTCAAACATATCAAGCATCGGTTGAGAGTAGTTTCTTTTCTTTTCCCCCCTCCCTTCCCCCTTCCGCCTTCCGCCCACGATCCCCGCATTTCTCCCCACCTTACAGTTACCGTTAAAAAAACCTACAATAAAGACACATTAACAGTCGTATGCTTCTTGATGTGCAAAACTGTTTGGTCCATTTAGAGTTTTTAAAAAAAAGAAACCTCTTTTCTCCTCCCCTGTCCATGACCCTGCGATCTCATAAATACAAAACTCTCATTCCCTCATAATTTTAATCCTTTTTATTTAATTGGTTATTTTATTTTCTTGCAGTGGATCGAGATCTTTGGGTGAGGAAAGACATTACCAAATATTTTGGAGGTGGGAATAGAAACAGCATTTTGAAATCAACAAAAATATTAGTGATTGGCGCCCAATCACTCTGATTATTCCATAACTGTTACGAAATTTAGACTCTTGTACCTACTTTCAACACAGCTTCTTAATCTTCACTGCTAGCTTGGCTCAATACAATTGAAACCACTTATGAAGTGTTAAAAAGTGGAAGATTTATTGGATTTTGCAGATATTGACATATCTTTACGTATCCTGATTTCTTTTTCCTACTCTTTCTGGATTTCTTTTTCTTTTTTTTTTTTTTTTTTATCCGATATAAATGTGAGATATATGTGATATCAATTAGAAGAGGCGGCGCTAAAGTAGAGAAATGAAACAATTAGGGTGTAAATGCAAATATTATGATTAGCCATGTCACTTTAACGTATCTGTGGGACAACAAAGAGCTATTCTGGCTGTGTGTTCTTCCAGTGGGGGTGGGCATTATACTGTAACTAATTTATTGGGACACTACCATTAGTCGACGACGACTTGTGAGTTGGTTTTTTTTGTGTCGACCTAATAAGTGACTTTTAACACTGTAACATTTTAAGGTAGTGTATAGTTGGCTTAATAAATAGCGATTCTAGTTTCTTGAGAGAACAAATTAAAATAACAAAACTTTTTTAGTAACAATAGAACTAGAATGATTAATAGCTTATGCTGTTTCTGTTAGGTATTGTTGTTGATGTCTATTTTTTTCTATAGTTGTTGGATGGAAATTTATACGGTGGAGGATTTCTCGTCTTGTAGTAGTGCCGCCCCTCTTATTTCTCTGGACACAGTCCTAACATGAGACATTGGTAGTCTAGTATAGAGATAGAGAGACAAGAAGAGGGATCGAGATAGGGATCGCGATAGTGAGATATGATAATAAATTAAGAGCCGTCTTTGTCCTATCCTTGGTCTCATGTTTTAATTTCTTGATTATCTTTTGGTTTCGGCTTATTGATTATCTCTAGGTTTTGGCTTATTGATTATCTTTTCGGCTTATTGATTATCTTGGGTTTCGGCTTCTTGCTTAATTGTTTAAATTTCATAAAAGTTTCATTGGTATGGACAAATTTATCGAGGGCCAATAGTTACCCACCAACCATAAGGCATCAAAATGTACTTTTGAAAATTTGAACTTTGCCACATGCCACATACTTACTTTCTTATCAATGATAGCCACTGATATTAACATTGCTCTACGATATTACTTACTTTCTAGTTTCAACTACTTTTAATATTAACTACTTGCTAGTTTCAACTACTTTCTAATTTCAACTACTAATTTCAACTACTTTCTAGTTTCAACTTTTTCTCAATTTCAACTTTTCCCCATTTCAGCTACTCCTAATTTCAACTTGCTCCAGTCCCTATTACCCCCTCACACGTATATGGCTTAGAGATTGTCTTTAAAACCCACCTTTTAACAGAATACATATATCAAATTGCACAAGATCGTCTCTAATACTGAGAAAACAAAGACCTTGTCAAATAAGCTCGGGTAAAAGATGCTGTTTTATCATCAACTCTTGTGTAATATGTAATGTGTACTATCGTCTAACTTTTCAATAAAACAAGAATTCCCAGTAAGGGAGGTGTGCGTAAGTTGAAGCGCAGCCCACAGCCAGGAAAAGACGATAACCTTTTGCGACCAACAACTACTTTTTTGCTTTACATAATTCAAATCTCCATATTACTAGTAAAACCATTGCAATATTATGTAATATCTCGTCTAATAATAAAATCTCAATCTGTTCTAATAAAGGTTGTCCAATTCTTTCAACACTAAAAAGAAAAAAAAAAAATACAAAACCAGGTTATTACTCCGGCATATAATACTTTAGTAGTGCATTGATGATAATTTTGATTCAAATTTTCCAAAGGAGCCCAAATAAAAAAATAAAAAATTAAAAAAATTAAAAAAAATAAAAAATAAAATTAAAATAAAATAAAATTAAATTAAATTAAGAAAATAAATTATCTAAGTACAAAAATTTTTCAGTCCCCTATGAAGAAGTGAGATCTCAAATACTATTATGTATATATATGTATAATAGATACCGTTACTGGTACTAAGACATTCGGCAAGTCAAACTCAAACTCTTTGCTTGTTACACACCCCTCCCCCTTCTTTTTAGTTTGCCTCCTCCTTTTTCTTTTCTTTGTCCATTCTATAAATATATATATATATATATATATATATATAAGTTGGTAGACAGCGAAGATTACTTTGCAATTATATATACCATTATAACTCATCAATATTACTTATAATAACTGAAAAAATTTATCTACTTTAAGACAGTTATATATAAGTTAAGATGGGTGAATATGGTGGCCTAGGGATAGTTCTAGAAGAAACAGAGGGACACAAACGACATCATCAGGAAAAGAACTCGGAGAGTATACATATGCAACTGTCGTTACACAGTCTACGATCGTCACTGCAACATTCACTACTGCAACCACAACAACAACAGCAACCACCACCACAACAACAAGTTTCACATTTGGTTCCTCATCTGGTTTCTCAAATACGTATACCCATATCCTCCAGACAATCAAGCAGTACGAGTCTACCGAATATATCACACAAGTCATCGTCGCAATCTCTACTGGCAACACAGTTAAAGACAACTACAAGTGTAGAGCAACTACAGTCAATAACAACTAATACTACCAGTTCTGCTGCAGCTGCTACTGCTACTGCTACTGCTACTAACGCCAACGCTGCAACTACCGCCACCACAACTACTGCAACTAATTCTACTCAACTTATAGACTTGGCAAGCAACGAGATTCTACTCCCACCTTTACCCCATGCACCTGAAGACTTGACATCACCATTAAGTAACTCATATCTCCATGCATCTTACAATGAAGATCAACACTCGACAAATTCCAACAATATTGATGCTACTAATACCCAAAATGATTTAGACAGTTCGAACCACAGTTTGTATTCTCAAGAGTTTACTTCAATATACAAAAATAACGAAGGTTCTTTTTCAAATTATGCATTAGATTCGCCAACCTTACTCATTGATCAACAACAACAGCAGCAGCAGCAACAACAACAACAAAAACTGAAGCACCCACACAATTCGAGTCTTCACTATTTCCCTACTACATCTTCATCTACTATTTCCTCACTGAATAAGCAGAGTGAATCCAGTCCAAGTTTGATTTCAGGTAATGGAAACACCCCTAATTTACAGCCATCAGCCACTTCAAGTGCGTCAACAGTAAACTCGGCAAATGAAAAAACCAGTCCTTTGAAGAAGTTGAAAAATTTGAAAAATGGAATTCGAAAATTATCACTTGGATCAAGCAGCAATTTCAGTTCAGCTTCTTCTGCTATGACTACTCCTACGGGAGTTAATGGACCAAACTCATCACTCACGGCTAATCCAATACCTTTAAGACCTGCTTTAAATCCTATACAAGTTGATGATAGAATTAGTACATTTAGACCTGTTTCGTCAACGGCAACCACGCCAACCCCCTTCAATCCATCATCATCATCAAATATAAGTAGTCAACATGGACACCATTCATTGTCGTCTTGTTCATCTACTTCCACTACATCTTCGGGAACATCGATTTTCCGCGCCAAAAGAGCAAGAGCATCGAGTCACGGTAACTATTATACAAATCTGACTCACACACCAATAACACCACCTCCATTAGCATGTTTCCCTTTGGCATCACCAGTTATTACCTTGAGTGATAATTTCCAATCTAGCAAAACAACTATGAATACTCTCGAACAGAGTTATTTTGATTGCTTGAACAATAGTTTGTCAGGATCGCCTACAACGGTTCAGTCTAGCTCTGTTCAGGCTACATTGCCATTACTGCAGCTGCAGCAGCAGCTGCAGCAGCAGATTCATTCAATAGAAGAAATTACAAATGTAGACGATTTACTCAATTATCTGGATTTTCTTCATTTACAAAAAGAACAATTAAGTCAAGTCTATGAGAAAACTAGAGAAAAATTAGAATCTTCAGGATGGTGCTCAAACTATGATATAGGGAATTTAAAAGTACAACAAAATATTCAGGATGCTGCTATAGATACGATGATTTTAAAAGTTGAAGAGAAGTTGAATAGGGATTTCAGCTATCCAATGTTGTATGAAAAACCCGAACTTGGAACTGATGAAACTACTTCAAGAGCAACCGATATAACACCCCCTAGCTTAAAAGCATTAGAAAGTCGCTGTTTTTCATACGGAGAGCTTTAACTAGAATATAGTGGATAAATCTTTAATAGGGTAAGTAGATTAAAATAACTTAACGAAGTTACGCGTAATTACTAAAAGCCTATTCCTCCAAGCTTTCTCTCTCTCTCTCTCTCTCTCTCTTTCGCTCGCTCGCTCTACCCCTATCATCTAACATTTATACCTTTTTATCTTGTTCAAGCAAAATGTGATTTCCTTCAAACGGACACGACGAAAAATATATCTGCACATTTCTGCCTCGACAATTATCAACTTTTTTTCATACCAAAAAAGACGCTACCGTATGTTCTCATCGCGAGTGCATACCACGCGGTCTAGAACCACTTAGACCAAAAAGTCGCACTAAATTTACTTTATTACGGCTCCACTCCTTGCAGAACAAAAAAATTTTCATTTTACGATAGTATTGAGAAAATGAAACCTGTTTTATTGATGTGATGTGTGGATATTGTGTTGACTGGGTGTAATCTTAACCGATACTGTTGCAACCTACTGCTGCTACCTACTGCTTTTGCTCCTATTGTGAGCTTTTCCCGTTTATCACAAAAGGTAAAGGGAGACAAGAGAATAATTGTAAGAGACAAGAAGCTATTTATAGACAAGAAGCTAGAAAAGAAGCTAGACAAGAAGCTAGACAAGAAGCTAATTAGTTATAAACAAAAAAACCCACCTATTTGATACTGGAGAGAAAAACCTACTTATTTGATTCTGGAGAAAAAAACAAATTTTCGAGAGAATCTAAGTTGTTTATAAACTTGAATTTGTAAATAAAAGCTCTTGAATGGGCTCTTGAATAGGCTCTTGATAGGCTCCTGAATATAGGCTCCTTTTACTACACTGTGTATAAATGTATCGAAATATCAAGATCTAAAAATATATGCATTAAGTTAAACAAGAAATAACGTTTTTAATGATATTTCTTTCAGCATAATTCAGTATGAGGTATATATTTCGAATCGGAAAAAAAGCATTTCCCTCGATCTAGCAGTTCTTTTCCCCTCCACTCATTCATTCTAAATACTAAATGGTGCAGTGAATAGAATGCATTCGTATCAAAGAAGAAAAGAAAAGAAAAGAAAAAGGTTTGAAAACTTTTACCAATTCGTAAATGACAAGAAGAAGAAGAAGAAGAGAGAAATTTTTTTCCCCTGTAAAAAGAGGTAGTGTACCTGTGCTACTCTCACGTGACTTCCCCTTAAACCTCTTCTTTACCACATTGTCTATAATATTCCTTGCCTGTTTACTTGCTTCATCTCGTTCTTTGCATTTGTCATTTAATTTGATCGACAAGTCAATAATCTTCAACGATTGATCTGAGTGGCTACTGCCACTAACGTCGTCAATAATCTTCAACGATTGATCTGAGTGGCCACTGCCACTAACGCCGTCTCTTGCACTGCTTATTGCCATCAAATAATTTAGTTCCTGGATCATTAATCCTATTTCAACATCCAAATTGTCTAAATCCGCCGTCACTTTTGATATTTTCTGTTTTTCCTCTGGTGTATGCTCTAACCTTTTTTGCGCAATAGCAATATTTCGATCTAAATCGTGAATGTAAGATTGAAGCATTTGGAAATATTCATACTCCATCTCCGGATACTTCTTACCAAGTTTTTTGGTTTTATATTCATACTCTAGTTTGTACTTGTGTATATGTAGATTTGGACAGTTGCCTAAATCTGATTTGGTACCAACAAACAAGTCATGAGGACATATACCAATGACAAAAGCTTTACAAACCTCAGGAGCTGTCATACCTGGATCATTGTAATGTCGCACATATGACAGAGAGGACTGCTTGCCCATAAGTTTTTCAATCTGCTTTCTCTGCTCCTCGGCCATCTCTTCTGGTTCATATACCCACTAGTCTAATCCACTAGTAAAGTATTATAAGAAATTTATTTTTTCCTTCTTCATTTCTTTTAGTGATAAAAATGCGGCTTACAAGTTTAATCTTCACCACGCAGGTGGGCCCATTTCATGTGAGGGGGAGGAGGGGGGGAGAGAGAGGCATGTAGTTCTTGACAAATCAGTTATATACATATTATTAGAGAAAATCTATAAATATTTATATCTATATATATATATATATGCATATATTTTGCAACTTAATCTTGCTTTGCTTCTTTCTCTTTCTCTTGCTCTTGCACTTGCACTTTTTCTTCCTTTTTCTCTTCTTCCGTGCTTGCACTGATCTTCTCCTTCGAAACGTAACCCAAAGCACTCAATCTTTCAGGCAAAATGGGATGAGAATGGTGGAATGATGAGTACAACCAATCTGCATTCATACTCGACAAGTTCTCGGTAGATAATTTAATCAAGGATCTACTCAACTCTTCAGCATAGCCACAATTACGAGCATATTTATCAGCATCGTACTCATGTTTCCTAGAAAGTAAGTTTTCGACAAATGACAATACACATTCCAATGGTTGCAAGATATCGCCAAACAATGTGAAACCAATCAATATTGGTTGTTCATTAAAGAATCCAAATGAGTGGAATAGTGATTTGTTGTGAATAAATAATTGGAATAACGTAAAGATGATAAAAAAATGAACTTGTTTCAGAGCAATCATTATCGGAATATGGTTCAATCTCCAGTGACCAATCTCGTGCGCCAAAACAGCCACTGTCTCTTCGGTGGTATTGTGTTCAATCAATGTATCATATAAAACAATTTGTTTGCTCCATGGTAACCCAATGAAATACGCATTTGAGTGTGACGAACGCTTTGAACCATCAACAACCAACAATTTTTTCAATGGGAATTTTTGAGACGAGGCCAAATTCTCAATCGCAGTCTTCAATTGTCCATCTTCCAAAGGTGTGAATTTGTTAAACAATGGAAAAATCAAAATTGGGGCAATGGTTTGTCCTACTAACATAACAACCAAGAAAAATCCCATCAAATACAAAGTAAATGCATCGCCATAGTAATCAACAATCTTCAAAAAACCAGCAATAATGGGTGAGCCAAGAACAATTGAAAGCGCAATTTGTTTAAGTTTATCACTTATCCATATGCCCAAGGTTTGTTTGTTGAATCCATACTTCTCTTCCATAACAAAGTTTTGGTAGTAACTGATTGGCAAGTTAATAATAACTGATAAAATTTGACTAGCAGACAGAAATATAATCGATTGGGTGATGACTCCCCCCATGAAACCAGGTAACAAATGTGAAATTGACTTCATAAATAAGCCACTCCAACCCCATACTTTTGGTAACAAATCATACTTGTAAACAGCTAAATTTTGTACTAGGCCAAAAGTTGATGAAAAAATGGAAAACTTGGTTTTGGAACGAGAGTATTTTTGTGACTTGTCAAACGTTTCCTGGTTCACTTCTGCTTTGACTGAAGCTGGTGGAGACTTATTCTTGAATACTTGGTATTGTCTGTACTCAAGGTATGTCTCAAATACATATTGGCCAATGGTTAATCCAATAACAATACCTTTCCAATTAATGGTTGGACTGTCGAGAAATGACAAGGCCTATTTTTTTTTCATTTTCGACGGTTAGTATCAAAAGCAAGCGAAAAGAGGAAAGATATGGAAATTACAATCACCTTTTGTATGAGGAGTCTTCAACATACTTCAACTATAGAGACCATAACTACTGTTTGATGAAAAAAAAGTGTATAACGATTTAACACGGTTTTTTATCTTCGGTATATTTTCTCCCTTTATAAAATTTTTCTTTTTTTTCCCTTGCTTTCCCTTTCTCTCTTTAAACTCTTGCACTCTTTTTTATTAAATTTGCTGTACAATACTTATGGTTGATGCCATTTTAAACTTATAGATATCATCTAGTTAACAAAACCCCATACGCGCATTTACTCTCTCCAACTACGCTGATAAACCTACTGACTACTGACTACTACTACTTCTTCTTCTTCTTCTTCTTCTCCACCCCCACAATGTATTCACTTCATGCACCTCTTTGTTTATTCAGTATTTTATTTTTTCAGAGCTACAAAAGTCTAACTTGAATATATATAACACGTTCTCCTTGCTTCTCAACTTTTTTATTTAGCTTCAGCAGCCAATTTTTCAGCTTTGGCAACAGCATCTTCGATACCACCAACCATATAGAAAGCGTTTTCTGGCAAGTGATCGTATTTACCAGCCAAGACATCTTTGAAAGATTTAACAGTCTCTGACAATCTCACCAATTTACCTTGAATACCGGTGAAAACTTCAGCAACGGCAAATGGTTGTGACAAGAATCTTTGAATCTTACGTGCTCTTTCAACAGTTAACTTATCTTGTTCAGACAACTCATCCATACCCAAAATAGCAATAATATCTTGTAAAGACTTGTATGCTTGTAGAGTCTGCTGAACACCAGTAGCAACATCATAATGTTCCTGACCGACAACAGCAGCATCCAACAATCTTGATTTTGAATCCAATGGATCGACAGCTGGATAAATACCCAATTCTGAAATACCTCTAGACAACACAGTAGTGGCATCCAAGTGGGCAAATGTGGTGGCTGGAGCAGGATCGGTTAAATCATCGGCTGGCACATAAACAGCTTGGACTGAGGTAACTGAACCTTTCTTAGTAGTAGTAATACGTTCTTGCAAAAGACCCATATCGGTGGCCAAAGTTGGCTGATAACCGACAGCTGATGGAATACGACCCAACAAAGCAGACACTTCTGAACCAGCTTGGGTGAATCTGAAAATGTTATCGATAAACAACAACACATCTTGACCTTCTTCATCTCTAAAGTATTCAGCAATAGTTAAACCGGTCAAAGCAACTCTAGCTCTAGCTCCTGGTGGTTCATTCATTTGACCGAAAACCAAGGCCACCTTAGATTCACCTTCCAAGTTGATAACACCAGTTTCTTTCATTTCACGGTACAAATCGTTACCTTCTCTGGTTCTTTCACCAACACCAGTAAAGACCGAGAAACCACCATGTGCCTTGGCAATGTTGTTGATCAATTCTTGGATGAAAACGGTCTTACCGACACCGGCACCACCAAACAAACCAATCTTACCACCTCTAGCATATGGAGCTAATAAATCAACAACCTTGATACCGGTTTCCAAAACTTCAGCTGCTGTTGATTGTTCAATGAATGATGGTGGCTCAGCGTGAATTGGGTTTCTTTTCTTACATTCAATTGGACCTCTTTCATCAATTGGGTCACCAGTGACATTGATGATTCTACCTAAAGTACCTCTTCCAACTGGCACGGAAATTGGAGCACCTGTATCGGTGACCGAGGTACCTCTAACCAAACCTTCGGTACCATCCATAGCAATTGCTCTAACGGTGTTTTCACCCAAATGTTGAGCAACTTCCAATACCAAATCTTGATTACCATTCTTCAAGGTTAAAGCATTCAAAATGGCTGGCAAGTTTCCTTCTGGGAACTGAACATCAACAACGGCACCAATAACGGCTCTAAAAAGAAAAAAATGGGGAAAGAAATGTTAGTATTTAATTGCTTACTTACTTGCTTGTTTGTTGAAGAAAGAAACCCACTAAATAAATAGATGAATTTGATTAGGTGGTGGTTCTGATTGAAAAATTTCACTTGGGCGTGTACTCGAGTCCGAAAATTTCTCTCATCAAATGTTGAATGATTTTCGATTTTCAACAAAGAGAAAGGACACAGTAGTTATACCTTGAATAAGACGGTGAAATCATCCGCGTTTCCTTCTCTCAATTTTGGTCTAATGTCGAAAATTCGTCACTTTAAATCTAAAGAAACAACGACAAAAAGAGCCGGGGAAAAGAGCCGAAAAAAAAAAGGTCTCGGCATCAAGCCCAGGCGAGTTTCCACTAGCAACACAATCTCCACTATCTCGCTCTGCTCGATGTTTCATTTGATTGCCTGCCTCCCCTTCTCTTTTTTCAATCAATTGAATTCTTAGTGTCAAATAATAAAAAGTTTGTAAAAACATACCTGACCTTACCATGAGCTTGCTGAGTAGCTGCTGTGGCTAAGGATCTTACTGATCTAGCTGATCTTGCTGCTTGTACTGCAGTACGTGAAGTAGCATTAAACAATCTTGGCAAAACCATCGTTATAAATTCACAACTTTGGTTAATTGAACTGGATAAATCTAATGCTGATCAAATATTGGTGATATATAAAAAGGAAAAAAAGAAAAAAAAGGGAAAGAAAGAGAGGATATTGAACGAAATTATTCAAATTGGTAAAGTTTTTTTTTTTTTTTTTTTTTTTTCTCTTTCTCTCTTTTTGTCTGGACGGGCTCGTTAGAGGGGCAGGTATGAAATTTTATTGGCTTAACGGTTTTAATGTTAGTGCGAGGGGTAGTGTACACATGTACTGAAAAAAAAATAACATATACGACTGGGAGACAAGATGAATCTTTGAACAACCAATTAAAAGAGATGGACGTCTTGTAATTGCATGTGGTAGCGTCGACACTATTGACACTATTGACACTATGGAGCAGTACTTTGTAGCTTGTTAGGACAAGCTACAAAATGTTGATAGTGTTGGTAGCAGCTAGTGGGCAGCACTTTGTAGCCTGTTACGACAAGCTACAAAGTGTTGATAGTGTTGGTAGCAGCTAGTGTGCTCCACTGACTATATGAGAGAGTATGGGCAGTTTAGAGAAAAGAAACTAATCGCTAGCTACAACTAATTAGCCCACAATCAAACCTTGTGCGTTACTTGGGTTCTAAAGAGCTTTCATACTTTTCTTTTTTTTCTGCTTTTTGTGTTTTTGCTAATAATTAACAAACTATATAGATATAGATATTACACAACAATTGCTCTCAATTGATCCATTTGTTGAACTTTCAACTTGACCTCGTTTAAAAGTTTTCTCAATTCTTCAGGATGATCTTGATACATCAAAACCGTATTCTTCGGTATATGCGTTTTCTCAAGAACACAATTTAAACAATTCTTTCTTGAATTGATATCAGTTTTCTTATTACCCGATTTCTTGAGTCCCAGATGTTTCCTCTTTAGTTTTAGTAACTCAGCTGCTTTTTGAAATTGTTGTTCTTCAAAATGCAGTATTCTAGTAGATCTTCTCTTTTTTTGATGTCGATTTAAAACTTCCTGTTCTTGTGTTCTTTTCTTAGTTTGGGAAATCAATTCATCATACTCATCCATTACGCATTTTGATTTTGATGGTGGTGGTGCTAATTGGAATAGCTCTTCAGCAGAATCTGACTTTGCTACGACGTTGACAGCTTCACTTGGTGTTTTCTTACCTACTCGCTCTTGAGGAGAAGCCTCGGGTGTAAGCAATTGTGGTTTAAATGATCCCAAAGAGGAATCCTTGTGCACTTGTGGCTGATCCTGATCCTGATCCTGATCCTTCTTCCCCTCTACCTTCACCTCCACCGCCACCACTTCCTCCCTCTCTTCCTCCCTCTCTTCCTCCCTCTCTTCCTCCTTCTCGTTGTCCTCTTCTCCAAGTAAGCAATACTGGAATCCCAAATGGGTCTTGCAATTATAGCACAATTGCTCTTCATCGGAATCCTCTTCAGTTACCCCCTTTTGTTCACTGTTGAGCAGACTTTCCTTGCAAGCTTCTTCTTTTTCTCTTTCTTTTTCTCTTGCTCTTGCTCTTGGCTTGTACTCCACTTTAAGTGCTTTTGATTTCATCTTTTCTAATAAAAGCTCTTGATTATCCAAAAACTTTTCAAACACCTCGATGCTTCTCATAACCAAGTCCAATCTATCTTTTGAAGTTTCATTCTCTTGACTAAACTCTTTCAAAATATTCTCCACCAATTCATAATAATTGAAAACATTTTCCTTCTTAATTGGCTTGTAATTAATTATCGACTGCTCACCAAACTCGAGCCATTCATTCATTGCAAAATTAACAGCTTCGTTGAAATTGAAGCCGCAATTGAAGCCAGCATGGTACACTTTTGGGTACGTCACCACAAACTCGTTCGGCTCCTGGTCGGCATAAAAACATGGTATGCCATTCTCAACTAGTTTCATTGGGTTCATTAATGTAGTTATTTGATGCAAAAGATCCGGTTGTTTCTGGAACAAATCTGGTGCTGATTTCTTCATCAAGTCTTCAAACTGGGACGCATGTGAAGATGGTATTCCGTACCATTTCTTCGTAGCGCCAAAATGGCAATAATTAGCCGAGAGTGTATAATGATCCTCAACATGCCAGCAAAACGTTGATAGTAGTGACCCAATGTATATCCATGGCACGGTCATTCCCGAAATGGATGTATTTATATAGTTGAGTAACGACCCCTTGGCAAAGGGAAGTTTGGTCAAATTGTAAGGATGGTTTATATAGTACTGATTCTGCGGATCTGAAAGATCAATTCCAGGTGTGTTTGCCATTGGGAATCCGCTTATTTCTCCCGGTCTCAAATTATGTATATCGGCACCATACTTTACTACTAGATCAGATTTTTCAATATCAACAAATTCCCAGAATTTTTCTTCAATTTGATCTAGAGTCATTGGCTGTCCATTATTATACTCATTGAAAAATTTCGCATCAAATTCTTGACACATTCGATAAAATTCAGGTATACTATACTTGATTTCCTGGTGCTCCTCAAATCCGTACTCGCCTGTCCCTACTAAACACTTGTCGCAATACCAATTTGCTTCGGGTATTTGTTTTAAAGGTGGGTTCAAACATTTCATATGAAAAGCGTTATCACAATTATCGCAAAGAAGAGTTTCCTCAGGGTTGTCATCTTCTCCACAAACCAAACAATTATCAGAATCGTTTTCGGAATCGCTCTCTGGGAAATCAGCCGATTGATTGCATTTTAAAAAAATAGCATAATTCTTGATTGATGCAGTATACTCCATCTCAATAGCCTTGGACTTGAAATCAATACCAAAGCTTTTGTTGATCTCTTGCCAAAGCAGCTTATTCATAGCTTGAAAACCACCCATCTTTTCCACTAAAACATATAGATCATAATAATAGACTTTGTGACCTTCAACTTTGAAAAATACCTTCAATAACCGTTTCCCCCTCATTTTCAAAAACCTATTGATGTTCTCCTTAAAGAACTTTCTTGATCTCGTTGTGATACCCAAGTCACTAATCACCTGCTCCCGAACATGGAACTTAAAACTGGGCGATATTTGAAAACTTGGTTTCCAGCTAATTGGCGGGACAATCTTCACAATACCGTATACTTTGCCCAATTGCAAAATAGCTTCGCTAGATAAATATTTGATGGGATCTGCAAATTCCTCTTCTGTTGGTTGTAAGACCGGACACTGCCTTAACAACGTCTTGTCGAATTGAGACATTATCAGCTGGAAAAAACCCCCCCTAGCAGGAAAAAACCAAAAAAAAAAACAAAAAAACGATAAAAATGTGAAAAATGAAAAAGCCCCAGTAAACCGGTGAAACTAAGTAATTAGGAATCGTTTTGAGCGTCAGCGTCTCAGTCTTTTATACTTACAAGTTTCACTTTTTGCAAAAAGTACCAATAACACAGTATAGTAAGAAAAGTAACCACGTAATTATCTGCTAATTTCTTAATCAAACTGTTAAGATTAATTTTTTTTTTCTCTCTCTCTCTCTCTCTCTTTCTCTCTTTAGTGCGGTGCCTTTCTACCCTTTTTTAGATCCTTGATCTTTATTGTAGTTGCTCCCCTTAAATTGAGCAAAGCAAACTCCGGATATCGCTTTATTACTCAATAGATAAGAATTTACAAATGAGCTTGTTAAATTACTTAATTTCGGCTTCTTTTTTAAAAAAAAATGGACCAGTTCTAAAGTCTTTTACTATGACCCTCCTTACACCAGATTGCAAAAAAATTAGTGGGAGTTAGAGTTTCAACTTTACTTTCCAAAGCCCATTGGAAAAAAAAAAAAAAAATCAAGTGATATTCCCTTTTGTAGACTTCCATATTGGGTAAGCTGTGTCGAGGGAGAGAAAAAAAGAGATGGAAAAAATCAAGTGTACAAAGTTCAATTACTATTGCGATAAGATTCATCAGTAGGGTAAAACTAACCTGTCTCACGACGGTTTAAATCAGCTCCCGTTCCCTATTAGTGGGTGAACAATCCAACGCTTACCGAATAGAGCCAACATCGAAGAATCGAAAAGCAATGTCGCTATGAACATACACTATCGAGCAGAGCGAGATAGTGGAGTAATATCGACTAGCATGTTACAACACCGACTAGTATGTTACAACACTATCCAGCAGCACTTTGTAGGACCCGCCCATATTGAGTAAAACTATGTCTGGGGAGAGAAAAGGAGATGAAAAAAGATCAAGTGGTATTCCCTTTTTGTAGACTTCCATATTGGGTAAGTTGTCACCAAGATGAGAGAATGAGATGTGCCTAATTTTTCTTTTTTTTTCAACTGGAGTCCTTTTTTTTTTCAATGAGAATAGTGCTTACTCTCTTCTCTACTGGTCCACTAGCTCGCTTCGCTCGCTAGTGTCGTATAAAACAAGAAGCGATATGAAAGATTACACAATTACAGTATTGGGTGCAGGTGTTATGGGCACTGCTGTTGTTTCGGCATTGTTGAATCTGAAATTTGAGCCATATCCCAAGAGAATCATTCTTTGCACGGCTAAACATAATGAAAATAACATTGAGGAAACTTTCAAGGATCACGAGATTGTTAGCTTTGCATCTGGAGCGAAGGAGAATAGCGAAGCAGTTAAAAAGGCAGATATAATTTTATTAGGAATCAAGCCATTTATGTTGGACCAAGTTTACCAGGAAGTCAAGAACTCATTATCTGGTGAACAGCTTTTAATCTCCTTACTTGCAGGAACAACTATTGCAGAATTGTCGATTTTCACTAGATACGTGGCAAAGGTAATGACTAATACACCTGCAAGATATGGATGCGGTACCGCTGCTATTTCTTTTTCACCACAGGTGACTAAGGAACAGCAAGATCTCGTTCAAAAGATGATCGATACAATTGGGTTAACGGTGCTTATTCCAGAAAAAAATATGGATATTGCAACCTCACTTATTGGCTCGGGTCCAGCTTTTTGTTTGTTAATGATGGAATCGTTAATTGACGGTGCAGTGAGGATGGGTATGCCATATGATATAGCGAGAGTTTCAGCAGCAAAAGTCATGGAAGGTACAGCCAAAATGGTATTGGAGACAGGTGAACATCCTGCTGTTTTAAAGAGCAAAGTATGTACACCTGGCGGTACCACGATCGGTGGATTGTTGAAGATGGAAGATAGAGGAATCAGAGGTGCAATCGCAAGAGGTGTCGAGGAAGCTGCAAACATATCTGCATCGTTTGCTAAAAAGTGAATCCCATGAAAAGAAGGGGGAAAGAAAAGTGAGAAATGAGAAATGAGAAAATGAAATGAAAAAGTGTGCTTTCTCTATGTGAGTGATATATATATATATATCTATATACATGTGTGGCTATGAAATTATTGCAAGTCTTTACCTTGGAACATATATGCTCCTGTAATAGTTGCCAACTCATCTTTGGTTAAACCCGTATCCTCTGACTCTAAGTAATCCTTCAATTTTTTGCCATGAGCAATAATATCCTTATCAGTCAAAAGTTTCATCATTTGACTCATTGATGGCTTTCCCGTAACGAGCAATCCTTTTGCTTCAAGTAGTGTCTTAAACTCCAAAGTCAATTGTCTCAACTGTGGATGTTCTTCTAACACTTTCTTGACTTTGGCAAATGTCTGTTGTTGCTCTTCAGCAGAGGGACTCTTGTTGAAAAATTGTACTGATGACGTTTGTGAAAAACTTCTTACATTTCTATATAACACTGGTCTAAAACTACCACTGAAACTAACACCCCCAAGCTTTTTTTGTCCAATACTCCTAAGCATCTCTTTTTTGTTTTGCTCTCCTCGCTTATACGCAACTCTTACTTTCCGTCCTCAAACTCAACCTGTACTTTGTTGAAATTTCCAATGTTATACCTCATCACCCTCTTTGGCGGGCCCCCATTGATTTGGCTTGGTTATTTCTGCACGACCTGTCGTGTCGAAAAACTGAAAAATTTTGCGAAATGAAAAAAAAAAAGAAAAAGAAAAAAATCACGACAACGTTAAGAAAGTAACAACTTTAAGTAGAACACTCACTACAATCCAGTTGCTCATACAGGAACCCCGATCTAGTATAAAGATGTCAGCTGAAAACCAAGAAGAATTGTTAGACTACTCTGACTCGGAGGAAATTACAGTTCCAACCACCGGACAAGTCGGCGATGGTGATGCATCCAATGATAAAGAAGCTGATAAAAAAGGTTCTTATGTTGGTATTCATGCCACTGGTTTCAGAGACTTTTTATTAAAGCCGGAATTGTTGAGAGCCATTGGTGATTGTGGTTTTGAACATCCTTCAGAAGGTTTGTACCCTATGAATTCATGATCTCGAAGGGAGGCACCAGGTTTCTTTAAGAAAGATGACGCTATTTAACTTTCTATTCCCACACTGTCGAGCGAAGCGAGATAGTGGAACAACACTAGCTGCCACTGACACTGTCGAGCGAAGCGAGATAGTGGAGCAACACTAGCTGCCATTGACACTAGCTGCCATTGACACTAGCTGCCACTGACACTAGCTGCCACTGACACTAGCTGCCACCGACACTACGCAAATATGTCCCGGAAAGAACACCACTATATTCCCAATTTTCCTATAAAAGAGTATACCATTCTCTCGTGTATGAATTTGGGTTGATATTTACACACAAGCTTACTATCTATCTGTTTGCCTCTATGTGTGTGTGTGTGTGTGTGCAGTAGACCGTTTTAAAAGGCGGATTCAGTACTAATTTGGGCCTTTTTCAAGGGAAAAGAAAAAGGAGAAACGGTCTGAGTACAAGCAAGTTTGAGCTACATCTATCGAGAAAACTGGTGTGCCCTTCGAAATATCTTTTCATTTTTTTTCTTACTTTTTTTTTTTTACATCAAAACTAACATATTTTCAATACAGTCCAGCAAGTTTGTATACCTCAATCTATTTTGGGAACTGATGTTTTGTGTCAAGCCAAATCGGGTTTAGGTAAGACAGCAGTTTTTGTTTTGTCAACATTGCAACAATTAGACCCTATTCCAGGTGAAATCTCTACCTTAGTCATTTGTCATACAAGAGAATTGGCATACCAGATTAGAAATGAGTATGCCAGATTTTCCAAATATATGCCCGATGTCAAAACCGAAGTATTTTATGGTGGTACTCCAGTTAAAAGAGATATTGAGAAATTAAAGAATAAAGATACCTGTCCTCATATAGTTGTTGCAACACCAGGTAGACTACATGCTTTGGTTGAAGAAAAAGCAATAAGATTGAACAATGTCAAGTCGTTTGTTATTGATGAGTGTGATAAAGTTTTAGAGCTGATTGATATGAGAAGAGACGTTCAGGATATTTTCCGTGCAACTCCTCACCAAAAGCAAGTTATGATGTTTTCGGCTACCTTGTCACAAGATATCCGTCCAGTTTGTAAAAAATTCATGCAAAATCCATTAGAGATTTATGTTGATGATGAGGCTAAGTTAACGTTGCATGGTTTGCAACAATACTACATCAAGTTGGAAGAAAAGGAAAAAAACAGAAAGTTATCTGATTTATTAGACTCTTTAGAGTTCAATCAAGTTATCATTTTTGTTAAATCTACTCAGAGAGCTAATGAATTGAACAAGTTATTATGTGCATGTAACTTTCCTTCAATTGCTGTTCACTCAGGTTTACCACAGGAGGAAAGAATAGAAAGGTACAAGTCGTTTAAGGAGTTCAACAAGAGAATCTGTGTCTCAACTGACGTTTTCGGTAGAGGTATTGATATTGAAAGAATCAATTTGGCTATCAATTATGATTTGCCAAACGAGGCTGATCAGTATTTACATAGAGTTGGTAGAGCCGGTAGATTTGGTACAAAAGGTTTAGGTATCTCATTTGTCTCCACTAAAGAAGATGAAGAGGTATTGGAAAAGATTCAAAGTAGATTTGATGTGAAAATTACCGAATTTCCAGAAGAAGGTGTTGATCCCTCAACTTATATGAATACTTAGAATTGAAACCTACTTGGATTGGGTTTTTTTTTCATATTATATATATATATATATATTTGTATAGTTTAGGTTTTGTTTATTGTTTGTACTAAAATAAAAAGAAAAAGAAAAAGGCAAAAGAATCTGAATTGTTACCAGTTTTAGTTTATCAAATCTATCTACCTACTACCTACTGTTCTACACATTTCGTCAATCATTTGGTATATTGCCCTAATACTAATTTTGGGGATTAAGAACCATTCAGTATGAACTTTGTAATTATTTTGTAGTGGGGCCTTTTCCAAATCTTTATTCACAGTCAAGTCTTCATCAGCAACACATCCACTGCAATAAACATCCCCCTTGCCATATTTTTCCCTCAAAGTTGAATGTATCATCAGTTCAACGGCTTCTAGATTCTCTTCACAGTAGAAACCGTCATTTTTAAATCTTTGATAACGATATCGATCTTCATCTTGATGAGTATCATGTAAGCTCAAATACATCATTTGTTGCCACCAATGTAGACGACGTTTTAACAAATGTTCATTTCGAGGTCCTATATTGATTAGTTCATGCTTACACTTGGATTCCCATTGTTTTATTCGGATATTTGGTAATTGATTAGTCATGCCAATTTTTACCAAGATATATGGCGATTTAGTGCTCTTGAAATTGATCCATTTGTCATGATGTCGTTTAGAAGTTTTTGGAATATTTTTGATTTGGAAATTCCAGTCTTTGGGAGGGTTTATGAAATTTTTCATGGTATAAATGTAAATGTATCCCTTGCGCAGACTTTTCAAAACTTTGCCCTCCATGTACGGTAGTCCTTTTGGTAAAAAAGCACCGGGCCCTTGTAGTTGGATTGCTTCATGATACAGGTTTGATGAAAACTTTTTGTTTTGGGCAATGGTACTGGCTGAAGCGCTAACCAGTAAATTTTTTGCCAACTTCTTATTTTGATCTATATGGTAATGACAATATCCCTTGTCACAATTGACGGTGATTTTACATCGAAACCCTCTCTTTGTTGTACCATAACACTGGTAAACATGTGCAACCATAGCCTAACGTTACCGTTGCTATAGACTATCGAGCAAAGCGAGATAGTATATGGAGATAGAAGGGAGAGCAGATACATTAGTTTGATATGTATTTTTCACTTTTTTGATTTGTTTTGAGATTGGCCTAATTTGGAAAATAGTCCGAGATAGATAGACTATTGAGCAAAGCGAGATAGACTATAGAGAGAAGAAAGAGTGTGGATATATACTATCTAGCTTTGCTCGTGATGTATAGAGAGAGTAGAGTAATGTTGTCTTCTCGCTCTGCTGGATAGTATTTAGAGAGAAGAGAAAGGGTAGATATATACTATTGAGCTGTGCTCGTGGTATAGAGAGAGTAGGTACATAGTAGAGAGTAGATATAGGGGTTGCTATAAAATTACCCTTATTTTCAAAATCCACCTTATGAAACAGGCTACTCACAATTTTGCATTAAAGTTTCAACAAACAAAAAAAATTGTAAATTTAGACTATCGAGGAAAGCAAGATAGTCTATGGAGAGAATAGATGTAGACTATTGAGCAAAGCAAGATAGTCTATGGAAAGAAGAGAGAGTATACATAGACTATTGAGCAAAGCGAGATAGTCTATAGAAATAAGAGAGAGTATACATAGACTATTGAGCAAAGCGAGATAGTCTATAGAGATAAGAGAAAGTGTACATAGAATAACTCGCTTTGCTCGATAGTCTTAGAGATAAGAAAGAGTATACATAGACTATTTCGCTTTGCTCGATAGTCTGTAGAGATAAGAGAAAGTGTACATAAACTATCTCGCTTTGCTCGATAGTCTATGCTCGATAGTCTATGCCTGATCACGTGTTATTTGATAATTTTTCATTGAAAACGCACAATGTAATCAATAATAAATGCAATTTTTTCTATACAAAAAAGCCGCACGCACTATCAAAATCATTTTGTAACTTTGAGTAAAGGCTATAAAATAAACTCCTTTTCCCCAATAACAAAGCTTGAAAAAGAGAAATGGCCTAAAAGAGAATGGGCCTAGAAAAGAGAAATGGCCTAAAAAAGAGAAATGGCCTAAAAGAGAGAAATGGCCTAAAAAAATAATGATTCGATTTTAAGGGGGGGGTGGGGGGGTAGGTAGGTCTCTGCGTAAAACTGTGTCGCCAGAAAACTCTTGGAGTAAGTCCAAGTGTGGACTTGTGTATCCAAACTCTTTCCATCTTTCTTGTCTATATAAAGCACACCAATTTTTCTTCAAGGCCAATTTTTCTTTAGGCTTTTTCTACTAATCTTTTTTCTTCTTCTTCTTCTTATATATAGTATTAGTATTAATTAGTAATAGGTTTCTTATCTTATCAGATGCCATCACATTTTGATACACTTCAGTTGCATGCAGGCCAGCCGGTTGAGAAACCACACCAACCAAGAGCACCGCCAATCTATGCAACTACGTCGTATGTATTCAATGACTCGAAACACGGAGCCCAATTGTTTGGGTTAGAAACTCCCGGTTATATATATTCAAGGATTATGAATCCTACAAATGACGTTTTTGAGCAGAGAATGGCGGCTTTGGAAGGCGGTATTGGCGCATTGGCCACATCGTCGGGTCAATCTGCACAATTTTTGGCAATTGCTGGTTTGGCTCATGTTGGAGACAATATTGTTAGTACTTCATATTTGTATGGAGGCACTTTTAATCAGTTCAAAGTTGCTTTTAAAAGATTAGGAATTGAGACGAGATTTGTTAATGGTGATGCTCCCGAAGATTTTGCTAAATTAATTGACGAAAAGACAAAAGCGATTTATTTGGAAAGTATTGGTAATCCAAAATATAATGTTCCCGATTTTGAAAAAATTGTTAAAATCGCTCATGATAATGGTATCCCTGTTGTGGTTGACAATACCTTTGGTGCTGGTGGGTTCTTGGTTAATCCTATTGCTCACGGTGCCGACATTGTTGTTCATTCTGCTACTAAATGGATTGGTGGTCATGGTACTACAATTGCTGGTGTCGTTGTAGATTCTGGAAAATTCGATTGGACAAAATATCCTGAAAAGTATCCTCAATTCTCTAAACCATCAGAAGGTTATCATGGCTTGGTTTTGAGTGACGCTTTGAAGGAGGCTGCGTTTATAGGACATTTGAGAATTGAGTTATTGCGTGACTTGGGTCCAGCTTTAAATCCATTTGGTGCATTTTTGTTAATACAAGGGTTGGAAACTTTGAGTTTAAGGATAGAAAGACAGAGTGAAAATGCATTAAAATTAGCTCAATGGTTAGAAAAGCATCCACAAGTTGATTCTGTTTCTTACTTGGGTTTGCCATCACATGAATCACATGCGTTGGCAAAGAAATATTTCAATAATGGTGCTAAATACTTTGGTGGTGCTTTGGCATTCACAGTTAAGGATATCGAAAACCCTTCAAATGATCCATTCAACGAAGCATCGCCAAGAGTGGTTGATAATTTGAAAATTGCTTCGAATTTGGCCAATGTTGGTGACTCTAAAACATTGGTGATTGCACCTTACTTTACAACCCATCAACAGTTGAGCGAAGAGGAAAAAGCTGCATCTGGTGTTTTGAAAGGATTGATAAGAGTATCGATTGGAACCGAATTTATAGACGACATTATCGAAGACTTTGATCAAGCTTTTAAGAAAGTTTATGGTAATTAAAGCAAGAATTGATATATATATATATATAGACATATGGATGCATACGTATATATATATATATATAAATAGATAACTGTGTAATTGAATTAGGGGGAGTGGTTTAGTATATCAATTTTTGTTGATAATATGTGCGGTATCTCTTCATCATCATAACGAGACTAAGAAGAAAAACACCATTCCAAATGATCCAAATGGAATAGTTGAACGATAGCATTCCTACTTGATATTGGTTTATCAAGTTTTCAATGAACTGAGAAAGGTAATAAACCAAAACACAATTGAGATTCATGCAAATTCCACCTACCAAAACACAAGTCATTCTTATGGTAAATACAAATTTCAAACTTGTACGAAACAATCCAAATAGCAAAACCAAGTCAACAAGACAAACAACAGAACCAACACCAAGTGATAGGATTGCTAAAACCACAACATATTGCAATATGAACCCCAAGTAATTATAAGTTTGTAAAACACAGGGAAAACTTAAAGTTAACATTCTACCGCTGCACAACTGTTTAATCAAGTCATAGTAAATCCTAAGGAATTTTCCTTCAAGCTCAACACTGGTAGTGTCGTCTCCAGTCAATCTACTCAACTGCATACCCAAGTCTTGTAAAAAACAAGAAACAACATTTAACCCTTCCCCGTTAGAACATTCAACACTACTACTGCCACCACCACCACCACCATCATCATCATCATTATCATTACTATTGTTATTACCAGGCTCAACTCGACAATATCCAAAAGTATTAAAATGATATATACTCCCATCGTACAAGGTATCTAATCTCTGGAGAATGGAATCATTTGTAGTGAAATTTGCATGGATATTTAAATCATTCGATAAATAAGTGGCAAACTTTAGCCCCTGTTGAATCAAATCTATTGTATTCTTTGCAAGAACAGATTGTGCTCGAATCTTGATAGTGAGCAATGATGGTCCATGAGGAATCAATGTTGTACACGAAATTTGAAAAAAATACGTTGTCAAGAATAAAAAAATGAGAATTGTTAATTCAACAAGTGACCAAAGAAAGTATGACTTCCAATGCCTTTTGGCACGTAATTGGAGATCTTGTTGCTTCTTTTCATAATCACTTATATTCATCAGTTTTATATTGAATATTGAAATGCAAGTTAAAGATGCAAAGCATTTATTGGCTGCAAAATGTTTTGTGACCAAAAAAGAAATAAAAAACAAAAAGATTTTGCAGCTACACAAAAAAGAAAAGAAAAAGTCTGCAAACCCTAAATTATTCAGTTATCAGTGGAAATTGTGCCCTCCTCCTTCATAGCCAAAGACTCCTACTAATACCACTTTTGATTTTGCTGATTGAAATATACTAATCAATTAGGCGCAAAGAGATTGTAAGAAAATAAATATCAAAGAGTAAACTGTTACTTATCAAACCCGTAGACTATATAGCTTTGCTCGATAGTCTATACAGCTTTGCTCGATGGTCTATAGTCTATTTTCCTTCGCCACATTATTTCTTTGCCAATGCAAAACATCGTTCAATACTTTTCTCATTATTCCCCCACCAATTGGGCATCAACACCGTTTTACCTGCTGAGAAAAAAATGAAAATCAACAAGACGGCTAGATTGTATCCTGTATCAATTGCCGCTGCAACTAGATAGTTGTATTTTTTCCATATTTTATGTTTATATCTATATGCATAAAACATAGTTATGGTACCACCAATAAATTGAGAAAATGGTCCAGTTGATATATTGCCATAAAAAGTTGACATTGTTGAGAAAAAAACAGTAGTGTTCCATAAATTGAACTTGAGTTTTGATTTCGGAAAGAGTCGATACATTGCATAGATGACAATCGGAGCTATAGCACCAACCAAGAAACCATATGGTAGCACTTGATAATTCTTGAATAATCGAGACGGCCCCAATACAACGTACTGGATGGCATTAGTGTGATATGAAACAATCGCTTGCCCTGTCCATTGATGTAAATGATCTACTTTAGTCCCATTTAAATATTCCATTTTCGAAGACAAGACCCATCTTAAAGCTGCGTAATTTATAGGCACTCCAATCAATTCGCCAAATATTTGTGAAAAGAATACTGCTTTAGGTGGTAAATGCATATAATGACCGATTTTTTGATCCTGTAAAATATACTGAGCTCTATACCACGCATCTCCCGCTATTGCACCGTACACCGTAGCTCCTGCAGGGTGCCTTGAGGATTGGGTTTGAATCATATATCCATATAACAACTCGTTGAATGTACCTATGGCTAATTGGAAATTAGACAATGCATAAAGCCATGCTAAGGGAGTAACAATAATGGATCCAAATACTAACCCAATGATAAGACACCACCATGGCATAAACAACTTCTTTGTTGCAAGTATAACCAACAAAGTGATAAAAGAACAAAGGAAAAGAATAAGATACCAGAATAAGGGGACTTCCTTATAAGCAGATTGGATTTTATTCAATCGGTCAGTATACTGTAAACTCAACGATCCCTTTGTTTTCCTTGATTTGACCAATTTTTTAAACGATGAAGATAAACTAGAATATCCAAACACAACAACCCAAACAAATCCAGAAACATAAGCAGCATAATCGAAAAACATGTTCCAAGCCCTTTGAGCGCCCAAGTGTACATGACCCAACTCTTCATATCGAGTTACGTTCAATTGTAAATCGGATGTCAATAACTCTTGAGTCGGGTATTTTGTACCATTGGCCATGAATAAACTATTTGACATTAACCCGTATTTGTAGTTGGATAGTCCGCCCCATTTAACCAGTGGAATCAATATCCATGCACTTATTACAAATGCAATAAATTGGACAACTTGCACCCAATATGGGTACAACATTATAGACGAGGTGATGTTTGACCAATCGAGAGTGATATTCATAAAGCCCATACCACCCAAACCCGAACCAATGAAATTAGCAACATAGTTTTCAGGAGCAACCCAACATAAAAACGCTAAAGAAGAAGTCATGGGCCATATATATTCAGGAAAAAAGTGCCATATGCAAACACCAACCAAGACACAAAAAAAAACCTTCATTTGTTTTGAGCCTTGTATTGAGTCCCGATCTGACTTATCCTGAGTTTGGAATAGAGTAGTTTGCATTAATGCTTGTGGCCAAACAAATTGTGGATCATAGAGCAAGAAATTTCTTGCTATTCCGGCATAAGAATAACCAACAAAGACGATTGACCACATGAAAAATAATGCTACTGCTGGATTAACGGTTTCCCCGTAGTAAATCTCCGCTAAGGATAATGCATTTGTGCCTAAACTTCCAGTTGCTCCTGAACTTGCCGTTATTGTAACCATTGCAGTTTCTTTGATGGTCCATGGACCAGGGTTTAAGTTGAATTTGAAAAAGCGACCAAGATGGATCGTTTTATTAGGTAGAACTTTGGCTAGCCATTTTCCAAACCAATGTGAAGCCACTTGTACGAAAAAAATCGAGTATGCCGCAGAAGTGGTTCTATATGAGTTCATTGTATCGATAAATGCACCCGGTATAATGAAAATTATCGAAAGAATGAAATACCGAAACGTTAGAATTGGAGTACTAGGATCATTCTGAAAGGAGACTACTTCTCTCACAACTTTTGGTAACTCTGCAATATCCGGATCTAGTTCCGCCAGTATCAGGTTATTTTCATCATCATTATCATCATCACTCTTGGATACCTCCCGTGTAGATCTTGTACCTATACTCTCAATGTTATGCTCACTAGTAGTGCCTGCATCATCGATTTCCAAAGTTTTAACATCACCATCTTGTTGCTTTAACATGACTTACAAGAAAAATTGTGATTAGATTATACAAGAAAAGAAGAAGAAGAAGAAGAAGAAGAAGAAAAAATAAATAACATCATGACTTACATAGAAGATATACTACCTCCTGCTGAGTTTAAATAGAGACAAATTACTATATATTGGCCGTCAGTGATTTCTCAAACTGTGGGTTAAATGTATAAAAGTAAGGTTTTTTGTTTTTTTTTATGTTTTATATTTTATGTTTTATGATTTCATGTTTTTCGCAATCAGATTGCCGTTAAAAGAATCGAAATTTTATGCCGTACAGTTCATCATCTCACGTGAACCATTTATTTCAGTAAGGGGAGGAAAGGAGGAAAAGCAAGTTAGAAACCTGCCAAAATTGCTCTGTTGCTGTGGCAACGCTGTTGCCTTGACCACGGCCATCACCACCTTTATTTGACAGTTAATTTCCATTCGCCAGAGAGTTGAGGAGGAATGGACATTGGGGAAAAAAGATACGGAAAAGATTTGATTTAATACTTTAAATTGTGGCTTACTCTGGCAGCAAGTAGAAGAAGTTAATTTATAAAGTTAGTTGTCTCTCAACTAACTAAGCTCACAAGGCTGTTTTTTAAACTAAAAAATACTGTACCTTTTGAATTACAAACAATTCCAATAAAGAAGTACTTATCAGAGTTTTTCCGTTATGAAATATTCTAGAGTTTGCATAAAAAGAAAAAAAATAATAAATTTTACTAGATTCTTGAGCATATTTATTACTAAAAGAATATGATCCAACTATTTTTAAAGGAATATGATCCAACTATTTTTTTTTCTCAACACAACGTAATTTATGTAAATGCTTCCTTTCCACAATAATCATGCGAATCCAGGAAGAAAGAGTAGTTTATAAAGTTGCTGGGAAATACCAGTATAGAGATCTTCTTTTACTTTTTTGGGAGTTGAACCTCGGGAAAAAAAAAAAATAAAAAAATAGGAGGATCATAGTTTTGGAAGATGTCACGTGATGTGCATGCAAAGAAAGATTCAAGTACAATAAAGATGGAATACAATATTGTCAGCTCGATTTGTAGATCAACTTCTAAACAAAAAAATCTGTTTGTCAATCTTTAGAATTCTGTTATTGAACACACAAAATCTACAGTGTAACACTACAACACCTTTCAATTTTATCTTTTGACTAATGTAGCTTAGCCGTTTCTATTGTCTCCCAAAAAAAGTATACAAAATTAATTGCCTTTCTTTTTTTTGCAGCAATTCTGGGAAGAAAAAAAAAACCCCAAATACTCCTTAATCAATAATAGTTGCACAATATCCATTGATAAACTATATAGTATTATATCGAATACAAAAAAAAAAACAAAGGTATGAATTAATAAAAAAAAACAATGCTCTATCACAATTTCATGAAGAGTTGAAACCTGATGAATATGAACATCTGTAGCACAATGAAGTCATCTTTTTAATAAAAAAAAAAGAAAATTGATGAACAAAAACAGAAAAAAAACAGGAAATTATTATGAAAATGGATAAAAGTGTATTTGATGTATTTGATGGATGGTTGATACAATATTCTCCTTATTTTATAGTGTCAGAGTAAACAGCCAATTTTAAAAAAAAAAAATAAAGCATCAATCAAAGTACTTTTGATCACCCAAAATAGACTTAGATCAAAGCAGCAATAGCGGCAATAACACCACCAATAGCGATACCTGGCATGACACCGGCATTGGCAAGTTCAACAGATACAGATGAGGCTTCAGCGTCAGCTGTCTCGACTGGAGCAGCAGATTCGGATGGAGCAGCAGTTTCAGCAGCAGATTCAGCTTCAGCTTCAGATTCAACTGGAGCATCAGTCTCAACAGCAGCTTCAGATTCAGCTGGAGCATCGGTCTCAGCAGCAGCTTCAGATTCAGCTGGAGCATCAGTTGATTCTTCTTCAGGAGCAGCAGTTTCTTCAGGAGCAGCAGTTTCAGCTGGAGCATCAGTTGATTCTTCTTCTTCTTCAGGAGCAGCAGTCTCTTCAGGAGCAGCAGTTTCCTCAGGAGCAGCAGTTTCTTCAGCTGGAGCTTCAGCTTCAGTTGTTTCAGCTGGAGCTTCAGTTGAAACTGGAGTAGTTTCAACTTCAGTTGCAGCAGAAGCCAAAGCATCTGAAACACTAGCTGGAATCATCCAGTATGGTTCCCAAACACCAGCACTGGAACAAATTGAATTGGCCAAGGACTCGGCAACGGAAACGTCCTCACCTCTACAATTTTGAGCAATACACTCACCAATTGCACCGGCAAATTGTGGCATAACACAAAGACAACCAGTATCCCAGTAAGGACATGGGGTTGAAGAAGTATCTTCAAACATACATGGTTGAGCACATGCTGGTAATTGATCGTAAATTCTGTCAGCAAAACCGTTGATCGAAGCGGTTTGTGGAACACTAGGATATTGAGTATATTCAGCCATTTTATCAAAATTACTTATTTGTTTGTTTGTTTTTTATATATCTTGTAGTAAACTATATGAACGAGTGACTTCTTATAAGATACAAACTGAAGTTATAAAAACTAGAATAGGAAAAGGAACAGAATAGAAGGGGGGATGATAGAAAAAAGGGGCGTACACCTACATTTATATCAAAAATACGCTAAGGATTCAAAGAAAAGCCAGAAAACACAACACAGGCTATTTCCTTTTCAACACTGGGTTGTTTTTTTTATTTGGCTTTTTTGTCTCTTCGTCTGTATGTGAATAAAAACACCAAAAGCAAACTATTTTTTTTTAATTTTTTTTTTTTAAATTAAAAATATTATTTTAGCGAATCCCGAAACCAAAGCACAAAAATAAACTCAAGGCATGTAATAATTGACAAAAAACCATTAAGAAAATAAAAAAACAGAGGGGCACAATTAGTTACATAGTTATTGTCTAAAAGTACTACATCTAGAATTAATACTCCATTGTTATAATTCTCTTAAGTAAGAAAATTAGAGTATACAAATAGGCAATTAAAAAAAAAAACATCGGGAAATAAAGGTCTGGGATTTAGAGATTGGCCTAGAATAAACCCACCCATCCTGCTCAATTAGGAAATATAAGAAAAATAATAAGGAAAAGGAATTCAACCAATCAGCTGTTGAGGTTGGGTTTTCTCTTAACTTTATTTCTGCACACTTGCTCTCCCTCTCTCTTCCTCTCTCTTTTTCTCTCTCCCCCACTTAATAGATAAATAGGAGACTTTGGAAAAAGACGATTTCCGATGATACAACCGTCAATTGAGATGACATATACATTTCCCCTTCTGGGAAAGTTCTTGATTGAGGAAAACAGTTTACAACCCCCCATTTATAAGAAAAAAACAGTGACAAAGGTGATGTACTCCAAGTTTGAGTGTACATACCTATTGCTTTGTCCTATTGATTTTGTCTAACTAGTTGCAAATTTGCATTTCCAAGAACTATAAACTATTAGGTACATATCCAGATCAGATAATTTTTCTGGTTTTCGCACTACTAAAAGTAGCTTTAGTTTAATAATTTAGAGTGATTTTTGTCTTAGAGAGCACCAATATTAGCCAAGTCACGAAATATCAAATGGCTTTACTGTGAATATTGTCCATTGACAAAGGTAACTAAAGTGGAAATATTAGTGGAGTAAAAAAAGAAAAAAAAGAGCAGAGGGAAACAGAAGTTGAAAACATGTATGTATGTTGGGGGATTTTCAATGTTAAAAAGTCAATTTTTAATTAAATTCGGAAATATAGACCAAGCAAAAAAAAAAAAAAAAAAAGGCTTGACCAGTGGAGAGTTTATTAGAAAATACCGATATTTCCAAGAAATACCTGTATTTCCTCAACACCATGGGCCAATGGAGCCTGTATTGCCTCTTTTTGAAATAACCTTTTCCTCTCCTTCATCATCATTACCATCGTTTTCTTCCTCTTTTCTTCTACTTCTCCGAATGATACTTTTCTATTCTTAAATGATGACTTGCTTACACTACTTTTTCCACGTTTATTAAAACTATATACTAAGTGGTAATAATATTTTTTCAGTTAAGTGTAAGTTTAAAGGTAAAAAGGATGAAGAGCACGAGTTCATACAGCCTTGGAGAACTCTGTAAACGAGAAAAAATGGCGAAAATTCAAAATTGAGAATTATAAACCAAGGGGAGGAGAGAAAACGATGGAGGGGGGGGTGATTTACTGTGAATACGAATGTAAGCTTCAATGACGATAATACTGATCAAAGCCCATGTGTTACCTCTTGAATACAAAAAAACTTAATTTGTTGAAATTCGTTAAAGTCTGTAATATCAGAGTAAATGTAGAAGAGAGTAAAATAGACTAGAGTAGAGGAGTTGGCTTTTTCATCATGAATTGGTTGGTGGTGTGGTGATGGTCTGCGGCTGGTAGCAGTAATTGTTGCATTTCACAACAAAGAGATTTTTTTTTAACAATGCACCTATTGTGTTGTATCGGATAAAAAATGCATCATGTAGCTATATCGGGGTGGGTGTCAGATTAACACCGAAAACTCCACTTTACCTTTTTTCCAATTGACGAATCAAATTTGAATATATTTCTGAAGAAAAAACCCCCAATAGAATAGCAAATTATTATAATGAATTGTACATTTGTTCTATTCTGTAAAAATCTGCTGGAATATGCTCCTCGAAAAGGAAAACAAAAAACAAAATCTAATCTGATCTCATCTAATCAGTTGTCTTTAGCTGAAAAATTTCCCACCCTGCTAGTGGTTCAATTCTTGATGTTTTTTCTCTCTATTTTCAAATTATATCGTTCCATTATTTTTCATTTCATTAATTCCTATACATATCTAGAGAGAGAGAAAAAAAAAAAAACAAAGGCGGTGGGGGTTGAAGGGTTTACCATCTAGTTGTATATACACATCACTCAACAGCTATTCATCCAAAGTATAGATCAAACCTCCTCCTCAGTAGTGCTATTTCTTTTGCTTTCTTTAAACATTTCCTCTTCTTTAGATCAAAAAACTTAACAAGAAACCAAGGATTACTGAAGCGACGCTTCCTGTTTGTAAAATACCCATATTCGATGTGGATGAAGTATTTGTGGTAGCACTACTTGAGGAACCGGATGCGGCGCTTTCACTTCCAGTAGAGCTAGATGTAGCAGCGGAACTTGTAGCCGAGCCAGACCCATCTGAAGAACTAACGGTATCACCAGGAGCAGTGACCCACTCCACTGCAGTTTTACCTGAAATCGTGGTAACTTCTTTAGCATCTCCAGCAGCGGTGGATAACATAGTTGAAATAGAGGCAGGCATCATCCAAGTATTAGCACCAACAGTAGAACACAATGAAGTAGCCAAGAAGGTGGCACTTGCAACATCATCACCTTTGCAATTTTGAGCAATACATTGACCAACTAGCCCTGACCATTGTGGCATCACACAGAAACATCCAGTATCCCAATATGGACATGGGGTATTACTAGTACTAAACTTAACACACTCCTTGGCACAATCAGGTAACAAGTCTATAATCGGGTCAGCAAAACCATTTATTGAGGCAGTTTTGGGAACTTTTGGATAGGTTGCGTAATTGTCAGCTTGAACGCTATAAAAATAGTAGATAAATGTGATAAAGGAGATTAACAACATAATGAATAAAGAGAAAACAACAACAGTGACAAAGGTATTAAAAGTGTCAAAAAGATATTGTGATGACTTACAGGTGTTACAAGTGGGAAGAAAGTGGAAAGTTAATAAGTTCTTTGAATGCCCCTATATATATATATGCAATCTCGATATTTATCTACCAATCTTTTATTTTATCAATTCAGAATTCACCTTCAAAAAGTCAGATATTCTTTTTTTTTTTCTTTTTTTTCTTAAATATATATCCGGAGGGTCATTCTTCAAACTTCTAATACCCTTAAATCAACACACTCCTCCATAAATGCAAGACAACAACCTTCCCAAAACTTAATACTTTAACACCTTTAAGATCAAACCCCCTTTTCTCCAAAAAAAAAAAAAAAAAGAAAGAAAGAAAAACAGAAAACAAAATTGAAAAAGAGGGTTAGATTTAAGTTTCGAGGTTTTAATTATTAGGGTTTAAAAAAGGAATTGAATGTCATTGTGCTCTATTAGGTAATAAAATAGTCAGTGTTGTCGCCCTTACATAACTCTTCCTCGGATATATGCATTAAGCACATATAGTTTTCGAAATGAGCAATATAAAACTCGTCTACTCTTAGCAGGTATGAACCTCCAGTAATAAAAACAAAAAAACTCTTATATTCTCGAGCATCAAAGTATAAATGAAATAGGCTGTAGATGGAAAAGATAAAAAAAAAAAATAACAGTGCATGATGACCCTGCATATAAAACTTTGGTTCCAGAAAAATGGCTTAGTATAGAAAAAACAACTTTGTGCTTAAATCGTTTATATGCAGTAAAATAACTGCTTACATAAGCGAAATTAGTTTATCAGATAAAAAAAAAAAAGTTTTGTTAGAATTTACTCCAGTGTTAAGAAAAAAGACGATATTTCCACCAATCAGTTGCAAAAAGAATATGTCACCTGTTTGAAAAAAAAAGAGAGAGGAATACAGCTTCGACTAAAATTATGCTTTTTTTTACATTTTAGCTTACGTATGTTCTGTACTTTATTATATCGGGTTTTGTTACATTTGCAGCTAAAAAACTCTTGGTGAATTTGTTTCAGCTCACTTTGTTAGCTTCAATTAGTTATTTTTATTCAAAAAAACTTACCTAGATGGAAGAGATAAAGAGAATATCTTTGTTCCTTGAACTCTTTTGTTTTTTCCTCCTTGGTTCTTTTGGAACTTGAATCGGAAAGCAGTTTTGAGATGTGATTTTTGTATTTGAGTATTAACTTTACTTTTTATTCTCTTAACCTCATCTCTCCTTCCTCGTTCCCCCCCTTCCGTTCTTCCTGATTGCTTTGTTCTCATTGGGTAAAACCTTATTGTATCATTTAAATCCCTGTAACTCCATATAATTTTTCTTTTGTGAACAATTAAAAGGATAGGTAATAGAGGTAAGGCAATAGGGGAATAGATTACAAGGAACAGAGAATAGTTTTTGAAGATTTGTTATTTAATAAATCTGAATGTATAAGGCCTTATTTGCTTTTTTTTTGTCTTTTTTAATAACGAAATTTGAAGAGGGCCAGAAAAGGATTTAGTCAAAAAGAGCTATTCAAGAGGAGCTCATCAGAAAGAAGAAGAAAAAGAAGAAAACTGGACCCAGCAAGAAGGACGTGACCAAAAGGAATATCAAAAGGAATAGCCATCAATATAAAAAGGGAAAACATCCAACTAAGAAGATTGAATCATTAATCGATCAAATAATACGCATCAGTTCCTGCAGCAGTACTTGATAGCTCCCTCGTCCTTTCACCCCCTCCCCTCACCACCTCATACTGTTTTTATAGAGGTGCGGACACTTTGCACACAAAACTCATCACTGTTTCAACCATGGCTATCCCATTTGATCAACAGTTTTTTGTTGAAAAAGAGAGAAATAATAAATATGAATGGCTAGTAACAATATTATCCCTTTTGATCTTAGTAATTCATGGAATACTATTCCACTGGATTCCCAAATATCTCAGATCTAAAAGAGATGCAGCTACCCTACCTAATATCAGGTATTTCAAATTCATCAAAAAATGGGATCAACTAACTTCATGTTGTAAAATCACCATTTGGAAACGTGATTTCTTTTATCAACCAAGTCTTGTACTTTTTTGCGTCGCCTTTGTTGGTACCTGTGTTGGATTATGCTTTGCTGAAATTCGTGATTTAGATTATCAACCATTTATTTACGCTATGTCTAAAAGAATAGGTCGAGTAGCTGTGGGCAATTTGCCTTTGTTGTTATGGTCTGTGGCAAGAAACGATTGGCTCACAAGAATATCGGGACTTCAGTACGATCGTTTGGAATTCTTGCATAAATGGCAAAGTAGATTGATGTGGATAATGATTTCAATTCACTTAGGACTTGGGTGTTATTATTGGCTTTCATTGAATTTTTTAATCATGATCATTATTCCACCACAAATCTTTGGCTTCATGGCTTACGGCTCGCTATTTATCTTGACCTGGTCGAGTACAAAAATTATTCGAAAATGGGCTTATGATTTCTGGATAGTTCAGCATCGTGTATTTGCATTCATTATGTTATTTATGGCTTTCATCCACAATCCAGGAAATAGAGCTATTGTGTTGGTTGCGGTTCATGCTTTAGTAATAGATCGTGTTGTTTCAAAACTCCTTGTATACATCAACAAAAAGTACTCGCCAACAAAGTGCCGAAGTCAATTTGAAATTTTAGATGAAGACACTGTACTAATGACTATCCCTGTAAAAGCTCAAGATTATCAGCCTGTCCACTGGTATAACAAGTTTTTTAGCTATAAAAACTGGAAACCAGGTCAACATATCTATATCAATGTACCAAAGATCAAATGGTTTCAATACCACCCATTCACAATTGCTTCCTTGGCCAATTCAAATGAAATGAAATTGGTAATTAGAATGCAAAAGGGCTTTACTAAAAGTCTCATGAAATATCTACAAGAAATAGACCACGACGAACACGATGACGAAATAGTAACAATTAACTCAATGTACGCTGGACCCTACGGAGCGGTACACCAGCCCTTCATAACTTTTGACTCGATAGTTTTCTTTGGTGCAGGATCAGGTGCAGCATTCACATTCCCGGTTTGCTTAGATTTGTTACAAGAAATCGACCAAAAGGACTCGGAAGAAGACTACTTGTTCCGACCACAACACCCCAAAGTCAGATTCGTCTGGGTAATCAAATACAGACGCAATATGATTTGGTTCAAGTGGATGTTGGATCAATTGATTCCTTACTCTTTACAAGGAAAATTAATTATTGATATTTATATAACGCGCGAACATCAGAACAAACATCATCATCATCATCATCATTATTCTGAGATATCAGCATTCGCATCCCCCTCCTCCTCCTCCTCCTCATCCTCATCATCATCATCATCATTGAGTAAAGGAGATGCTATACCGAACAGAGACTCGTCGGATCTGAAACGAAACTTGCTCAAGACTCCTGGATCTCGAGTAGTTATAAACACAACAACTAGATTTTCCTCCTCTTCATCATCATCGGAACCGAATCAACAAACAAAAAAAATTAAAACCTCCTCTGTACAAGTATCAACGGTGACTCAAGATCTCACACCACAAACTAAAGAAGATGGCGAGTTTAACAATGATAAGTATAATATATTTTATGGACGTCCTGAAATCGGAACCATTATACAAAACGAAGCAAGGAAACTAATAAGCGATGAATCAAAAACTTGTTACAAGGCACTAGCAGTGGCATCTTGTGGTCCTCCAGAATTCACCAATAATGTTAAACACCTGTGTCAAGGTGCAAGAAGATTGAAGAATTCTCCCGATGTTTACTGCTATACTGAAGCGTTTTGAAATATGTGCTTCGCGGTATGTGATCTACACTACCGAGCAGAGCGAGATAGTGTTTCTCTGCTCGCTCGTTACAACACTAAGTAGCTTGTTATCACACTCAATAGCTTGTTATGACACTAAGTAGCTTGTTATGACCTATCTCCCTCTGCTCGATAGTGTTTCTCTAACACTAAGTAGTTTGTTACAACACTATCTCGCTCTGCTCGATAGTGACCACCTCGTGTCATCATTTGAATATACATACATATTTATAATTACGTACATGAATATGTTATATGTATTAAAAATTGAGTATTAGTTACTATTACATAGATATTTCTGAATTAAAGCATATTAATCTATTCTTTTCTTTTTTTTGTTTTTTCACTTCTTTTTCACTTCTTTGACGAGTCCATACTATTAGGACTATCACTTACTTCTTGATCCTCTTCAATACCATTAAGTTCTTCCGGCGCCGTTGAGTTTGGGTTTGAGTTATTTTGTTGATTATTGGAAACGGAATCTTTCAATTTTTCCCTCATTACATTTGTTGATCTTATTGGTTCCAATACATATGGATTGTTTTCTTCATTTTCATTGTAATAAGTGAACTCACCAATCTGTGCCAAATCCGTTCCCAACATTTCTTCATCTTCATGTAATCTGATTCTCAAAAATGGTATTCTATCCATCACTAACAAAATGATTGAAGTTACAATAAAGGACCAACATGCAACAGAACACGAAGCTGCTAATTGATAGCCCAATTGTTTCCAATGATGATTCATCCATCCGCCTTTGATTTCTGTACCATCAATCATAGCAACATAATCAGCAGCAAACAATCCAGTCAATATGTTACCAGTAAATCCACCAATACCATGCAATGCCCAAACATCCATACCATCATCAATTTGCAAATATTCTTTCAAATCAACAGCAAAATTACAAACAATACCAGGAACAACGCCAAATACAATAGCAGTGTAAACAGGCACATACCCTGCCGCTGGAGTAATACCAATCAACCCGGCAATGGCACCACTGCATAAACCAACAGTTGACCATTTCCCACCGGTTCTAAAGTAATCGACAAACATCCACGTTAACCCACCACAAGCAGCAGCAAGATTCGTGTTAACACATGCATACCATGATCTAATATTAGCATTCCCGGTTGAACCACCATTAAAGCCAAACCAACCAAACCAAAGAAAAGCGGTACCTAGAACAATTGATGAGACAGAATGAGGTTTATACTTGGGCACTTTCCCACTAGTCAAGGGGTCATGTCTTTTACCCAACCACAATGAATAAGCCAATGCAGCAAAACCAGAGTTTTCGTGAACAGGTCCGCCACCAGCAAAATCCAAAGCACCTAAACTAATTAACCAACCATTACCACCCCATGTCCAGTATGCAATTGGCGCATAAACCACGGTCAACCAAATAAACAAGAAAACCATCATGGGACCTAATCTTGCCCGTTCGCATCCTGCACCAACCATCAAAATCCCCGTTACTGCGGCAAACATACCTTGATACAAGCAAAATAAAATATCGGGTAAAGTTTTAACCACGGAAGGAGCACCTAAAACTTGCTTCAAGCAGAAATTTTGTAAGGTACCAAGGAATTTCGAGCCATTATGAGCAAATACTAATGAATAGCCCCAAAAAAACCATTGAAAAGCAGAAACACAAGCAGCCATCAAAGATGCCCAAATCAATGATAATGCATGTTTCTTTCTCGAAAGACCCGAGTATAATAAACCAACACCGGGGATCATTAGCCAGACCAATACTGAAGCTGTGCCTATCCATGCCATATCTGCGCCTTCAAACTGTTTACTCAAATCAACCTGGAAGACATCTCCTCCAGTACCTGTTTCCGTATACCCAGAATTTGAGTCAGACATTGTATATATGCAAGGATAAAACTTGAGGTGGAAATTAAAGCCTTTAGGTGGAAATTAAAGCCTTTAGGTGGATTTTAGACTTTAGGTGGAAATCAAACGCTTTAGGTGTATATCAAAGCCTTTAGGTGAAAATCAGGTATGCTATTTCAATAAACTTTATATGGAGACCAAGTTTGCGTGGGTTCAAGGGATTTCCAGCGCCTTTTATAGATCAAGTGGTGCATTTTCTCCCTCCCCTCTCCCTTTTCCTCATCTATCGACCTTTGTTTTCTTTATCTCACATGCGTAACAGATTATCCATATCGTCGCCATAAGAATTTTTATTTTATTTTATTTTTTTGCCTTGTATCAATAACATGTACACATGGTTAAACTTTCAACTCTTATCAATAACCAAAAAACTACCAACAAAAATGAAAAAGGTGAACAAAATAATAATTAAGAACCCATGATTGACACCAACACCAACACCATCTCCGCTCTTCCACCATCCGTACCAGCACTATCATCACCCAAAAGAAGCAAAACAAACAAAAAAAAGTAAATCATTGCAAGAATTTTTTCTTGTCAAAACTATAACATCTTGATAATCTTGTTGATATCTGCTATCAGCCAATAGATTTGAAGGACCTGGTGATGGTGATGAGTAGCAGGTCTAGTCCTACAAGCCCATGAACACAACGGGATTTTGGTTACATTTTTACGGGAATTGGTTGCATCCTTACACCAAATACGTAGTAATGAGGGGGACCCGGCCAGCACCCCGGCTCAAATGTATATACCTGTAAAATTATTTTGTGCCTTATTGCAAAGGGAGGGAGGTTATGTAATTAACAAGATAAGGATGAAATAAGGATCGCTTATCTTTCGGGGAGGCTAAGAAAAAAATTGGTTATTATTGTGCTACCAAGTGTGAGATAGACATCCCCTGTCTTGACCAATGAGAAAAAGCACACTATCGAAAAACACTATCGAGAAACACTATCGAAAAACACTATCGAGAAACAGTATCGAGAAACACTATCGAGCAGAGCGAGATAGTGTTGTAACGAGCGAGTAGAGAAACACTATCGAGCAGAGCGAGTAGAGAAACACTATCGAGCAGAGCGAGATAGTGTTGATAATACACGGCGGTATCAAATGGCGGAGTTTTGCAGCATCTAAATCAGCATCTTTTCTTTTGAATAAACAAACAAACTTTTTGTTTTTCTATTATTTTGAAGCCAAATTAATGTGTAGCAATCTCGCTCTACTAAATAGGATTAGCCAGTGCTGTTCCACTATCTCGCTCTACTCAATAGGGTTAGTCAGTGCTGCTCCACTATCTCGCTCTACTCAATAGGGTTAGTCAGTGCTGCTCCACTATCTTGCTCTGCTCGATAGGGTTAGTCAGTGCTGCTCCACTATCTTGCTCTGCTCGATAGTGTCAGTCTTAAAGCAACTTTATGTGCAACATCCCGGAATTATTAATGAGGGGACCTATTAAAATAAGAAAATTATATTTCATTTTCATATTTATCCTTATAAATTAGCCAATCAAACCCGTGCGTATTTTTCAAATGAGAATGTCTCTAAATTTAAGCAAAGCATTATAAATAGCTTCTCTGTGCACGTGTTGCACGCTATCGACACTATCAAGTAGAGCGAGATAGTGGAGCAACACTCAGTAGCTTGTTATAGCAATATCGAGCAGGGCGACACTATCGAGCAGGGCGAGATAGTGTAGCAACACTCAGTAGCTCGTTATAACAACATCGAGCAACACTCAGTAGCTTTTTACAACACTATCGAGCAACACTCAGTAGCTTTTTACAACACTATCGAGCAACACTCAGTAGCTTTTTACAACACTATCTCTCTCTGCTCGATAGTGGAGCAACACTTCGTAGCTTTTTACGACACTATCTCGCTCTGCTCGATAGTGGAGCAACACTCAGTAGCTTTTTACGACACTATCTCGCTCTGCTCGATAGTGGAGCAACACTCAGTAGCTTTTTACGACACTATCTCGCTCTGCTCGATAGTGGAGCAACACTCAGTAGCTTTTTACAACACTATCTCGCTCTGCTCGATAGTGTTGTTGTCTTAGTGTCGTGTCACCGGAGGTTTCGGTAATTTAAATAGTGTCTAAATCCAAAGTCGTGTGGTCTCCACCCTTGCCGTCTCACCCATACCCTCTCACACACTAGTCCAACTAACGCTTAGACAACTTTTTTTTTTTCTACTGTGAATCTCCTTACATTCTCACTGTTAACTTTGTAGGTACTTGCATGAGCTAAGGTAAGGTTAATTCTACCAAGTCGTACACTAGTGATAATTTTTGACAATTTGGTAACTAGTGCGAAACTTCGTGCCAATCCCTCGCGCCAAATAAGTCCCTAAATTTTTTCAACCGCCAGATAAGTCCCTAAATTTTTTCAACCGACTTGGACTCTTTATACACGATCCATTCAATTTTCCAGGGCAGGAATATTTCAAAGTGAAAATATCTTCTAGCCAAACCAGCGCGAGAGCTTTTTTTTTTTTTAAACAAGTTTGAGTTTTTGAGTTTTGAGTTTTGAGAAATTGAGTTTAAGCTTCAAATAGAATAGAGAATCAGATCCAGCACGCTTTACTGTTGCCCCCAACGCAAAAACCCCTTTCAATTACATCAGCAAGTTATAGCTGCTCCTCAATCATGGAAGAGTCCTACAATTTCGCAACAACAATTTTAACTTCCAAAACCCCCGAACAAGCATCTGCAATAATACCAAATGTAATTGCGGGTTCAACCGGTATTAATAAGGACTTGATATCCTGGTTCGATCGGTATGATTCCCTTTTGGCCAACCATAATAACAACTTGAAACAATTGGTTGAGGATGCTAACAGGATTGCTCAACGTAGCAAAGTTGGTTTTAACAACTTTCCTCGCAACTGGAATTGTTTGGTGAAATCACTTGAACTAGATTTAAGCAATAATGAAACCATTCAGAAAAATATCAAACAAGAAATTATCCATCCTCTAACCAATTTGATCGAGAAAGATGTCAGAATCTCGGAATTGATTGTTAATGGCCAAGAGTTGGAAGAAATAAGTTCGCATCTAACTAAAGATGGCGAGTATCAATGGAACTATAAAGCTCCCCAGTCCTTCCAAAACTTGGAAGATTTCAAAAAAATCGAAATCCAATTGATGTTCAATGTCATATTAAATTTCTTCCAAATGTATAATGGCAAGTTGAATAAAGAGTTGAAAAATAACGAAAACTCAACAAACTATCTTTTGGGTAGTTTCAAATTGGACACTGAAATGCAAAATCAATTGGAGTATTTGAAGTCGACTCAATTTCAATCGAAAACAGCCGCGGCGTCATCTTCCTCGAAAGAAGATGCAAATGCTGATTCTCACCATCCAAAGCTAAAAAAGAAATTGGGTTCTTTTGCAAAGACTGAAAAGCACGAGGCACAAAATGGATCCTCGCCATCTAAAAAGCCTTCAAAATTAAAATCCAGAGTTGGTTCGATATTTGGTAGAAAGAAAAAGAAGAACCGCGAATCTAGTGGTATGGAAAGCACAATTCCCGAAGACGCATCTATTACAACTGAAACTTCAGCTTACAGAACGCAATCTGCCTCAGTGGTGTCGAGAAATACAACCAGAAGATCTACATTGGAACCAAGAGATTTTGCTCATGAAAACAATATAGCTGCTGCTGGTTCAAGTCAAACAAATCCTCCAGACTCGTCTGCAGTATTTTCTCAAAGACAACAAAAGGAGCAGGAATCACCTTTTCAACAAACATTGGATCCTCAAACTCAGCCTCTAACTTCATCGTCTCAACAACAACAACAACAACAACAACAACAACAACCGTTGCAAGCCAAACCCTTGCAACCTCAGCAGCAAGAGTCACAACAAAGACATTCTGCACAATTTTTCCCACAGCAACACCAATCGTTGTTTAACTCTTCACAACTAGGACAAGGTGGTTATGGCAGGGAACTGCCCAATACGCCATCTCAAGATAAGTTCTTGCCTCCCCAGCCATTACCAGAATTAGTTGAATCGCCAAACTTTATTAAATATGATAACGGTGACGACGACGATGAGGAGGACGAAGACGATGATAATAATGATGATGACAATTCCGACTCTGTTATTGCTGGTCGTAGACACTCCTTATTGCAAAGACATGAGTTGGGTAGTGATAATGAAAAGAATCGTGGCCAGCAGTACCCCACGCCTCCAGATCTGCATCAGAAACAGCAGCAACAGTCACAACAGAGCCAGCTGCAGTTTCTGTCCGTCCCGGCAACAGCAACAGCAGCAACAACAACAACATCATCATCTTTTCCTTCCAATCAAAATGAGTTTCAAAGAGCTAGAAATGATAGTGATGCAAAATACTCATTTGAATCAGGGGACGAACAAACCCCAATTTCACCAATACATAGAAGTAGTGATCAGGGTGGTTTAAGTCATGTACCTGAACAGTTACCGGAACCGGACCTTTCGCACGATAAGAGAAAGGTGCATAGAACTTTACAATATGTTTCTGAAAACGGCTCAAACCAAGGACTGAGTAACTTGTTTTCGTCGCATGCAGCTAAGCCGGCTCCTCCACCATCTAGAAAAGTCAATCATCATGATACTTTATCATCGAGAGATTCTCATTTATTCCATGGTTTACCTGCAGCTTCAACTAGTAGTTCAGTAAGAGATTCTTTCATGCCGCCATTCAGTTCTACTTCTAGAAGCTCATTTCTTGATCCATCAACAAGATCATTGACTAGTCAAGACACCGGTTCATTAATCAAGAACGAATTCAAACACTTCAACTTGAACGAAGCAACAAGAGGGTTGAACTCTTCAATTGCAGAGATTGTAAATGCAACTTTCAAGGATGGGCAATTGGTGAGTTCCCAAGTTGTAGGAGAAGTAGCTTTCAATTACAATGGTACTTATGACCAAAGCTCACCCATTGTGGTTAACGTGCCTTATGATTTTGACAAATTGATCGTGAACAAAACGTTTATGGAAGAGCTCGGGAACCATAACTATAAGATTGATCCAGTATCAATAACTTCCAAGACCTTGGGGGGTTTAAAGTACTTGCAAAAAACTAATCAAGTGCCTTTATCAATCCACCAAATTTGGAAGTACGAGCCACACCAATCTAGTTTATTGCTAAGTATAAGGTCCAATGTTGATGAAGAAGATTTAGTTTTGGATAATTTTGTAGTTTCTGCATCGTTAAACCAAGACATCCAAGCCACGTCAGCTTCTTCAAGACCCCAAGGTGTTTTCAACAAGGACAAAAATAGGATTACCTGGAAGTATCATAGTCCATTGACTCTTAAACCTCATGGAGAAGAAAAATTAATAGTTAGATTCATGACAAACGGCCAAGGCTCAGAGCATGAACAAGGTATTCAAATTAAGTTTGCTATACACAATCCTGCGAAATCTGCAATCAAATATTGCTCCATTTACAATTCAAGTAATGGAGCAGAAATCCCTACGTTTAGAAATTTGATAAGTGGACATTACAGCAGTCATTCATAGCTTTACTACTAGCTTAGCTTTGTACATTTCCATTTTTATTTCCCCCATTCTGTATGTACTATAATAGAAAAGATTCAAAACCAAAAAAAAAAAAATGAAAAAAAAAAAAAAAAATTGAGTAAGAGATCAAAAATTTGAAAAATTGAAATATTGAAATATTAAGTTAACATAGCCAAAATGATAAAGTATGTAAAGCCCCCCTTTTTCTTTCTTTTAACCTCAATCATCTTTTTTGATGGACTCAATTGCATTCAATTGGTCATAGGCAGATTGCATGCCGTTCAACTGTTTCCTCAAAGTATCAATATCCGTCTGCTTCAACTCAATCAAATGTTTTAATTTGATTGTTTCTTGCCTTTCTTGATCTTTTCTCTTTTTTTGCATTTCGACCCCTTCAAATTCAGCCTTTTTTTCAACCAATTCTGAATCCCTCAACTCTTTCTCTTTGATGACTAATCTCTTAACAATTGTAACCACAGTGCCAATACACATCTGTAGATACAATATAGCACCACTTAAATACAAGTTCCTCTGACTATAAAATTTACTAGCTAGTCTATCGTAGTTGACAAACCCACGACCAATGTCACCGCCATAACTCGAGTCGATATGTTGAAATTTCTTTAATCGGTTATAACAATCCCAAAATTGAAGCGACATTAAAACCAACAGGAAAATAAGAAAGATTTTGAAATTTTGCGAGTGCTGGATCTTGTCGAGTAGATTTATCAAGTTAGAACGGATGATGAAGGGGAGGGGCAAAACAAGGATTAGTAACGTTGCCATTTGAAGTAACATTGTGCAAAACACAAGGGACATTTGGAGCGACATGGTTGTATTTCTTTGCTTGCTTTATTACTGCTTGCTTTATTACTGCTTGCTTTATTACTGCTTGCTGTGTATTATGGAGAAAATGTGCCAATATCGTAAAACAAAACTAGAATGGCGAAATAATGAATATAGTCCTAAACTTAAATCTCTCGAAAGAAGGGGAGGTATTTACGGAGAAAAAATAGGAATTGATTTCTTGATAATAAAGAAATAGATCAAATAATGATAATCTGATCGCTGAATAGTTTTATCAGTGCTTGTAAACTCACCTAATGTGTTGTTCAATTCCAATAAATTGCAGGTGCCAAATCAAGTAAAAATTAGTACGAGTTTTTAAAAACCGTATTTGAAAAGCAGTACAAAACCAGTCACGTGATTGTATCACGTGGTTTTACAAAAATGGCAATAGAAGAGGGATCGTAATATTTTTTTACTTATATATATATATACTTCGATTAATAAAAAATAACCCCTTTCCTCACCCTTTTCCCTTGCTTTCTTGTTCCAAAAAATGATGTATTTGTGTTTAACCTCAATTTGGTCCATATGTGACGCCTACTTATCAAGAAACTTTTTAAAGTCTCTTGTTTTTATCTCTCTCGCTCTCTCTCGCTCTCTCTCCCCCCCCTCTCTCTCTCGCTCTCTCTCTCTCGCTCTTTCTCTCTCGCTCTCCCTCTCTCCCTCTCTCCCTCGACCTTATAGTCCAGTAACTCTTCTTGCGTAATGAAAGGCAAAAAAACTAAACAAAGCCATAGCTCCAACAATACACCAAAACCAGGCCAACCCGTCATAGTCTTGGCCAGGCACCAAACAATTCATCCCCCATAATCCCGTCACTACATTAATTGGCAAAACAATTGTACCCAATATTGTAATCTTCCCTAATACGTCGTTGGTGTCATTGTTAACTTTGGTCATATCAATATTGATCTGAGCCAAATAATTCGAATGGAAACGAGCTAATAACTTCTCATAATGGTTCAATGCTTGACTCATTGTCACTATATGATCCTGGATATCTCCCAAATACATGGCTATTTCCAGTTGCGAGCTGCTGTTCTCGATATCATTGAACCTTTTACTGAACCCTTTAATGACATCTGCTTTGGAACTGAGAAGTCGCAATACCGACATGACTCGTTTTCTACATTCCCCAATTCGTCTCAACAAATCTCCTTTACGCTTCCATCCAAGAATTCGAGACGATCCAGTATCTGAGGTTGTCGAAGTGCTTGAAGAACTTGCCTTTGATTTGGACTTTGTGTTTGCCATTCGGAAAAACCCATTTTGATTAGCCTCAACTGTTGATTTCGATCTTTTGCGCCAAACAAACACATTATCACGCGGGTCATGCGTGGCTCCTGCTGCTACATGACCGTCGTTGTGGCGTTGATGATTATGAGAAGAACGATGATGACGATGATGACGACTATGTCGACCATGTCGTTTCGTTTGCTGATGATAATAGTTACTAGCATTGTCATCAGAATCAGAATCAGAATCATCCAGATCATCATGCTCTCCTGAATGCATACGTAGTATGGTATCTTCAATCAAGTTGACCTCGGTCTCTATGGCTTCAATCATCGGGGCAAAAGAATCAGTGATATCGTCAATTAATGCATAACAAATCCAATCGGATGAAACAGTCAAATAATCTTTCAACATTCTAGCTCTCCTCCTGACATTTATTGGATGAGGCGTGGGAGAAAAATGGAAACTGATTACTGCATTTTTGAAAACAATGATATACATATTCAATGGCAGTAGTTCTCCTTCTCTCACTTTCTTGGTTCGTGATTTCACTGTTGATGACGTTTCTGGTTTTTCAAAATTAGATGGAGCTCTCTTCCTCTTGCGAAACAAGTTCCCCAAAAACCTTGGCAATTTTTGGAAAATGCCAACATTTTGAGCGTAAAAGCTCCCTTGTTCTGACCTACTATCGTACATCTCCTGCAACTTGTTAAATTTCTTTTCTTGCTCTTTTGCTTTTTGTTTCCTCCGTTCGTAAACAATGTCAAAAGACGTGAAGCAAATAAAATAATAAGATTTGAAAAGTTCAACTTTTTCTCTTGCCTCGCCCAAAAAGATATCCTCCGTCGTCAACGGATGGATTCCAAATGTCCGGGATATAACCTTCATCTCTTCTTCGGTTGGATCAAGTACGTCCAACCAAAAGGGGTCAGTATTCAATTCCCCGCCAGCTGTGGATAAGGGTAATGGAGATTCATTACCAATTCTGGGTGGTCTTAAATGTTGCAAATTAGATGATGACATAGACCCTTGTTTTTTTTGCTGACTAGCTGTAGATCCCGGTCCCGATGCTTTGTTACCACTACTATTCGGTCTAAATAACTCCACTAATTTATCAAATATACTCAATTTTGGATCATCATTCAATAATCCACCAAGAGTTGGTGCATAAATTGTCTTTGGTAAATCTTCTCTAAAGTAGGTATACCGACAAACTTCTCCGCCATCTTTTTGACTATATTTCTTTTGATTAGGCTGTGAGGTATTTCTTCTTAGAATAGTAGGGATTTGATCTTTCGATTTCTCCCATGGTTGTGTAGGAGTTGGTCGTACCCTTAAAGCATCTTCATTCAAGGAATTCAAAGATTCCAATTCATTTGTTTTGTAATTGTCCATCAATGGTATATTTTCATTAGTGACATCTTCTTCTTCTTCGTTTTTTGGACCCACGCCATCAATATTGTGCAGCTGTAATGAAGATGCATGCGGCATTTTGGGGCTCCGTGGCGACCCAGTTTTGTCTCCTTCTTGTTCATGAACCACATCTTGACCAAAATTCACCGAGTAACCAATAGGTGGTTTCCCTATTTCCTGTTCCCTCTCCTTTTCTGCTTCTTCAAACTCTTCTTTCACAAACTCCTCGAGAATGTGCAAATTTGGCCATTCTTCTCTTCTCTCGTCTTCTCTGTTATAGTCAAAGTAACATACATCATCGAGAGATGTTGAATCACTGGAATGGTCAGAGGAGGGATTCGACTCGCCAAACTCAAGTGAGTTTACTGAGTAGTTATCCAAAAAATCCCCATTTTCAAGATCTTTATCAGATTGAACGTGGTGAATATCACCATTTTCATCTTCAAACGGGTCGTTCCATGAGTGAGATTTTGCGAGTTTGCTTTGCTCGTTAGCAAACTTGTCCATATCTAGTGCCACGGTATCAGGAAACATTGTGTGCAGCAGCTCATCATTATTTCTGCCCTGAGAAGATACTGAGCATCTTAGCAAATGTCGCAAATTGCGATTCGTGAGAGGTAGGTTTGAAGGCCGAGGAGCATAATAGTGATTCCTAATGTTTTCGTCTTTATCGATGACGTTATCCTTGTCCTTGTCCTTGTCCTTGTCCTTGTTCATACTTTTGCTATACGCACCATTGCTATTGTTTTTGCTCTTGCTCTTGCTATTCTTCTTGTTATTAGCATCATTGGTGTTGCTCTCGCCGCTAGGATCTCCCCTTTCCAGTCTCTTAAACACATTCTCATTTGCAACCCTCCTTCTAGATCTCGTAGGCGAAGAATCAAAATCTTTTTGACCCCTATGGTCAATATAAGTTCCCGAATTAATAAGCTTTTCTAGAGAAGTAGTACTTTGATTATTGCTCTGATTCTTGCCCCCGCGTGGATACCTCTCACGCTTTGGTCTTGTACTCATCATGGATGTACCATCTTCTTTTGCAAATTGTTCAGAGTTCTCCATCCTTGACAATATACTAACAATGAACTACCTGAGTCAATTGTATAATGCATCTATATATAGCAGTCTATTATAAGTTGAAAGGGAAAAAAGAAGTACCCATATAAAAGTTGAAGTGATTTCAATTATATCAAAATTTCAATTTCCAACTTTTCTTATTAGAGGCGCCATTACCAGAGGCGCCATTACCAGAGGCGCCAGCCTCTGGTGAGGGAATGAATGGCTCTCTAGGCAGAGACGCCAGCCTCTGGTGAGGGAATGAATGGCTCTCTAGGCAGAGACGCCAGCCTCTGGTGAGGGAATGAATGGCTCTCTAGGCAGAGACGCCAGCCTCTGGTGAGGGAATGAATGGCTCTCTAGGCAGAGACGCCAGCCTCTGGTGAGGGAATGAATGGCTCTCTAGGCAGAGACGCCAGCCTCTGCCGAGGGAATGAGTGGCTCTTTTGTCTTTACGTACAGTCCTACACTCTCTATATCTTTAGTTCTACAGTGTCTAGTCTATATCTTTAATTATTCAGTCTCTGATTTGTATCTTTGCGTACAGTCTCTAGTCTATACATTCTATAGTCTCTAGTCTGCTGTTGGGCTCTACAGTCTCTGGTCTATTTCTACAGTCTCTGGTCTATTTCTACAGTCTCTGGTCTATTTCTACAGTCTCTGGTCTATTTCTACAGTCTCTGGTCTATTTCTACAGTCTCTGGTCTATTTCTACAGTCTCTGGTCTATTTCTACAGTCTCTGGTCTATTTCTACACACGCGTTTGCTCCACTCGATAGTGTCCGCAGTTATCTAGTGTTTACCACTTGGCCACGTCTCATTCAAATGTTCTCCCAATCCAGTCTGAAATTTGTCAATTGCCGCCAAATCTCGCTCACTTAATCCCTGTTCCTTAACACTCTCATATTCCTTTAAAGCAACATCCAATTCATACACATTCGATACCCCAAGTACTATACTCGACTTGAACTTCACCAACCATTCCCACATTGCATACCTAGTAGCCAATTCCGCCAACTCAATCTCTTCTTCTTGTTTCAACTCGGTGGCTAACTCAAAGACGCGCTGCTTCAACTCCTTTCTAGCAGGATGGAAATCATGCGGCTTCGTCGATCGTAATAGCGACATTGAAAGAATAGATCCATTCAATATATTCTTCACGCCAGCTTCATTTCTGAATCTGTCGTAATATTGAAACAACAACGTATTTTGTATACATCCATTGCAATAGGACAACACGGCATCTAAAGGCTCGCCTTGTCTTTGCTTCCATTTTATCGCAATATCAAGAAGAAACTGCAAGGGATATCCAGAAATGCCATAATTGCGAATAACACCTTCTTTCTTCAAGCTTTGCAACTCTTGTAAAGCCTCGATAATATTGTTCTCCAGCTCAAACTCAACATCGTGCATGTAAACCAAATCTAGATAGCTAGTATTGAATCTTTGCAAAGATCTTAATACCGATCTCCTAACACTAGCTCGTGAATAATCAAACTCGTCCAATTTGATGCGTCCAACTTTGGTACATATATAATATGAATCCCGAGAAAACCCAATCTTCTTCAACGCATTGCCTAAAATCTCCTCCGAAGGACCATAATAGGGAGACGAATCAACCGCATTAAACCCTAATTTGAATGCTTTTGTAAGTATCGATTCTACCGGTAACGAGTAGGGATCGGAGGAGTATTGATAATTAAAGACAGCACCACCAATAATAAGCGGTGGTAAGTTCTCAATAGAAGCACATGCTTCTTCTTGTGGTTGTTTATCTATATAACTCATCTCTTGTTCCAATTTTCCAAATCTTCCAACATGTAAACGTTTAAGAAATCTTTTAGGAGAGAGAAGGAAAAAAAAAATAGATAGTAATAACCTGTACCAATTTTTCACTTTCCATATAGAGAAGAGAGGATCTTTTCGTTAATATTGCTTTGTAATAAGATGACTTTGAATAACGCTGCTGCTAGTGCTCGACTATATAGTTACCAGGAACCAATCCGATCATTCCGTTACAGTCATCGCAATTTGGTCCTAGTTCACAAACGAACCAATTGTCCTCTTGTTTATGTATTATATACATCTGCCATCCTTTTCTAAAATATAATTCTCCTTCTTGTTGCGGCCTAAATGTATACCTTGCCGTGGCAGTGCTTACATATGGTCTTTTGTTCAATGGTGTCAATTTCTGTTCTTGTGTGGATTTGAGAGGGGAATTGTTTGGTGTTTGGTAATACGCATTGACGTATTGTGAGTAAGGGTGTTGTTGATGTTGTTGATGTTGTTGATGTTGTTGTGTCTTGTAGTTGTCATGACTTATACTTCCCAAGTCTACCATTGATTTCGGTCTTGTAAAGCTAATAGAGTCATATCGTTGAGCAACTTCGTCGTGATCATCAATGTAATCCGATTTGGGTCGTCTTTTGTGCGTAGTGTTGGTGGTGTTTGTTGATTCGCCATTGCTACTTCTCCTGCTTCTTAATGACCTTCTAAACTGATTCACATCACCGTTACCCCCTGAGTTCAAATCTTCTAAAGCTTTTGCTATAAAATCAATCGAAAAATCATTGATAATCGGCACCTTTGCTTGTGGTTTCTCCATTTCAACGTGGTATAATTTGGCATTTCGATCTTTATCAAAGTCATTAGTCGCTCTTCTCGATATTTGCTCTTGCATTTGTTGCAACTGTTTTTCTCTTCTTCTTGGAGATGCCCAGTTTCGTTCCGAACTATAATTCGAAGCAGACCCCTGGCTATTCGATAATCGTTCGTCTTTGGAAAAAACATCGTTGTCGGCACCCGAGCTTGCGATTGTTGAATGCGTCTTGTGCGATAATAGATCAACTGGAGCTTTGCGTGTTGGTGATAAATTTTTAGTAGGCGAGGAGAGAGTTGGCTCGAGACTCTTGTTATTATTATTGTTGTTGTTGTTGTTGTATGGAGGAGAAGAAGGAGCAGGAGCAGGAGCAGTTCCACCAAAAAAATCATTATCCTTTATAGGCCTTATCACGTATTGGTTTTTATCAATTGTTGGTAACTCTTTGAAGGGTGAGTATTGAGGTTTTAATGCCTTTACTGGAGAAAACTGTAATTTGTGTGGAGTTTGCTTTTCTCTCTGCAAATCCTCAGTTATTGGCGTCACTTGTACATTGTGTTGAGGTTTATTAACATTACGTGAGTAATTCGAATATGTTTTTGTTAAAATCTCATTGTGCTCAGGGTTCTGTAAGCCCAGAATTGTATAGCCTATGACAGGCTCTTCACAGCCTGTCATATAATCAACAAATTCGGGGTCATTGTAAATTTTGTCCCCTGTTCCATAATTATTACTAAACTCTTGTACATCCTGTTGTGGTTGTATAGCTGCAAAACTCGATCTTGCCAAGTCAATAGCCTGATCCAAATCAACACATAATGTTGCAATATTATTACAGTAAGTGAAACAGTTTATTTTCAAGATTTGGATCCTTTCAATCTCCAACTTGTAAAAATCATTAATAGATATAGTCCAATCGCGTTTGTATATCTCATTTATATCCTTGTATACATTTATTGATTGTTGGTAGTTATTCCTGGTCTGGTTTATTGTGCTCGAAAGCCTATTAAACTTTTGCTGGTTTTTCTCCAATTCTTTCCCCCAAGTGGTTTGTAGGGCTAATTTCAAAGACTTTAGCAAATTGCACTCTTCTCGGTATTTGTTCTTGTACAATGTCATTTCCTTTAATGCGCTCGCTCTTCGTGTTATAACTTTGTTCATATGATGCTTTAGCTTTTCAACCTTTTTTTGATATAAATGACTAAACTGTTGTAGTTTTTCTATATTCAAGTCCAGTATAGATTTGACAAATTTCATATTGTGTTGAATCATGCTTCGGTTTTCATTGGTTAATTTGTCCAAAGATTTCTTCATTGTCCCGGTTTCGTGGCTCCCGAGGGGATATTTCAACTGTAGCTTCTTCAATTTTCTTATATACTCTTTTTCGATACTGACTTTTTCCTGATAAAATTGGATCACTTGATCTAAACTTGTTGATGAATCTCGTATCCTTGTACATATTGTTGAAAAACTTTCCTCGGGTGAAACACCCCAAAAATTGTTGACAAACTCTACATAGCTCTCTACCCTCATTGTCCCTTCAAGACCCAGCAGTTTATACAGTCCTTCCTTCAATACCTATCGACCTTTTGCAAAACCTTTGCAAACCTTTGTATCCTTAGAAAAAGATTGGAGGGTTTCTACTAGTTCCTTGCATAGTGTTTACCTTTTGCCAAATAGAGTATCAATGTCGTAAATTAATTTTTGGACAACCAAAAAAAAATTAAAAAACATTTTGCGACACATCACAACGGCTGCGGCGCTACCAATCGTCCGAATCAACCTGATGAGACTGACACTATAGAGTAGAGTGAGATAGTGTCGAGAAAAGCGGGTGAAGAAGAGATGTATTTCTAGTGAAGGAGATACATATTTCTAGTGAAGGAGATACATATTTCTAGTGAAGGAGATACGTATTGTTGATGAAGGAGATACGTATTGTTGGTGAAGAATACGTATTATTGATGAAGAATACGTATTTCTGGTGAAGAATACGTATTTCTAGTGAAGGAGATACGTATTGTTGATGAAGGAGATACGTATTGTTGGTGAAGAATACGTATTATTGATGAAGAATACGTATTTCTGGTGAAGAATACGTATTATTGGTGAAGAATACGAATTATTGGTGAAGAATACGAATTATTGGTGCCACTGGCTTGGTTCCTTATTATCCTTATTGTTATTATCAATGGTTCCATAAACTTTCTAAAATCGAATCGGGAAATTATGCACGGATAATTGAGAGGTGTCAATAATTTTTTTTAGGCAATGTATTCTGTGTAATAAATTGGTTAACGGGAAAAGATGGTACGGCTTTCTTCTAGATCGATAACAAATCTGCTAAATTAACAATAGAATTACTCTAATACGTCATTAAATTGAAGAGAAAGGATGTGTAATTAGTAATAACTAGTTATATCTATTGTTTGATATATACACGCCCTTCAATGACCACTACACATGCCCCTTGATAAGTACTACACATGCCCCTTGATAAGTACTACACCCCTCGATAAGTACTACACCCCTCGATAAGTACTACAAATGCCCCTCGATAACCAACACTACACATGCCCCTCGATAACCAGTACTACACATGCCCCACTACATATCCCCTCAACGTTCAACACTACATATCCCCTCAACGTTCAACACTATACACACCCAATTAACAGGATATACGACAACTTTCACAAAAAAAGATAATCTATCAAAACTTATTCCATAATGCATACACCAATGTGTAATAGCACCAATGTGTAATAGCACCAATGTGTAATAGCACCAATGTGTAATAGCACCAATGTGTAATAGCACCAATGTGTAATAGCACCAATGTGTAATAGCACCAATGTGTAATAGAATCAAGGTGCTTACACATTGATCAATAGCCTCAAAAGCTATTCTGTTTGCTCTACATTACGGTGCCACATCGGGATCCATTTATGCGGATGGTTTATATGCATTCCTATGCAATATTATTGTAGCAGACGCCTCCCTTTTTTTCATACAAAGGTCTTGTTAAATCTTGAATCCAAACCTATTATACATAACCAATACACTCATTACACACATGTTCGGTTCGATTGCATCTCTGTATTTTCCTTGTAGTTCACAACCATCATCGGATGCTTTATTATCCGAGGACAAAAAGTTGCAAAATTTGACTGCGAAAAAAAAAAAAAAAAAAAAACAATTTTGAATTCCCGATGAGATTTTTTCCCTCTTCTTTTATTCGGGCCGATTTGGTTCCTTCCTCCCCCCCCCCCAGTTTTCATAAAAATATTAACAAGTCAATGCTTCTGCATTGTTAACTCAAGGGTGAAGTGGAATAGTTGAAGCTGTAATGTTACAAGAATGCTTTTTCAATATAGGCTTTTAACTTTTATATGTCCCATTATAGTACATCCCTCCTTCATTGTTTTAGAGGCTTTTGATTGTCTACCAACGGTTTCTTATCCGAGCCTGGTAGTTTTCTTTTTTCACTTCTGCGCAATATCAGAATACGAAATACTTCAAGGTTGAATATAAAAAACTAGATAAATCTCTTGCATCTTTCCTCTTTCCTGTTTCATATCGGGGGTTTCTAAGCCAAAGTATCTCATGGTATAGTATCTAGCATCAGCAGCAGCAGCAGCATCATTATCACATACACTTGAAATGTCGCGATTAGAACAGATCAAGAGCAATGTAGTATACATTTGGCTAAAGAAGATACTAGACTTTCTTCTTTCACAATGGTTCTTTTGCCTATTAGGGGTGTTTGTTGCACTAGCTTATGAGTATCCGCAGTTTGCCAAACAGGGAGGGATGATTAGAGCAGAGTATTCTATTGGATACGGAGCAGTAGCGGTTATCTTTTTGATTAGTGGGTTGTCGATGTCTACTAAATCATTAGTGGTGAATCTACTCAACTGGCGAGCCCATTTCACGGTTTTGTCCATGTCCTTTTTAATCACAAGTGCTATAATCTATGGTATTGCAACAGGTATACGAGCAAGTCACAATAAGGAAATCGACGAATGGCTTCTTGTAGGGATGATTGTTACACATTCTTGTCCCACCACCGTGAGCTCCAATGTCGTGATGACAAAAAAAGCTGGTGGAAACGATGTGTTGACCTTGTGTGAAGTCACAGTGGGTAATATACTAGGGGCCTTTGTCACCCCAGCATTGCTACAAATGTTTATGACTGGCAACTGGGAGTTTGGTAATCCAAGTCATCAGCCCACTGGAGATAATTCGATTCAAGATTTGTACGGAGAAACAATGAAACAGTTGGGTTTGAGTGTTTTTGTTCCCATATTCGTCGGTCAAGTTGTTCAATATATGTTTCCAAAGCAAGTTAAATGGACTGTCTCTACATTTAGACTAGGTAAAGTGGGGTCATTTATGTTGCTTTTGATCATGTTCCAGTCATTTTCAACAGCTTTTGCTCAACATGCATTCACAAGTGTCAGTCACGAATCGATTATTTTCCTTGTTTTCTTCAACATTGGTATCTATCTCTTCTTCACAGCTTTTGCATATGTTTACTCAAGGCCGTTTTTTGTTAAACGCTTGTTTTCAGAGTTACCAAATGAAAATTCTAGCTGGGTTTATCGTTGGCTGTATTGGTTTTTCAAACCATTTTACTATGACAAAAAGGATACCGTGGCAGTGATGCTTTGTGGACCGGCAAAAACCGCGGCATTAGGTGTGTCTTTGATATCGTCTCAATATGGTGCACATAATCCCAAATTAGGTATTTTATTAGTGCCGTTGGTGTTATACCAAGCAGAACAAGTTATGACAGCAAACTTCTTGGTGAATTTTATGAAAAAGTGGATAGAATACGATGACAATAAAGAAAATGCAAGCGACAATGAGAACCAATTAGATTTAAAAAATACTAAAGAAGAAAATGGGGAAATATCTCAGCACGAAACTGAAATCGATAGGGAAGAAGATCCAAAATACATTAGCGATGATAATGCTCTAGATAGAGAGGTCAACTCAAGTGTTTCAAGTCCTGCAAGAACCTGAATACAACATATCACCCCCACCATTATCACCACCACCACCATCATTATCACCACCACCACCATCTCTTCTTATGTTTGTTTTCCTTTTTTTTTTTTTTTTGGTATTTTAAATCTTTTGAATAGACATAGACTAATTAAAATCCATATTCACCCAACTCTTCCTCTAACTTCTTGATCGTCTCCAAGATTTCATTTTTGTTGCTCACCAATGTATTTAGTTCATCAAATTTCCTATTTTTGGTAAATTCAAGAATCTGATTTTCCACGAGAAACTTCTGTTCATTTAATACCATCAATTGCTCTCGTAACTCTCTTATTTGTTTCTTTGTCAAGCTCGTCGTCGGAACAGCAGGTGATTCCACTTTGAGCGTAACTTCTTCTACATTGGGTTGGTTTTTTTCATTTATGGCTTTAAACTTGATCAAGTTTTCTTGGAGAAAAGTGACAACACTTTGGTATATATTTAAAAGTATTCTCTCCAGTGACTGGTACTGATGTCGTACAAATATCTTTTCGTGATCTTTATTTTTGTAAAAAAAATTGCTTTTGAATTGCAAAATTGAATTTTCAAAATGCTTCAAGTATGTTGTTAGTTTATGTCCGATTTTCGCATTGTTCTCGGGAGTATTGTTGCCTGTTTCGTAAAGACTCATCATCGTCTCAATAAGCTGTTTCTGCAAAAGCATACTTTCATAGCTAGCTAAAATCACATCTTCTGCTTCATGGACTCCATTTCCATGATGATCTCTCTTCCATGTATACAATATAGAATTGTAACAATTAATGCAACATCGAAATCGTAGTTTTTCGTCGATATTATCCCAATGTGTACGAACTAGCTTTGAATAATTTAAGTTTGGCAATTTTTTGATGACAAATACAAGTGGAATAAACATTGAACATTTCTTCCTTACCCCATACGAATCGTCACAAACCACTTCCCCACAAAGCCGACAATGGTGCTTTCTAATCAAAATATTGAACTTGGTAAAGCATATTGTACAGTTTGTTGCATCAGAATCGGGGATCCAATTATTGACTCCAATAATATTCTTTTCATCATCATCAACATCAACAAATGTATAAAATCTCGAGAAAAGAGATCCTTGTTTATTTTGACTCTTTTCTACCATGAGGTTTGTTAATTTGATGAAATTGCGTTGGATTTTCGTTCTGTGCAATTGTTTTTGATCATTTTGTTCTCTTCTCTTGGTAACCAACTGATTCGTGATGTCTACAAAATTCACCTCCGTGTGCCGTCTTTCCGTGAAACAAGTTTGGCAACACCTTGACCAAACTCCTTGATTAGATGAGTCGAATTGTGGGTAAACTTCGCCTTTCACAGGATTACGTAGTTTGACTTGAAAATGGGTATGCTCATTACAATATAAATCTCCACATTTTCGACAATTGACTATTCCATTCTTGACATTCAACTGTTTGTCACAAAGCTTACATTTAAGAAACTGCTGCTGCTGTTGCAGTTTCCAATGCTGGGTTGTAATTCTATTTGAAGGACTCTCTTCTCGAATTCTTCTAGTATCACCTATACTGAATCCATGTTCCGAAAACGTTATCTTATTAATCTTCTTTGTAGGTGTACTTCTCAAAAGCAATGGCGGCAGCAGCTGCGGCGATGTATGTTGCAACTGCGGTGATATCAGTCCATTCGCGTCCTCATTCAAACGCCCTTGTCGTTGTTCAGCACCTTGTTTAAATTCAACCATATGTTTGTAAGATATATATACTGTTCATTAACCTGAAAAAAAAAAAGATTCAATAAATAAATAGTCGTCTCTATTTAATTGATAAACCATACCATAAAGTCTTTGCGATATTGAGAGACTGTGCTTGGGTTAGTTAGCTAAACTTAGCTACTACTGCCGCGGCCCCTTTAAACACCGCCAGAATGCGGTGTGTGGGCCAACGATAATAAGTGTTGCTTTCATCTCTCTTGTATTTTTTTTTCATCTAATAATATTTCTGTCTATAAAACCCTTATCAATACTAGAGAAACATCATCTTCTTTACCTCCAAGGTATCTTTGACCAGTAATTTTTGATAACTCTTGAGCAAATGCACTTGGGTAATTAGGATCTTTGCTAACCTTGACTACTTCATCGACCAAAGTGTTTGCCACAGCGTCTAGTTGCACGTTCTTGTTATCTTTCAAGTGATCATTCAAAAAAATCTCAATATCTTGAGGTACTATATTATCGGTAACACCATCGGTGGCAAATATTACTATATCGTCTTTTTGGCAGTTCCATATATATTCATCGGCCATTTGAGGGGTATCTATTATATATCGTCTGCCTTCCATTGCTGCTTGTCTTACAATTGTTTCGGGGATTTTGGCCAACTGAAACGGTGTGTTGAAATTGTGAGTTTGGAATTTGGTATTCTCAATCAACTTGTTATCTCTAAACAAGCCACACCAGGAGTCGCCTAGATTGGCAACTCTCAATATTTTGGAATCTGGTGTGAACACTCCCAAACAAGCCGTTGTTCCGCCGATTTCCACTTTATCGGACTTGAGAACCTCTTTGAATGCAAAATCAAGTAACTCCTTGGGACTGCTTGCACGAGCACTGCTTTGTTGTTTCTCAAAAGCTTTCTTAATGCTAGCACAAAGCTCTCTAGAAATTGCTGAAGAATCGTAACCAGCTTCTGACCATCCTCCCACCCCATCGGCTACACCAACGGCAATTGATCCATCGCGCAATTCCTTGGACACAAACAAATTATCTTCACCGATGGGGGAGTTCACAGCGGCACTGTTGTTTAGCGGTTTTTTTTTGAAAAGATTTGTGCTTGCCTTTTTGCGGTCTTTTGGTTGGTAAGCAACTGCCACGGAGTAATTTGTAAATGAAGTCAATGCTGTGTCATAATTCAACGAAGCTGAAGTTGACGATGCTGGGGGCACGGAAGTACCAGACAAGGTATTAGCCGCAGTACTGCTGCCACCACCACCACCACCACTACTCTTACTGCCATTGCTGCTATAGCTCCCCCAAGAAGACGACGATCCAGAAAGATTTCGCGACGTCAGATATATAGATACTTTGAAAACATTCCAATTTATAGGTACAGACAGCCTCTTAATTAGTAAAGATAATAACATGGATATAAGAACTATAATACAGCAAAACTTGACCGTTTTGATACTTATCATCAAACCCAAACCCGTGTAAACAGCTGGAAAAGCTCAATAACCTCAATAACCTCAATAACTTCTATATTATATATATATATATTAAAAAAATTGAGAGATAACTATATACTATCGCCGGTAAAGGGGGAAGACGCAAATATATATATATAGGAAGAAAGAAAAGCGCCTTAGAAATGAAAGATGAGATGAGATGGATGTCAGTCACGTGTAACTTAATATAGATATGCTACCAAATGCGTCAAAGTCGAGTGAGGGTGAACCAATCAGCAGGAGATTTGAGAGGAGTCAAAAAAAAACATGAAAAACTTTTTTCTCTTTTAAATGCAAACCCCATAAAAGAAAAGAAAAGGTAAGGTAATTTAGGCGATTTGAGAATTTGAGAATGTCCTCCTCTACGTTGAATGTGTTGAGATATTCGGCATTAGGTGCCGGTTTGTTTTATGGTGCATACCATAGATACTCTTTAGAGACTGCTAATACGAAACAACAAGCTGCAAAAGAATGGAAGCGGGAAGAGAAGTTGATTGCTGAAGCTAAAGCTGTGTATCAGAAGATAAACACGCCTCCAAAGGAAAAGAGTAATGTGTCAAGTGGATCAATTAATTGGGAAGATCCAAATTTGGATATAGGAGCTGCTTTGGAGTCATTGCTTGCTAAGTTGGACTAAAAATTATAAAAAAAATGCCATTCATTTGGTGTAGAGAGGAGCTTTTTATAGCTTACCTTTGCTTGTATAATTAAGATAGAGGAATTGCTGATACAGTGGTGATCAAGTACTGAATTTATCGCCTTAAAGTACTGAATCTATCGCGTTAAACTATTCATACTATGGTGATGTCTTGAACTCTCTATTCTTAAGCTCTCTCTCATTTGTAATATTTAGCTTAAATATTAATAATAAATTAGATAAGCTAAAGCTCACCTATCTTATAAATACTCACAATCAATTATATAAGCTAAAACTCACCTCTCCTACAAATACTCACAATCAATTACATAAGCTGAAACTCACCTCTCCTATAAATACTCACAATCAATTACATAAGCTACAGTTTAATAATAAATTACATAAGCGACAGCTTACTTATCTTGCCGAAGTTTGTTTTTCTCGGTTTTTTTTAGGGGGGGAAAAAAAAAAAAAAAAAAAAAAAAAAAAGGAATTGAAAAATGTACAACTTTTTCGGTTAACAGGACTTTTTGATTTGCATCTTTGAGGAAACAGTTTTATTGATGTGTCGTTTATAGGCTCAAGACTTGTTGAAACTCAATACTTGTGGATCTTTATATTACCCGTTAACGTCCTTCTCCTTCCCATTTTTCTATCATTTTTCCGCGCTCATGAGTAAAAATCGACAGTTACCATTTGCAGATGCCGCTACAATAGGTGAGTAAATTTCAATTTGAATTGGCAATATCTTTTTTCTCCTTTTACTAACGGAGTTTATTTGATAGTTAGGGCGCATCAGAAGGATGCTTACTTTGAGTCATCTTATAGGACTCATTTACAAGATTTTTTCCAAATCTTTAAAGGTCAGCGGTTTATAAATGAGTTTTCTCAAGAAATTACTGTTTTGGCTAAAGCTTTATACGTGGCATTGACTACTGTTATTGGTGCAAGAACTTTGGGCGAAGAGTATGTTGATTTGGTGTATGTGACAAAGTCAGGAAGAAAGTTGCCCAAGATTCTACCGAGAGTTGGATTCTTGTTATCATATGCCCTTGTTCCATACTTTATCAACAAATTGATCAAATACATCAAGGTGAGAAAAGAGAATGATAAGGATAAAGATAAGGATAAGGATCACTGGCTATTTAAGTTTTTATCCAACTACTTTGATGTCTTGGACACTATAACAAACTTGCACATTGCTATATTCTACTTTAAAGGTGAATTTTACTCAATTCTGAAAAGAATCTTTGGATTACGTTATGCATACGGTCACCACAAAGAACCAGAAAAGATGCAGAGGGGGAACTATTCGCTTCTAGGCGGGTTGATAATTGTTCAGTTCATTGTCAAAATCTTGATGAATTTAAAGGAGTACAATAATAATTTAATCAGCAAACATAATGAAAAACAAATTGTAGACAAGATTGATGAAACCAATAAGGAGACAAAGATATTCAATATAGCCCAGTTAAATCAATTGAGTGATAATTTCGATGAAAAGTTGTTGATAAACTTGGCAGATGAGTCGCAATTGCCATATTTACAAGATACTTCGAGAAATTGTATGCTATGTTTATCTCCTATGGTATCACCTGCAGCAGCAAATTGTGGACACTTGTATTGCTGGGACTGTATAGTCGATTGGGTTAGAGAGAATCCCGAGTGTCCCTTGTGTAGACAACAATGTTTAGAACAACATTTACTTCCATTGAGATGAAATACATAGAAGGATACATGCCCTCATCTTTACCACTATCGAGCAGAGCGAGATAGTGGAGCACACTGACTAGCGACACCGAATAACGAAAAGGATGCAATCAAACCCCCTCCCCCTCACTTCTCATCTCTCTCTTATCTCTCTCTCATCTCTCTCTCATCTCTCTCTCATCTCTCATTCCTTCCTTCCAAATCACGTTAAAAAAAAAAAAAAAAAAGATCAAATTGGGAAAATATAAAAAGGACAAAACATCAGTATCATTTTGCTTTGACAACTTGGAAAAGGATCAAGGGGATGAGTGGTAGTTACTCATTGCCGTATACTACGGACTTGGAAAACTCTGATGATCAGTTAAAGACATTTAAACCACATAAGAAGATCTCGTTTCAAGATGCAACGCTTCGTTTGATTATTAAGTACAAGAAGATAGTTTTGTTTTTGATTACCATTGTTTGTCTATCGTTATTCACCAATGTACCCTATTTACCTCATATCAAGATTCTGTCGCCGAAAGTTGTTATTATTCTAGCAGCAAACGAAGGAGGCGGTGTTCTCAAGTGGAAGTCGCCTCAGGAATGGTCCGTGGAAAGATCATCTATAGCCAATAAGAAAAACTATGCAAAACAACATGGGTATGGGTTGACTATCAAGGATATGACTATACAGAAGAGGTATTCTCACGAATGGAGAGAAAGTTGGGAGAAGGTGGATATTCTCAAACAAAGCATGAGACAGTTCCCACAAGCCGAATGGTTTTGGTGGTTAGACTTGCATACCTACATTATGGAACCACAAATATCGTTGGAAGAGCATTTCTTGAATAATTTGCATAATGCCACCTACAGAACGTTGGAGCGGTTTAATCCCTTGGGATTGGCAACAGACCTACCGTATGTTGATTATACTCAGCCCATCGATATGGTTATCACCCAAGATTGCGGTGGGTTTAATTTAGGTTCATTTTTGTTGAGACGCTCGCAATGGTCAGAGATGTTATTGGACATATGGTGGGACCCAGCGATGTATGAGCAAATGCATATGCAGTGGGAACACAAAGAACAAGATGCTTTAGAAACATTGTATTCGACACAACCTTGGATCAGAGAAAGAACTGCTTTTTTGCCATTGAGAACTATAAACGCTTTTCCACAAGGTGCTTGTGCAGATCAAGCTGACGATCCTCAATATTTCTTCCAAGATCACGATTTCGTTGTCAATATGGCTGGTTGCGAATGGGGTAGAGATTGTTGGGGAGAAATGGAGCATTACAAAGCATTATCGAAAAAACTACATAAAAAATGGTACAAGTTCTGGTAATAGGCGGGAAGAAGCCACTATCCTAGTGGCAAAATAATAGAACAAGAACAAGAACAAGAACAGCACCTTGTAGTAGCTGTAATACTAGTTTGTAGCACCATAAGCTGTAAATGTAAATGTAATAGTATCCCCCTACCTCTACTACTGATCCTAACAAAAGGTAGTGTTCTTTTCTCCAAAAGTTTTGTGAGGAAAAAAAAACTTTGTGAATTGAAAACACAGTGAAACTTATCATAAAGAGATTAACTGGTTTGGTAAACAGGTCAAGATGTCTGATGGAGACTGGATAAATGATCCGAGTTTCATGGGTGGGGCGTCGGGTGATGATTTTTTGAATTCTATATTTGATCAGAGTCAAGGTCAACCTCTGCAATCTCAACAGCAGCCTCAACAGCAGCAGCCTCAGCAGCAATTCGTCATGAGGTCACAGTCATCGGTGCCTAGTCAGCAATCTCAGCCGCAGGATGCGCAAACTATGCCGCAGCAACCAGTACAGGATACTCAGGACTTTAGTGGTTATATGAGGAAGCAGCAACTGCAACCACCGTCTCAACAAACAAATGTGAATAATCAAGAAATGCTATTGAAGATGAAACAGCAGATTTACCGGCAGAAAATGCAAGCTCAGGTGCAAAACCAAGCTCAGGCACATGCACAGGCACAGGCACAGGCACAACAAACTTTTCAGTCTAGTATGTCCTCTCACGGATCGCCAATGTCGTCCCAGATGACAACACCTTTGCCTCAACATGGCACCCCCTTGACTTCTACGGGTAATTCCCATATGAATACAAACATGGGTGCTAATTTCCCACCACAAATTCAGCAGCATCAACCACCACAGCATCAGCAGAGACCCGCGTCTCAGCCGCAAGTTCAACTACACCCTCTGCAACGACAAGTTTCCCAACAGCTGCAGCAAAAGGTGCAACAACTGCAATTTTCTCAGCAGCAGCAGCAAGAGCAGCAAAAACTCCAACAACAAAGACAAGCAATGACATCACAATTCAACAGCGAGCTTTTCCATACTTTGTTGTTTGATTTTTTCCAGCGTCGAGGCATTCCAATAAAGGGCTTACCAGTTATAAATAATAAGAGAATAAATTTATTTATGTTTTTTTTATTATGTTCCAAGTTAGGAGGCTTTCGCCAATTGAAAAGATTTTTGAATCTAAGTCCGCAGCAACAACAGCTGCAACAAAATCCCTGGGCTTTGATTGCATCGAGATTGGGATTATATGAAGGATTAAATTTGCAGGAACCTGGGGTTAAGGAAAAAATCGTTAATGAGGTTTGTAACTGTTATGCTACATTTATTTTGCCATACGAAGAATATAATGGTACACCTGCAGGGCAAAGAGACCTATTCCAAAGAAGACAAGTCTTTCAGAGTCAAATAATTTTGAAATTGCAGCAACAAGCTCAGCAGGGTCAGCAGCAAGTTTCAATGCAACCACCACAACAGTCACAGGAACAGGCCCAGGTACAGGCTCAGGCTCAGGCTCAACAGCAAGCTAAGGCACAACCCAGCCAAATTCAGCAATTGCAATCAAAGCATCAACCCCAGGCCTTTTCGCCAGCAGCAAATATCCCTACTCCAATTGGTGGTCAACCTACGCATCAAAGTCCTATCATCAGTAGCGCACCAACTCCTCAACAAAGGAAACTTTCGCGAGCCAGCAATCCTTCCACGCATAATTCGCCTAGAATCAATTCACCATATGTTCAAAACCAACAAAATCAACAATTTAGACAACAACCATTGAACCAGCAGCAACAGCAAATTATATTTCAGCAGCAACAACAGCAGCTCCTACAACAACGTCAACAACAACAACAACAACAACAACAACAACAACAACAACAACAACAACAACAACAACAACAACAACAATCTCAACCTCAACCTCAACCTCAACCTCAGCTTCAACAGCAACAACAACTGCAGCAACTGCTACCACAATTACCACAGCAACAACCTTTGCAAGTTCTGCCTCTGCAACAATTTCAGCCCCATCCACAAGCTCAACAAAGAGTTCAACAACAACAACAACAACAACAACAACAACCGCCATATCAGAAATTTTCACAACAACCGCAACAGCTGCCAGTACAACCTCAACCCCAACCTCACACTCAACCCCAACCCCACACTCAACCTCACACTCAACCTCACACTCAACCTCAAACTCAACCTCAAACTCAACCTCAAACTCAACCCCAACCTCAATTTCAACCTCAATTTCAACCTCAACCTCATCAACCTCAACCTCAACCTCAACCTCATCAACCTCAGCCTCAACCTAAGAGGGTAATGCGTCAGGAGTCTCAAGCAGCAAGTGGTATTCATTATATGAAGAACGAAGTATCTAAAGAGGAAGCTAATGTACTTCGAAACTATGTACCCTACAAAAGAACAGTTGAGGCTCATGGATTTTATGTAATGAAAGAGTTATCGAGTTTGGCGAGTGAGATTGAAGTGACGAAACCTATTTATTTATTTGCGCCGGAATTGGGTATGATCAATTTACAAGCATTGATTATGTCAATCAAAAGCAATCATGGTGTTCAAAGCGCAGAAGTAGTTAATGCGTTAAATACATTGTTAGTGACTTCTTCGGATAATAATTATTCACTTCATATTCGTGACTGCATGGATTTGTTGGACTCGTTGAGCGAATTGGGGCAGGAAGTATTGCACAAGATCATTTATGGTGAATCTAGTACTGAAGACATTGTTGAAGAGAATGTCGACAACTTGAGCTTTCAGAGCAAAATCGATAAGATTTTTGCAAAATATGTAAGTGATCAGGGGGAAGACATTCTGTATGTTGTAAATTCTTTAACTGGTGAGGTAGTATCAGATGAAGGAGATGCTATCAATGAATTGTTTGACATTGAAGAACCAACAACTCCAGTTACACCTCCAGGCGCACCAGAGGAAATTAGCGAGTTTGTTATTGATGATTATTCAAAAGCATTGCAAATTTTTAAAGCTGAGAACAAGGACCATTTTAGTAAATTGCAAGCCAAAAGCGGTAATGATGATCAAATCATGTTGATTGATGAGTTGATTACGATCACGATGATATTGAGGAATATTTCATTTCTGGAATTCAACAAGGAAGCAATGGCAAATAATCGAATATTTAAAGATCTTTTGTTTTCGGTGGTGAAAAATATTGGATTGCATAGAGACAAATTCAGATTCAGTAGAAAGAGATTATGCTTGCTTAAAGATTGTCTTTTAATGTTGGATAATATTGCATTTTTTACCCATTTACAATCTTTGGAGGAAGCGTTTTTAGCATTTGTTTTAATTGGCAGTTTTGGACCGGCCATCACCGACAGATGGACTATTCCACGATGCAATTTGGATACTCATTCATATTTTCCATTTGGTATTGATGCTTTAACGAAATTGTTAGTGAGAGAACCTTACAACAGATCACTTTTACAAGCTGTGTTGAATGGTACACTAAATTTAGGGTTGACCACTAGCTATACTAATACGTTTGTAGTTAGCCAACAAGACCAGGACTTTACCAAGAAATTAGTCTCATTATACCTTGGAAAAGATGCTGGAGAGTACAAAGCGGGTATATTGCTAACTAGGGCATTTCAACTATATATGAGTATCATTCCATTTGATGCCAATAGTTTTGAGTTTTCGAAATTTGTGTTTATTAGGGCTCCAACTGTGTCGCAGATGCTATTTGGACTCAAGTTGATTGTAGACATGGCGCCCATTGAAGACTTGCATTCTTCCTTGAACAAGCTAACATTATTTTGGATATTTAAGAATCGTGAACTAATCTTGGGTAATTTTGCAAGAATACTAGTGGCACTTTCATCGGAAACGGGTAAATTCCCAAGAGAAACACCAGAACACTCGATATTATCGTCATGTTTAACCAAAGCTTTAGTTTTGGTAAACACGCTAGTGAAAAATGCCGTTCTTGCCAAAAGAATTGAAGAGACAACTCACCACCATACAGAGTTGATTAACAAATTGACCGATTGTTATGCATTTCCCAGAATCATACCGGATACTCACTTGACGTTGGATACATTTCTAGCACCAACAATTGATAATAGTTTGGGTGAAGAGATCATTAAGCTTTTAAAACATTTGAAGAATCTAAAGGCCTGTGAGGGAATCTAAAAGGGAAAAAAAAAAAAAAAAAAAATTTGTAATATAACTTGACAATGCAAAGTTTCATTGCAAACCTCCTTTTTTTTTCTATTTTTTGTACTAATAGTAGTAAATAAAATATATAAGAACTGTATTATTGTTATTATCACTAATTGTTGAGATTTGCAAGACCCAACTCTTGTACTAGTAGAGGCCCGTATTTTTTTGTATATGACTCTCTTGTCTAAAAGACAAACAAAGATACTAGACAAGCGATTGAGAGTGATAGAGGTAATGGAGATGTGTATGGCATAGCAAAGGATATCTAGGAAAGCCCAAATAAATAAAAGTAAATTTTTGCTGAGGTATAGGCAAAGAAAAGAAAAGTAAAAAAAAAAAAAGACTAAAAGGTTCCTTTTTTGGATAAAATGTAATGTAATGATATGTTCTCTAATGTTATAAAGGGAGAGTGGCTTTGTTTGCTTTATCAGCAGTAGCAGTAGAGGGATTTTTGAAATTACCTGGATTATAAAGTATGGTGATTGCCCATAGTTTGTCAAAGGGCAGATTTTTCGTACCTTGAGGTTCAAATAACCTTGGTTGGCCCTTTGATTTTTGTTGGTAAAGAATTGCAATTCAACGAGATCATGAGTAGTACCGCTCAATTGGGGGATTCAGTGATCTCACCAGCTTTGGCAAGCGAGCAAACATTACCAGCAAGTTGGTGGCATTCAGAAAAGATATTTGAGTTGGAGAAAAGAGCCATTTTCCACAAGGCATGGTTGTTTTGTATTCATGAAAGTCGTTTTGAAAGGGTAGGTGATTACTATGCTTTCAATGCTCATGGCATCAATTTCTTTTTAATTAAATCAAAAGCTGATGGTGCAATTAAGGCCTTTCACAATTTTTGTCGTCACAGGGCATTCCCAATAGTTAGAAAACAGTCAGGTTCGAGTACAGTTTTAGGTTGTAAGTACCATGGATGGAGTTACAACTCAAACGGTAAATTGATAAAAGCTCCTCAATTTGATAATGTTGACGGTTTTAGCAAGGAGGAGAACTCACTATTTCCAATCAATACCCACGTTACTCCTCAAGGTTTGGTATTTGTCAATTTCAGTAAAAATCCTATGCCATTCACCGAGTGGTTTTCAGGATTAACTGAAGAGATGAATGATTTTGACTTTGCTGATTATGAGTATTACATGTCCTTTGAATTGCATGGAGATTTCAATTGGAAAACATTGGTAGATGGCTATCAAGAGTGCTATCATTGCCCCACTGCTCATCCTACTCTTAGCTTAGCATTCAAAATGGAAACTTATGAAGTTGTGTCCAAAAACAGATATTGTCGTCATTATGCTTCAAACGTTAAAAATGAATCAAAAGAGGAAGTTGACAAGGTACCTCAAAACCTATCGTCGTGGTTTAGATTTGGCAAGAAAACACAAGAAGCTCCATCTTTAAGGAAATGCAATCCAGGAGGAGAGTTTGACGGTTTGTGGGTCTATCTTTTCCCCAACAATGGTATCAATTGTTATTCACCAGCGTGGTATTCCATTCGCGTATTACCATTGAGTGCTACAAAGACAACATTGCAATACGATATATACACAAGAAAGGCACTTGACGACAGAGAGAAAACAGAGTTTGTTGATTTCTTGCAACAAGTTGAGAAGGAAGATTACGATTTATGTACATTGACTCAAAAGAATTTAAATGAAGGTATTTATACTACTGGTCGCTTACATCCTCAAAAGGAAAATGGCGTATTGTTTTATCAAGGTTTGGTTCGTGATATGGTCAAAGAGCACTACAAATTAGAACAAGAAATTGGCGGTCCAATTGACTCTGCTGCTATAAATGGCAACTCTAACGTCAACAATAAAGAATTCATGGAATTGGAGCTGATTTGTCAAAATGCTGAATGCGCATCCCGTGGCAAGCGGGAATTTAACTGGTGAAAGAAAATCCAAAATGGAATTTATTTATATTTATATATATATATACGTAATCTCATTTGTACATGAGGAAAATATTTCTCTTCAAAATCTAAAGTAATCCTAGTTTCTCCATCCTTATTTCAACAGCTCGCCTATGTGCTTCTAATCCTTCGACGCGAGCCAAGGTCATAACTGCTTTACCGATACTTTCCAATCCATCTTTTGTTACATCTTGGGAAGTAATGAATTTCTGAAAGGTTGCAGTATTTACACCACTATATTGTCTTGCATAACCATATGTTGGTAAAGTATGATTAGTTCCAGAGGAATAATCACCACAGGACTCAGGTGATAAAGCTCCAACAAACACGGAACCTGCATTTTCAACATAGTCAGGAACATATGTCTTGGCATTATCAATTTGCAAAATTAAATGCTCTGGTGCATACTTGTTTGATAATTCAAAAGCTTCGTCATACGTCTTGACAAGCAAAATAAACGAATGCGACAAACATTTTGCCACAATCTCCTTTCTAGACAACAATGAAGCTTGTTTAGTAACTGCATCTTGAAAAGATTCGAGTTTCTCCTTACTCAAATTAATACCAATTAATATAACTTGCGAATCAATACCGTGTTCAGCTTGAGATAATAAGTCACTAGCTACAAAATCTGCATCCGCATTCTCATCTGCAATAACCAAAACTTCACTTGGTCCTGCTGGCATATCTATAGAGCACAACGCTTGGGTGTCGTTTTGAACATACATCTTAGCAGCGGTCACAAATTGATTTCCAGGACCTAAAATCTTATCGCATTTGATTACAGTTTCAGTACCATATGCCATTGCCGTTACAGCTTGCGCTCCTCCGGCCATGACAATACTTTGTGCGCCTAATTTATGAGCAACATAAACAACTTCTGGGGTTAATTTCCCTGTAGATCTAGCTGGTGGCGATGCAATCACAATGTTTTTACAGCCAGCAACTTTTGCAGGTACACCCAACATCATTGCTGTTGATGGCAAAACTGCGGTTCCACCAGGTACATAAAGCCCGACATTTTCAATAGGTTTAGCGAATCTAGAACAATAAACACCGGGACAAGTCTCTACAGTTAAAACTTTCTCCTTGGGAAGTTGAGCTCTGTGGAATTTTTCGATATTCGACATTGATAAATCTATAGCATCTTTCATTTCTTGTGTAATATCCATCAATTCACCAGGAAATGGCGCTAATAGTACTGGTGTAGTCAATTTAACACCATCAAATTTCTCTGTTAATTTCAAGAGTGCATTATCTCCATTTGTCTTGACATCTTCAATAATAGGAAGCACGAGTTTCATTATATCCGAAGTTTTTTGTACGGGCCTTGTCATTGCTCGAACGACTTCGGGTGATTCCATATCATCCACAACAATAGTTTCCATCCTATATGAATTTTCCGCCAATTCGGTAGTAGTGGTGGCAGTAGTAGCAGCAGAAGTGGTGCTGGTGCTGGTGGTGCTGGTGGACTTTGTTGTTTCCTTTTCAGATTTAATATACTTTGGTTTTGCATCACCTTTCCTTCTAGTAACTTTCAAAGACTTGACATCTAAATTTTTCTCGATATCGACTAAGCTAACACCATTCTTGATACTCCAACACATAACAAAATACAACAAGTCTGCAGCTTCCCAAGCTACCTCATGTTTGTTTCCCTTGGCCTCGATCAATTCGTCCAATTCCTCCTTCAATTTTGCAACGAGTAAATTTTCGTCATCAAATAATCGCTTAGTATACGATCCCTCTGGTGCATTTTCAAATCTTTCCTGTAAAGTTTTATCCAATTTAACCAATCCTTTGCCCAGAGATTCAACAGGTTCATCACCAAAACAGGTATACTGAGTTTCCTTGTGACAAAAGCCATAACCCTTCCTAGATTCAACAACAAATTGAACCACGTCAGAGTCACAATCCTTGGCTATCCTAACAAGCTTTTGTGTGGCACCGCTTGTTTTACCCTTGTACCACAATTCATGGGTTCTTTTTCTTGATTGATACACCCCAACTTTTTCTTCAATTGCTGCTTCGATAGAGGCTTTAGACGAGTATACTATACCCAATGCAGTATATTCTGGGGCCGGTGACGTTATTAAGGTGGTATACAACCCGTCTGGTCTATCTGTAACCAAAGTACTTATGAAAATCGATGAGATTGAAACTTTGCCATTTTCTTCCTTCTTTGTGGTCAAAACATCAGCTGATATTATAGGAATTAATCCCAATTGAGCCACTTCATTAACTTCTTCTTGCAGTGGATGTTTTTCAAACTCGAAATATATGTCTCTGTTCCCATAAACACTTGTGTCGTTGATTTTTTGCCTTGTGATGAGACAAGAAGATGATGATGATGAGGTTAGTTCAAGCAGAGTGCTAGCAAATCGTGAAGCAGGCAATCCGGCGTCAATACACTGCTGGTACTGATCGCCATCATATATAAATACCCTCTCAACACCATTGTTCAATAACTCGACAATTTGATCCAAGGTAACCTTCTCATCTACCGAGACATAAATTGATAACTCATGGGGGAACTGGTGAATCCAATGCTTACTCAATTCTAAAGCACTGTACGCTATTACAACATGGCCTGTTATGCCAAAATCCTTAATCTGTAAAGCGTCAAGTGACGAAAGACGTGGAAGAAGGGGGAACGACATCTTCCTTAACGGCTTGCCTCAAGAGATGAAAGTCTAGTTTTTAGTCGTTAAAGGGTCTTCTTTAGTTGAAATTTTTCAGGTGAGTCATGTACTGATACATTTGGTAGCACTAGTATAAAAAAATAAGATGGGGGCATTTCTCTAAAGAGCGAGGGGAGGAAGCCACACTAGGGCTTTTACACACACACACACACACACTGGGGAGCTGTCTTTCCTGATTTTACATATATTCAAACCTCGAGGTGTTTTAAGAGTTTGTTTGTTTATTTGTTTGTTTATTTTCCAGTTATTAACATGTATTATCATTGAATAAATGAATAAATTGAACTATGCACAAAAGATTTCAAAAGTCAAACTCCTTTCTGAATTGGTTTAAGTCCATATTAGGTTTAACTAATTCAACCAAATCTCTTCTTTCCATCCCAATAAATGCTCTTTTCAATGTTTCAGTTAGTGAGGTAGATTGGTTCTGGTTCAAAGTATGCGCCGCATCGTCTCCTTCAACTTGATGCATCAGTAATCCGCTTAGTAAATGTTCTACTGCTTCTTTGTAGCAACCGATATTTATACATGAAACACCCAAGTTATATCTAGCCCTAACAAATGTTGGTTTCAATTGTAACGCTTTGAAGTATGCCTCTACTGCTTCTTCCAGTCTATTAGAATTAGCCAATGATGCACCCAATCGATTCCACAATACAGCGTCGTTTGGTTTAATACTTAAAGCGGCTTTAAAACAATCTATAGTCTTATCAAAATCTTCATTTGCATAAAATAATACTCCCAACCCCATTTGCACGTCTGCATCCATGTTTGCGCGATCGGGAGACAATTGTGCTGCCTTGAGAAATAGTTCAGTAACCCTCTTGTTCAAAGAAAATCTATCTTCGTCGGTAATTTCTGGATTTTCCAATCTTGCCTTTTCTGCAACAGCAGGGTACTTTGTTGAAATCCATCTCTCCAATGTAGCAAATGCTGCATTATCATACCCTTCATTTATATAAGATATAGCTAAATTCATCAAGGCTTCTGCATTTTCCGGGTGCAATTCAAGACATTTTTCCAAAGCAGAAATACCAGCAATCTCCTTTTCGTTTTGTGTTTGTACTTCACCCAACTTCAACCATGCATTAACGTGGTTTTCATTCCTTTGTATAGCGGCTTCAAAAGCTAAAGCGGCTTCAGATAATTTTGCACCATTTTCCATCAATTGTAAACCAATTTCATAGGGATCTTGATCTGCAGGCAAATCCATAAATTGATTATGCAGCTGTTCTTCAAATTTGTAATCACCGAAATGAGCTCTTGTCGAGGCGTATTTCGCGAAATCTCTTTCCCATTGATTCAAATCTGCTGGGAATGTCTCTCTTTGCGTATGTTTAAACTCCTCATATTGCTGTTCAATCAAGTCATTTTCCAACGCCTCTGAATTTAAGCTATCCCACACTTCTTGGAAAGTTGCTTGGTACTTATCGTCAATCACAATATCGTCTTTATCATCGGCTTCTTTTGAGGACAACTCTTCAATCTTTTTAAACTGGTCATCCCAATCAACCTGTGCTTCTGCATCTTCTTGTTGTTGTTGTTGTTGTTGCTGCTGCTGCTGCTGCTGCTGCTGCACTTGGGGTTGTTGTTGTTGATAAGGCATGCCCATCATTGGACGATAATTTCCCATCATGGGTCTATACGAACTGAAACCCTGGTTACCTTGCATTGATTGTTGCTGTTGATGGTGAAGTGATTGAGCTTGTTGAGCTTGAGGCGAGCCAACGACTTGAAATTCGCTGGCCCACTTGGCCTTTGCAAGAGATGCATTTTCCGGCATAGGTGATACAGTTTGAGGCCTAGACGAAGCTGAATGCTGCTTGAAATCTTGAGACCAGTTATTGTTATTATTATGCTGCTGCTGTTGTGGTTGTGGTTGTTGTGGTTGTTGTTGATGCAAACCATTTAATTCATGTCTCATTTGTTGGAACTGGAATGCATTAGCTTGAGATGGAGGGACATTTGAGTTCATAAACTGTTCCAAATTCTGTCTATCTCTCACATTAATAGAGTTATCTCTTTTAAACCCTTGGTTCTGAACAAAACCGGCTCCTGCTTGATGTGCAGCTTGTTGTTGTAATGAACGATCCTGTTGAGTATGTTTATTAAGCTGGGCAACAACATTCCCATTAACAGCGCACTCTGAACCACCGCCAATAAACGACATATTACAACCGATTCTCTGTTAGAAACTCGCCAACCTTTTAGCTAGTGTGTGTGGGGGGGGCAACAAAAAAAAAAAAGACAAATAGGGGGCTATTGTAAGTATTTCACAATACCACTCTTAAAGTTGATGGATGGAAAAGAAAAAGTTTAACTCTTTATGATTTACTCCATTTCTCGTTCTTCCCCACTATATTAAAGAGGCAAGAGAGAAAAACAAATTAAGTAATTGACTAAAGCGAATAAAGCGGAACAGGGGAAAAAAGAAAACTATGATTGTATTATCGTTGGCTGGACCGAGGGTACTAATCGAGCGCGACACTATCGACCGCGACACTATCGAGCAGAGCGAGATAGTGGAGCACTGTTGACTAGTGACAATATTACAGAGAATATTTATAGAGGATACAGATAATATTCATAGAGGTGCTTACTATTCATAGAGGTGCTTACTATTAAGAATATTTATAGGTGCTTACTATTAAGAATATTTATAGGTGCTTACTATTAAGAATATTTATAGGTGCTTACTATTAAGAATATTTATAGGTGCTTACTATTAAGAATATTTATAGGTGCTTACTATTAAGAATATTTATAGGTGGTTACTATTACAAGCAGATGTGATTATTACAGAGAATATTTAGTTTTATGTAGTTATTATTTACAGAGATTATCTGGTTACAAGTAGAGCTATTTAAAAGAATATCATTTATAGCGTGCCAAGTGTTGTAACAAACTACCAAGTGTTGCTCCACTTTTGAGCAGAGCGAGATAGTGTCGTTTAAAAGTAAACCAATTTATAAGTAGAGTTATTTATAAGTAGAGTTACTACTTACATGTCACTATTTTTTTAATCTTTCAGCTTACTAGCGAGCAAAGCGAGCTAGTGGAAAATAAAAGACTTTACCACTATCGAGCACTATCGAGCACTATTAAGCACTATCGAACACTATCGAGCAGAGCGAAATAGTGGAGCAACAACTTGTAGTTTGTCACACTTGGCTCGATAGTTGAGCAACGATTTGTAGTTTGTTACAACACTTGGCTCAATAGTGGAGGTGGCAGCTAGTGTGCTCCACTATCTCGCTCTGCTCAACAGTGTCGATAGTGTCGCTGCAAGACAAATATAGCGGGGTTACTATACAGAAAAAGACTGAATATAGTGAAATATAATAGTGTGCTTTAAAATTTTTTGTCTAAATTGGTACAAAATCTGGAGAATCTTTACAGATCCTGATCTATATATTGAAAGTGAAAACAAAAACCACTGGCTCCACCAATAAAAGAGATAGTGGAGCAACACTCAGTAGCTTTTTACAACATTATCTTGCTCTCCTCGATAGTGGAGCAACACTCAGTAGCTTTTTACAACATTATCTTGCTCTCCTCGCTAGTGGAGCAACACTCAGTAGCTTTTTACAACATTATCTTGCTCTCCTCGCTAGTGGAGCAACACTCAGTAGCTTTTTACAACATTATCTTGCTCTCCTCGCTAGTGGAGCAACACTCAGTAGCTTTTTACAACATTATCTTGCTCTCCTCGCTAGTGGAGCAACACTCAGTAGCTTTTTACAACATTATCTTGCTCTCCTCGCTAGTGGAGCAACACTCACTAGCTTTTTAATTATCTCGCTCTCCTCGTTGGTGTCATTAATCAATTTTAAAGTCGAAAAATATCTATATATAAAAAAGAAAACTCAATAAGAAAAACGTCTAAATCTCTTTAAGATCTACGTCTCTTTAAGGTGCATCTTTTTAAGATCTACATCTCTTTGTTGCTCCACTATCTCGCTTTGCTCGATAGTGTCGAGATCTACATCTCTTTGCTGCGCCACCATCTCGCTTCGCTCGATAGTGTCGAGATCTACATCTCTTTGTTGCTCCACTATCTCGCTTTGCTCGATAGTGTCGAGCTCTAAAAACAAAAGTCAGAAATAAAAGGCAAACGGGTAAACTGGCAAAAATGGTCAATAAGGAGTGAAAATGATACCGACAAACCAAGAATGAATTAAATCAAAAATCATCATTAAAATGCAACTCTCCATATTTTGCATGGTACTGAACTATTTCAGGCTCCATGTGAGCACCAGAATCGTACTCTAATTTTCTCTTCATGTAATTTGGCTCCTGGCTAAAAGATTCCAATGTTTGAATAGGCGCATTATTGATCTTGTAGTAACTATCCCATTCCTCCAAATTTGATAAAGTTCTGGTAGATTCATAAGAAACCGCTGATGGTGGATTATTAAGCAAATGATTTGGTAAGCTGACTCTTGGGAAACTGGTGGTATTGCCATCGTTAGTTAAAGATTTGTCTTCAGTCTTGTATCCTTCACTAACTGCCTTTCTTATTCTCATTGCCACCGAGGGTAATGAAGAAACTGCATTTACACCATATGATGGATTGTACTCATTATTAGCTGTATTCTCATGAATGTCTGGTCTTTTGAACCTTCTATCTACTTGAGCAGGCATCTCTACTGTCATATTATCAATAAAAATAAAATAAAAAAAAAAAAAAAAAAAGAACAAACAAAATTGCCTCGACGAAAATGCCTTGTGTCTATATAAGATACCGTCTTTGTATGCTTTGCAAGCCAATCCGTGTGTTAAACAAACTTGATGGAAGGGAAAAAAAAAAAAAAAAAAAGAATGAAAGAAAGAACAACAATGGAAGATACTCCTCTACTTAAAACTGTAACCTAAAACCAACTTATAAGTGATTTATTTCTTACATCATAGAAAGGAAGAAAGGAGAAAGGGGTGGGCACACTAATGCATTTGTCATTTCCACAGTGTAACACTAGAACATTTCGCCAAAATTACACGACCATGTCTTTTTCTTGTGTCTTGTGTGTTGTAAACTTGTCTAGAAAGATATTACCCAATTAGGAAGTCTATGCATTTTATTTCATTTCATCTCATCTCCTTCTCCTTTGACTTGCCCGTTGGAAAAAATATAAAAAAATAAATTATATACGAAGAAAGCTTAAAATACATCATCATTTACACACACAAAAGAGCAAGAAAGCGAAAGCGAAGAAAAGTGGAGTATAATATAGATCATTTACGGATATAAAACCTTCTCCCCCTTTTTTCTACTACTGTTACCACCTCACTACTTTCACTACCTTATTTTGACTTCCTGACTACCTCTTTTCCTTACTTTGACTGCCTGACTACCTCTTTTCCTTACTTTGACTGCCTGACTACCTCTTTTCCTTACTTTGACTGCCTGACTACCTCTTTTCCTTACTTTGACTGCCTGACTACCTCTTTTCCTTACTTTGACTGCCTGACTACCTCTTTTCCCTATTTGAAAAAAATGTATAAAGAAACTTTTTGAACTTTTTCAACTCTTTATTGTTAGTTCAACTTTTGATTTAATTGTAGAGGTTTTCTTTTTTTTTCAAGTAACTCACTTGTTATAGAGAAAATCTTTTCAAGCTTCTTATTTTGATCTTTTCAAACTTTTCAATTTTGATCTTTTCTTCTCCGTTTTTAACAATGACATCTCCCGATTTCAATATCTCATCTGCTACAGCTCGTGAATACGAATCTAAGTATTCGGCTCACAACTATCATCCCTTACCTGTCGTTTTCCACAGGGCAAAAGGCGCTCATGTCTGGGACCCCGAGGGGAAGGAATACCTTGATTTTCTTTCAGCCTACTCTGCTGTAAATCAGGGCCATTGTCACCCAAAGATAATCGAAGCATTAATTGATCAGGCTCAAACGCTTACCTTGTGCTCAAGAGCATTCTCCTCAGACGTATTTGGAGTTTATGCCAAGTACATTACCGAATTCTTCAACTACGATGTAGTGCTACCAATGAATACAGGTGCCGAAGCAGTTGAAACCGGTTTGAAAGTTGCTAGAAGATGGGGGTACGTTAAAAAGAATATTCCTCAAAATGAAGCAATTATATTGTGTGCTCAAAACAACTTCCATGGAAGAACTTTGGGTGTTATTTCAATGTCAACTGATCCAGATGCTAGAACTAATTTTGGCCCTTATTTGCAAAATGTAGGTCCACAAATCCCAGGTGCTTCTAAGGGGAAAATCATAAGATACGGTGTCATTGAAGACATTGAAGAAGCCTTTAAAAATGCCGGTGATAAGATTGCAGCGATTTTATTAGAACCAATTCAAGGTGAAGCAGGTATCGTGGTGCCTCCACAAGATTATTTCCCCAAAGTTCAAGAATTGTGCAAAAAATACAATGTCTTGTTGATTTGCGATGAAATCCAAACAGGTATTGCCAGAACTGGTAAAATGTTATGTTACGAACATTACAAAGGAGTTAGACCGGATATAGTCTTATTGGGTAAAGCTATCTCTGGAGGTGTCATGCCAGTATCAGCGGTTTTAGCTTCAAAAGATATAATGTCAACTTTGGAGCCAGGTTCACATGGTTCAACTTATGGTGGTAACCCATTGGCATGTAGAGTTGCAATAGCAGCACTACAAGTTGTAAAGGATGAAAATTTGGTTGAAAGATCAGAAAAGTTGGGCAATTTCCTTAAATCGAAATTAGAAGAATTGAAAGACTCGAGTAATGGAATGATTAGTGAAGTTAGAGGTAAGGGTTTATTATCTGCTATTGTTATTGATGAATCACAAACAAATGGTAGAACTGCATGGGATTTGTGTTTGTTGATGAAAGACCATGGTGTCTTGGCCAAGCCAACTCACGATAATATAATTAGATTAGCCCCACCTTTAGTGATTAGTGAAGAAGATTTGTTAAAGGGTATCGATGCTATAAGAGAATCGTTGAAGAATTTGCCAACTGTTGAAAAGACAGCTCATTAAAAAAAAAAAAAAAAGGAAGAAGATTCCAAAATTGATCCAAAGATGAATCCCAAAAATATTGTTGATCTGTTTGTAGTTTAATGTTTGTGATATAAATAATAAACTATTCCTCAGCTAAAATGCTCTATGTAAAATGTTAATATTGTCCCTGAATAATCGTGTTTGGATATATATACCTTGAAAAGATCAGACTGACATGCAAATCGAATTTCTTTTTTAAATATTTGTATCAGTATATGGATAATCATACTTCAATAAATAGAAAAACATCATTTCTTTTCAAATAAATATACTCAACAACTGGTCAATCACATACCATTTTGAGAGAAAACGACAAACACACACGGGTTTGCAATGAACATACTAAGATGAAAAGATGATTAAAAAGAAGAAAAGAAAAAAAAAAATTGTCGATGAGGTGGATTTACTTATGAGAGCTACCAGATTTTGACCAGTTTGAATTGTTCACATCTTCAGTAGTTGCAATGAATATACTTGAAGAAACGTGTAGTACTATGCATGTTTACAGAAAATGGTTAAAATTTAAATAAGAAGTTTACGATAAGTCTATTGACAGTGGTTTCAGACGGCTTATGCAAGAGTTACTTTTACTACTAGTCAAATAATAGTGCCAAAGAAAAATAAAAAAAGGTCTAGTCCGACACTACAGAGCGAGATAGTGGAGCAACACTTTGTAGCTTGGTCTTTTATCCGACACTATCTCGCTCTGCTCAATAGTGGAGCAACACTTTGTAGCTTGGTATTTCAACTGGAGAGTGTAGCGAGATAGCATTCTCTCTGTACTTGAGAGCGTAGTGTGATAGTGTTTCTAATGTTCTACTCCACTAGTGAGCTCAGTGAGCTGTCTTTTCGCTTGCGAGGGTAGCAAGATAGTGGTGTAAGCGAAGCGAGATAGTGTCGTTATTATGTGACAGTCAATGCGCTCCACTATCTCGCTTCGCTCGATAGTGTCGAGACTCTAGTAGAGTAAAGAGTTTGTTTTTTCCATATGTAGTATATGGTTGCGGGATTTAGGGAGTTTACAATGCACGCCCCCTAAGCAGCTTCTTACTATTTTTTTAATGAAATGTACCACATTAAGAGTATGTTATCTTTTTAAACAGTTTTCATGTATCTCGGGTTTCATGTATTTCAGGTATCTACATCTACATAGCTATACCTATGAAGCGCCATTTGGTCTCGATCCTGTAAAAAAGGCCAAACCATAACCGGTAGTTTCAAAAGTGATGGTTGATCCCTTTGGGAAATAAAACACGTCGCCTTGTGAAACATTTACCTTGAATCCGGTTTCGTCAGTTAAGGTGTATTCACCTTCAACTTCTAAGAAGATCTTCATCTCGTCATAAGTATAGTTATAAGTCAATGCTTCACCTTTTTCGAGTCTGAAAAAACCACATGAAATCTTTTTATCTTCTGGAGCATTAGAAGTGAAAACGTCACTCAAGTAGGCATTGTTTCCTGGCGATGGGATACCGGATGGTTTTACTTCTCTCCCCTCAGCAGCTGGTCTGTATTGCATAGGCATTTTTGTTTTTTGTTTTTTTTTTCTTCAATAACTAAGTCTCTACTTTTTGTAAGCCACAATAATTAAGTGAATAGTGGTGATCTAACTCCAATTCAAGTTTGAAGTCCTGGACTTATCGAAGAGCGATTTCGTAGCTATTTATGTCAAAGAAGTAAAAGCCAAATAGTGCAAGTTCTAAATACAGTAAAAAAATCCAGCCGGTCGCAAAATCTAGCTAGTCGACTCTATTAACCCTTACCCCCACTCCATTTAATATGCTTCCATCACAGATCGGTATAATTTTTCCTATTGCAGACCCTAGTAAAGGATGTATTTTTATTATTTTATTTTATTTTATTTTATTTTATCCCTTGATAAGCATTTACTTTATTTGAACAGTGTTTGGGGAAAAAAATGATGGAATGGGTTGGGAGCTGGAATGAATTACTTAGTCAAGGACAAAATAAGAGCAAACTGCTAGCTCCCTACTAGCTAGTGACAGTGAGTGCTGTATCTAACTGGAGCAGACTGCTATATCTAACTAGAGCAGACTGTTATATCTAACTAGAACAAACTGCTGTATCTAACTAGAGCAGACTGCTGTTTCTGACTCATGAATGTAGGTGGCAGCTAGTGTGCTCCACTATCTTGCTCTGCTCGATAGTGTCGTCAAGGTGATTCTGTGTCTCCAGGTGGATTATTTTTTAGGAAAATTATGAGTCAAAAAGGAAAAGTTAAACAGAAGTCAAAATTAGAGAGCTTATGTATAACACACCATTCTCTATGAACTGTTCTTTAACAACCAAAGACATGGCTGTTATCTATTTTATATAGCTACTACTAAATATATAGAGTAACTCCTCAGGTCTAGAAGGAAAAAAAAAAAAAAAAAAAGACAAAAAAAAGCTTTCATTTCACACAAGTAAATGTCAGGTACCACGGCCGGTCAAGGCCAGATTTTATCATCAATGTTTAAAGATTAACAGTCCATAAACAACAGTAGACCGTCGTGAAAAAAGTGGCATAATCATCATAAACACCTGTGAGTTTTCAAGCATTTTTATCCGATTTTCTTCTTCTTTTTCTTTTTCTTCTTCTTCTTCTCTGGACCCAAAATACAAAGTTACGCGGCTTCTTAATATGATCTTCAATTCCAAAATCATTAAGAAACAAATTCCAAAGCTGTTATGTGATAAAAAAAATCAGACATGAGAAAAGACTGTCTTCATAAAGATAAAAAGTCAGACATATGCTTGTCTATTTTGTCTTTTTTATGAATTTGTTCATCCTATTAAATTTATCACTATACTTTATTTTTCTTTGAAACTCGTTGGATAAAATGATAATTGAAGATATACTAAAATGCCACGCATATGTATCGAGATAAAAACAGCAGCAACAGCAGCAGCAATGGAAAAACATGAGCAACAACTCTATTTTAATTAAAAGGTTAGTTGGTTTTTTTTCTTCTTTGACGCCCAATCTTTTAAACACAATTGAATCAGAAATGCATGAATGGTATTATAAAAATAGGTTGTCATCAACGGGGAAACCCCGAAATTTCTGACTCGTCATCTAGGAATATCATCACTTCAATATTGTAATCTTGAAAAAAATAATACATACAATAATAGTTTCTCAATTGTTAGTATTGAAAAAAAAAACCACCAAAGCTATATTGTGTCTTACTAAATCAGTAGCGATGGGTTTCTGAGGCCCACCATATAATGCGTTGTCACTCATAATTTATATATATCAGTGCCCAGTGCAAAAATTCCTCATACAAAAGAAGCAGCATTGATGTAATTCTTACAAACATACACTATCTCTAGTAAAACATTAGTTAGTACTAAGAAAAAGGCTCACTGTACAAATATCATACCCCCTCCCTTTCAGGTCCTCCTCCTCCTCCTCCTCTGTACAGCCAAATATCATCTTCTTTAGATTCTCAAAATATCAGTAACTTATAGTGCAAAAACTTATCAATCATAGAGATTCAGCCAGTAATTCCAGCTTTGTTTTTGTAAAATCATCATTATCTTGGAGAAAACAAAAGAAAAAGAAGAAAAAGAAGAAAAAAATAAAGTTCTTCGATTAAAAAGAAAGTCACATACATTGATCACTTCAAATTTGGTTAGTAAAATCAGCCTCGTCAATTTTAAGACAACTTCAACAAAAACTAATCGATTTCATATATCAGAATAACGTTGTGATCATACTTTATAGTCACATACTCTAGTTTGAATTATTTGTTTGTTTTTGATCATCCTTTACTAGCAATTCTGAATTTGCTGAACATTGAATATAATTTGAAGACATACTATTTAGTATTGAGGAGCCTTACGGAACCTCTTAGAACCTCGTCATCCTCTTTTTGCAAAGAAGAAGTGGTCTGGTGATTGAATTTTTTTTTTTTTTTTTGCAAGAAAATTTTTTGATAATTTTTCACTTTGAGAGAAACAAGGTCGTGTAGAAGTACACTTTGAAAAAACTTCTACAATATAGAGAGAACACAATCATGATCCTGAAGGGACCCGTTTTATCTGTAGGGACCATGAATTGGGCCTATTAGATATTACAACAGTGCTCGAAATTTGGCTCAAATGTTGGGTTAAGTATATCAACCTTATGCTAGCGTCAAGTAGAAAAAAGCATTGTCCATATTGTTTATTACTAATTATTGTTTTTATTACTCTTCTCTAAGTCTAAGTCTACTGGCTCAGAAGAAATCACTGGGGGTTGAGGGTGACCTCTTGTAGCCTCGCTAAGACACTCCTTTTCCAAACCAGGCACGTGCACATAAAACACATCGTTTTCAGTCAATTTCTGTAACAGCACATTATTCTCAATAAACGTTTCTGGTTCTGATACACCAACAAAGCAAGAGGTTATCGGGAGGGCCAAAATCCTATCTACACAGGGCAAATTGCCGCTGAGCCGTTTTGAGCACGGCTCCATAGTAGTGTATATCTCGGTGTAAGGAGGCATTTCTTTTGAATTATTACTGCCCAGGGCAGCGGTAAAGTATTTCTGTATTGCGCATTGTTCTGCGTGAGTGTTTCCCGGTAACTCTCTAGAGTAGCCTTTTGCAATGACATCACCGCTATTGACCAAAACACACCCCACGTTAAACATAGTCTTTGTTTCTGAGCACTTCTTTGCCTCTTCTATGGCCATGCGCATGTATTTTTTGGCAGGTTCTGTTGCCCACGCAGGAAAACGCGTCGAGAACAGCCAGGATCCGTCGTCAGCAGAGTACAGGTATGCATGTAGCCAAAGTGACAAGTCGTTGACTCCGGGGTCGGAGTATTCTGGGTCATCAGGGGAGGACGAAGGAATGAGCATTTCTCCAGGAGCATCGGGGAAGAACCAGCTTGATGCGGGGCGTGTCTTTCCAATCGAATCAAGGTAGGAAATCACTAGTTCCCAACCACCATCTCCGTCATCAGGAGCCGAAGGCAACGCTAGTGCACCATCTCCACCATCTCTTGCACCATCTCCACCATCTCTTGCACCATCTTCACCATCTCTTGCACCATCTTCACCATCTCTTGCACCACCTTCACCATCTCTTGCACCATCTTCACCATCTCTTGCACCATCTTCACCATCTCTTGCACCACCTTCACCATCTCTTGCACCATCTTCACCATCTCTTGCACCATCTTCACCATCTCTTGCACCACCTTCACCATCTCTTGCACCATCTTCACCATCTCTTGCACCATCTTCACCATCTCTTGCACCACCTTCACCATCTCTTGCACCATCTTCACCATCTCTTGCACCATCTTCACCATCTCTTGCACAGTCCCCTGTTAGGGTTACATTTGCACAGTTTTTTGCACCTGGGTCGCATTTGGCTCCTGCTAGTGCTTTTTTTATCGACTCTACACCTGCTAGTGCAGCTGGTGTTGAGTAAATAGGATCATTGGCTATAGGATGCCCCACATATTGCAAATGTACCCTAATCTGATGTGTACGACCCGTAAGCGGGAGACACACCACCACACTAGTGTCTGTTTCCCGATCATACATTAGTCGCTGAAACAGAGTTTCAGCGGGCTTACCCCTAACATGGTCAACAACATTGAGAGTATGTTTCGGACTCAATGTATATAATGGTGCATTTACAGTGAGGCGTCCGGGGAAAAGACCCTTGACGCGCGCAAGGTACTTCTTGCGCACTGTTCTGTCTCTGATCTGCAGGGTCAACCTTTCTGCGCCGTCTCTCGTTTTGGCCAAAAACATCAATCCCGAGGTGAGTCTGTCCAAGCGATTGCACGGATGAGCTACACGGCCCATCTCATGAAACAAGATATTTGTCACAGTGTTGTAGGTATACCTACCTGCGGGATGTGCAGGTATGCCCAGCGGCTTGTCTATGACGAGCCAGTCATTATCCTCATAAACGATTCCAATGGGGTCTGCTGACACTGGAGGTTCTGTGCGGATGGTAGAGTGCTGGATCAAGTCTCCGTCTTTGAGCACGGTTTTGGGAAAAGCGGGGATATTGTTTACAGTAACAAGTCCCTCTGCCATAGCACGGGCATACGCCTGTGGTGTACGCTCTCTAAACTCCTCGGAGAAGACGTCTAAGAGGGGTCGACCACGCCAGCGTTGTTTGCAATATGTGTTATAAGTGTATGAATAAGGGCGAATTCTGCGAAGCCCGTTTGAGAAGTAGTACTCGGGTACATTCAGAGGTCCCGCCCCTACCAGGGCCCCTGAGTGAGTAGTGTTTGCTTGCACAGCGCTTGAATGTACACTTCGTTTCATGAATCCCCAATGGTGGAAAATGTCCTAAATTTTTTTATTTGTTTGTTTTCTTTTTTTTTTCAAATTCGCGCAAAAGAGCATCGAGTGGTAAAGAACAAAAGGTATTCTTGTCTTTAAAAGAGAAATAAAACATTCAAAAGGATGGGGTTTTAATTTCTATATAAAGAAGAAGATGAAGGAGGTGGGGGTGGAGGTGGAGGAGGAGAAAGGGGAAAAATATGTTTAGTTTGGTAGATTGTTATAGTTTTTGTTTTTTAACATCTGGTCCATCATCTGCTGCTGTTGGATCATTACCAAGAACATCTTTAAAAGACCTCTTACTTGGATCTTTGAGCCCCAATTCCTTTTCCTTAGACTCCACAAACTGGTTGATTTTATTCTCCAACTCCTCATTCCGCACTAATGAGTCTATATATATATCCTCTTTATTGCAATTGGGACAATGGAAATCGTTTTCGATCAATAATGTTTCCAAACCCTCTTGGTTATAGTTGAAATTTTTCATTGCTTTCAATTTGCTTGCATCTGTGCAACATGGTGTCATATAAATTGGTGGTTGAAGAACCCTCTTTGTTTGAGATAGAGGGTCTATAAATTCCCACTTGTTCTCCTGTTGAGCTAAACCAACTAATCTTGAGTCATATTCTTGTTTCGACTTCATTGCCGCATTTTGTAGTTTTTCTTGATAACTCATCCAAGTCTTTGAATCGGCCAATGCAATGGCATACTCACCTTCGTCCGTGATCAACACTGCATTCCCTTCCTTTTCCATACCGTCTCCGCTCCCGGAGCTATTAGTAATCAGGCCAAAGTTCTTCTCCACTTCTTCTTTGGTTAAAGTCTTTAAATATGATTTCGGTATACCCGTCGTTCTCATGATTTTTTTACCCTCGAAATTAGGGTCGTTGTTTGTAGGGCAATTCTTGATCCAATGATCCTTTTTACCACATCTATAACATATATAACCAGGAGGTGGCTTATCTTCATTACCTGCTGTCGTCGCTGTTGTTGTTGTTGGCTTGTAATACACCATCTTGTGCTGGGCTAACTCATCTTGGGTATGCGCCCATGCACTTGACTGGTTCTCAAACATCAACTTGATTTTTTCTTCCTCTGTAATACCAGCTTCAGCTCCACCTACTGAAACAACAGAACCTGTCCCCGTAGCCGCCGCCATACTCATTGCGGTTACATTAGCATTATTAGTGCTATTGATCATTTTCCTATTCAATCTGGGCTTCCCCGTTATATACCGCGAAGCATTGTTAAACTTGCCCATACGAGCAGAAGCTGGAGATCTCTTGGCCAAAACATAACTAGACCTCGAGATCACATCGTTATCTAATTCATACTCTATCTCAGGTTGTTCAGAATGATATAACTTGATATTAAAATCTGTTCCTGCCCCCAAATGGTTCTGTTGGATAATCTCTCTTTTTAAATCAAAAACACTTATCCCCGTCCCATCAAAATGTATTACATTCTTGTTCTTCTGGTGCAAAAACTTGTAATAAACCACCGATGACATCGTCTTCAATTAAACCCAAAAGGTTGAAAAATTAAAAAAACCGTTGAGAAGAAAGAGAGAGAGAAAAAAAAATCGCTTTAATCATCAACACATTTTTTTTCTTTCCATTCTTCAATTCAATTCATTCATTAGCTGCTGTTGTTAGGGTGAAGAAAAGTTGTGAAGCTAGCGGGGAGCCAAAAATTAGGGCAAGTTGTGGGAGATAATGGGTTCGGCAAATGTGAGTTTTGCTACCACCAACTTTTCAGGGTATGTGGGAAATTTACAAACGTTTGTTATAAGGCTACCCTTGAAGTATCCAGATGCAAATTTATTGTCCTTGCTGTCCAAGACTAAGACTAAGACTAAGACATGGAGTGCAAATGATCAATTTTCACAGAAATTGGCCATTTCAGGCCAATTTCTTGCCTTTTCAGACTCGGCGCTTGTGAATACCGTTTCCTGTACGATTTTGAATGATTTAAAGACTATTGTTTTTACCCCCATTGAAAATAGGCTCAATGGTATAGGGTTGAAATTCCAAAACTTGCAGCTACAGTTGCCAAACGTTATCTCGTCAACCAGCTGCGTTAGCTTTTCCAGCAATGACGACTACATCTGGTTGGATATAATTGACTCAAACTACTTACTAATCAGCTTGCAAATACCACTAGAGAGTTTTATCGAGCATAAGAGTTTGTTGTCGTTGACCGATTTTGAACTTTGGGGTAAGATATCTGTCCCCTATTCCTTTGAAATGAAATCTGCGCCTTACTTTATGAAACTGGTGTCACGGCTGGATTTGATAGTTGCGCTTAGAGATGGAACAATTCTCTCTTTTCATCGGAAAAGTGCATTGAGTGAAGTCACAGTCTCGACATTTCATGAGCCCGTGTCGTCGTTTATTGGTGGGTTCTTTAGTAGCAAAAGGGAAACAGAGATAAATGGCATTTCTTCAAACGCGGTTGTGGATGTAGTGCAAGTGGGAAACCGTTTGGTTACTTTGTCAGTTAGCAAGGAACTAAAACTTTGGGATATGAACAAGCATCAACTTATCAGTTGCACATCCCTATATAAAAAACAAGATTACGATATCTGGCTCACTTTAGTTCCAGCGAAATATTTACGGTTGATTTCCACTAATTGTGGTGAAAATTTGATTACATTTTTTATTACCACCAAAGCCGGAGACTCTAAAAAGAGTCGGTTTTTATTCAAAACGTGCAAGTTGGAAAATAATACATTGGAAGAAGTTTCAAAATTTGATTTCCAACCAGAATTACCAAGTGCATTGTTCTCATCATCGGAGATTTTCTACCACGACTCGACATTTCAAAATAATATCTGGTTCATACAAGACTATGAAGTAGAATACGGTCAAAGTAAAGATGAAAACTATTTGAAATACCATATTTTATGGAAATCAAATACTTCCTCGGTTCTTGTTTCTTATGAAGTTGATTTCACCACTGGTTCCATTGTTCAGGTGGACATTTCACAACCACCCTTGTATGTTGAAGAAGAGGAAATCTTGGCTTCTAATGACTCGGACTATTACATTAGGAAGATTTTTGATTCTGGTTGTTTTGATGACTTAATCATCTCGACATCAATATCCATTTTACGTCAACATTTAAAAACAAAAGATAAAGAAAAACGGCAACAGCAACAACAGCAAAAAGAAGATGAAGAAGAAGAAGAAGAAGAAGTTTACGGTGGCCTTCGGTTAAATGCTTTGACGTTGATAGAGTCAAATTCCAACTCTTTGGCTTCAGAGTCTCCAAGACAGTTGTGGTTTAAGCTCTTTTCATTATGTAAAGAGTTTTCCAAATTAAGTCAAGAAGCTTTTGCAATCACGCCGTTTAACGATATGCAAATTATGGTACAAGCCAATGGTTTTGGAGTTTTTAGACCATCCAATTTTTATGAGTCAATCAGCTTTAAAAACCTTGAAAGTCCAGATGGCAAATTGATGCAAATATTTGCCAAATTGAAAAATTCCTTATCAGTAAAGTCGTATCAAAAATTGTATAAACGGTTGGTCATAGAAACTGTTGCATTTGATGCGGAAAGGGCAAACGGTTTATTTCAAGATTTTCTTTTGGGAAAATTTACTGATGAAGAAATCCAAACGATATTGCAAGATTTGGGTAGTATTCCAGGAGTTTTAGAAATTATCAATTCATTAGTATCAGAAGGTGATGTTCTGATGGTTGTTGAATCTTTTACAAGTACAAGTGTTTGTAAACTAGGTGATTTTTTCAAATTTATGGTATTTCAGATATTCAAGGACATCATGCAACAACATATCACACTTTTGGTAGACTTGGTTGTGCTATTGCTCATATGCGAAGCCAATGATGAAATTTTGAAAATAGTCAACAGTGCAGTTGAAAGTATAAGAAAGTACAATATTGCCGAAACAATCTTTGACACCTGCTTTACTTCATCGTCACTTGATGCTCCCGTTGATACCGAAAACGTTGGTAATATGAAGTACTCACTATTCTGGCATGTTTTTGCTCTGAAGGAAACCAATAAGAAATTGAATGAGTTGATAAGCAGTTTGAAAATCAACGACGCGTATCACTATTTTTACAATGAAACGCTATCTGAAGGAAATGGTTACATTGTTGACGCAGTAATTATATTGATTAACCACAATCAGGGCACCTATTTGAAAACATATTTCTTGGATAAACTATCAAGCTCAAGAGCTGATGAGAATTTTTTAATTGGATTGATTTATCTACTAACAGACAATGCAAAAGAATTCTTCAAAGCTTTTGAGGACTACAATCAAGTTGAGAATATCGATATAAAAAGGTTGAATGGTTTAAAGGAAAGAAAAGAAAATGCGGCCTTTTTAAGCACGTTTCAAACCACCGTGCCATCAAAATCGGAGTATTACCATGCATTATCCATTTTGTGTCTATCTCAAATCAAACAATCACCCAAACCAACTGAGATTGAAAGACAATACATTGATACGGCATTGAAATTTGAGCAATTGGCTATTGAGAACACGACATCTAAATTTATAACACAAGAGTATTATTCAAATGTATTTGATCTAGCACTATTGAATTCTGATTATCAACTAGTTATCGAATCATTGAATCGTCTATCTAAAACTCACAAGTTACGATTGTTACTTGAGCGATTCATTCACAAGCTTATCCAAGAACTGAAAATTAAGTTAATCTTCCCATCATCGCATAATTCCAATCGATTCTTTCAGGATCATTATAACATGATTTGCTCAATCATTTCTGAGTATGCTTCAACGCAACCTATGTTTGCATCATTGCGAATATATGAGTATTTGTATAGCTGGAGATTATTTGGATGTGTCAATTCCCAACAAGAGTTTGGTGATAAGAGGGGTGCTATTGAAGCATTGTATCACTTCATTACAAGATTTAAAGATGAAACTACCACTATTGAAAAAAGAGTCAAGTTGAAAATATTGGAGCTATACATGATTATTTTGAATTGTATGAAAACGTTCCCAGAGAAAGATCAATGGTTGGTTAAGCAGTTGAAAGATTGTAGAGAAATCATTAAGATTGATCAATTGAAAATTGAATATTTGGAATGGATGAAGAATTTAGATGATGAATTATCTATAATAGGCTAAATATATATATACACGATATTTGTATTTATCATTATCCAATATTGCCCTTTGTATTTCCAGAACCTTTAGGGTTCTCATCTTTCCAATCGTCCCATCTTCTTTTCTCCAATTGTGCTTCATCGTTCTCACTATCCTCCTCCTCATCATCATCATCGCCAACACCAGCATTACCTTTCTTCACTTCCTCCTTCATCAACTTTCCATTCGCCAATTCATAATCGAGATACTCTTCAACACTCATTGAAGGTAGTACTTGTCCTGTACCAAAAACTCTTTGTTGCAACTCTTGTCGTTTATTGTTATTCGTTATAATAAAAGGCTGTAATACTTTGCCACGGTTATCAATTAAATCTGATATTTTCCTGTTTTTTGAGAAAGGGTTAGTTTCCACATTAGGCGTATATCCTGTTGGATCTTGACTTTTTTTTACCTCTTGATGGCTATTATCAAGCTGTTGAATCTTGGGTCGATTTAAAAGAACTTGTAACTCCATGGATATCTGTTCAAATAGGTCAAATGCCTTTAGTATATTTAGCTGCAATTGGTCCAAATACATTTCTCTTATCGTTTCGTCTTCAACTATTTCCCCCCCATCCATTTCATCTTCAATAATCTTGTCTCCATCCATTTTATTCTTCAATTGATGGAAAACATCAATTTTGCTTTTTAATGCTTGTTCTTTTCTAAAGTTTTCGATTTTTTCCAGACGCTTTGCTTGTGGGGCTAGTACAATTTCCTCACCTTTTTGCATCATCCTTAGTTTCTGTTTTTGAATCTTGGTAAGCAAGTCATAATTGCACACATTTGATAAAAATGCAATCACATAATCTTTTGCCAGATTCAAAAAATCAGCTTTATTGTCAATGGAGATGCGCCCATCACTAAGCAACAACCGCGAAAACAAATTTGCCAAATAAAACCACAAGTTCAAATATGGCATATATGCAGTGTTTAGCTCCAGTATCGACTCATTATCACTGAATAAAGATAATGATTCAACGAGCTGAACAATAAGTTGAAACTCTTTAATTACACAAACTAGCTCATTCTGAAACTCTAGCGAGTCATGACGCTTACCACTTTGAAAAACTTTTTCATAATCACCAACCGCCCTCTTAAACCTCTCAGATACCGTCAACTTGTCCATCTCTTGACTCAATTAATAACAAACAAACTAATAAAACCCTACTGTGACTCCATGGTTGGGCATGAATGAATGAATTTTTCACTTGTGTCGTGCGCGCAATGTCGTAAACCAAATTCCTTGCATTTTGCGACAAACTCAAACGAAAAAAGATTTTTGAAAAACTCACCCAACGTTTGAAGCAAAAGGAAACGAAAGGTGATTAAGGGGAGTAAATAGGGTATTTGGGCGAAAGGATTGTTGGGACGAAACGTTGTTATTAGGAAGGGATTGTTATTAGGAAGGATTGTTATTATTTGAGATGAGCGCTCCGGCATATTATGAGCTTTATAGAAGATCGACGATTGGTGTAACGCTAGCCGATGCTTTAGATACGTTAATTTCGGATGAGAAGATTCAACCACAATTGGCAAATCGGATTTTGAATAATTTTGATCGCATTATAGCTGAAAATCTCAAGAGTGAAACTAATATTGCAAAGCTGAAGTTGACATTTAAAGGGGATTTGGATACGTATCGATTTTGCGATGATGTGTGGACTTTTATTATTAAAAATGTTTTGGTCAAATTGAGTGATGTGACTAATAGTGGCTCCAGTAGTGAAGAAACGGAAATTAGTGTTGATAAGTTTAAGATTGTTGCTTGTAACTCGCGAAAAGCTGGTGAGGTCTAAAGAGTGTGACACACTACACTATTGAGTGACACTATCGAGCGACACTATCGAGCGACACTATCGAGCGACACTATCGAGCGACACTATCGAGCGAAGCGAGATAGTGGAGCACCATTGACTAGTGACACTATCAACCAACACTATCAACCAACACTATCAACCAACACTATCAACCAACACTATCAACCAACACTATCAACCAACACTATCAACCAACACTATCAACCAACACTATCAACCAACACTATCTCGCTCTTCTCGCTTCGCTCGATAATTGACTAGTGACACTATCGACACTTTTACGCTTCGCTCGATAGTGTCAATCAGATTCTATTTATTGAAAGAGATGACGGCCCATTTCCCAGAACTACTCCAAAATTGACCATTTCCATTGCCCTCATCTTTGTATTCCTTAACCAAACGTTCTTCAAGCCCCTCGGGCAATCCAACTACAACATCAGCTTTACAAGTACGCAAGGACAAGATGGTCAATCCACTATCTTTCAAATCTTGTATAGCTTCGCTAAATGGTGTCGTTTTAGGCCATTGTAAATCACCAGTTAATTTTCTATAATTTAAGTCACCTTTAAATATAATTAAATTTGATTTCGTTAATTCTTCAAACAAGCTGTCAAACTGTGATATTGACCAATAGTTGTAATCCAAAGTCCAAAATGGAGAATGATCAATAATGATCTTATTCTCCTTATTATATTTTGCTATTTGATCATGGATTAGTTGAATAGCACTACTATCTTGCTTATGAATCTTGGGGAAAAATTGTCCATCTTTCAATTGGTCCAACAAGTCTCTAAAATCTTTGGGCATGGTGTCACTGACAAACCAGGGAATTTCTTTACAATGTAAATGAATCTCTGAAGCTAATTGTGAATCGAGTAGGAACAAACAAAGAATCAAATCAGCAAAGAGCTCAAACCCGGAATTATCCAAAACAATATCTATTCTTCTTTCTGCACCCTTGCTACTTAATCCGCTCTTTTCCCATGCCTGTTTCAAGTCATTAACGATTATTTTTTCCTCATTCTTTTGTCGAACTTCGGCACCTTGAAGAGATTTGATATCCTCTAAAGTAACATTCCCAGCGAGTAAAGATAAATCAGTGGCATTGCCCCATAATGAAATATCGATAAATTCAGCAAATAACAAATACAAGGTCTCTGAGTCAGCAGTGACTTGATTCAACTGATGAGATAATGTCTCATACCGCTTACACAATTCAAAAACACCAAACTCTGATTGTTTAAAAGTTTTCGTTTTCAACTTTTGAAAAACGTCATAACTCTGCCAAAATTTGTCTTGCTTCTTATCGATAAAAAAATTGTTTATGAGTTGGTATAAGTAGCATTCTAAATACAACCACGGTCCCGTTTGCCAAGTAACAAGTTTATTTCTGTTGAACTTTTCCAAACTCTTATTGAAATGGCTCAAATGTGAATTTATGGAAATCTCATTAGGAGTAAATTGTCTCACCTTTGCGTCGTGTTCCATATCGCTCAATACCTGTTTCAACTGATCAAGAATAATTGATCCCGAATCTTGCAATTGCTCCTTATTTGAAGCAATTGTTTCTTGAACATCATCAATTGCTCCTTGTATAATAGTTGGCCAACGTTTATGCACGGTTGAGTAAGCAAACGAATTCTTATCATCGTTATAATATGGCGGTGGCAACATCATGTTATACACCCGGTTCTCTTTCTCCTTTCTTTCTCTTCTCTTCTCTTCTCTTTCTCTTCTCCTTCTCTTCTCCTTCTCTTCTCTTTTTCTTCTTGCAAACAGGACTTCATTGAAAAAAAATATCAAACGTGCAAAACTACTTCAATAGGAATGAGAGTTAAAGATTGCTAACAAAATTATTCTTCCCGAGAGAGTGGAACGTACATCAATTACTCTACAATAAAAACTCAACAATTGAAAAATATATGTAATAATTCAATAAAGAATGGATAGATACCAGTAATAATGACAAAAAGATAAGCTAAAAAACTTATGGAAAATAAAACAGGATAAAAAAAAAAACGAAAGGCAAACCTTAGATAAATCAACAGGAATGGTAAAGTATTAGTAGCACTAGTGGAACATGTGTATAAAAAAAAGTGGTAAGGTAGGATGGTAGGATGGTTAAAGGGGCATGAGGGGGAGAGGAGGACAACAAAATGGTAGGAGGATATTAAGCCAAAAAAAATTAACAATAATAGATCTTTTAAATTTTTATTTGATCTATGGATGAAAAAAGACAATTAAGCGAAGCCAACAAAGACGATGATCACACTTAAAGGAACTATTATTGAAACAAAGATGGTGGTGGTGGTGGTGGTGGTATGTAGGATAGTTGCTCGCTTTCTCTCACTCTCTTTCATTCTCATTCGCACTCCTTCACTCTTTCATTCTCTCACTCTATCGCCGTGTCATTCGCATTCTCTTCAACATTACATCCAAAAATCCTTTTGAAATGAAAAATTGTCATAATATTCATTAGGATTGTTTGGATTTTGAGGTTGATTTGGGTTTTGTAGATTCTGAGGGTGGTTATAATTATGTGGCTGTTGTGGTTGTGGTTGTTGTGATTGTTGCGGTTGTTGTTGCTGCTGATTAGGCTGTTGGCCTTGAAACTGTTGAGAATATTGATAGGGATAATGAGATTGAGGCTGTTGCTGTTGTAGTTGTTGTTGGTAAGGTTGTTGGAATTGTGTAAGAGAATGTGGCGGCGGCGGTTGCTGTTGTTGATAGTTTTGAGGTGGTAGATTTTGGTGAATTGAATGTTGTTGAATCTGAGGAGCAAGAGATTGGAAAGGTTGTTGTTGAGGTTGTTGCGGCTGCTGTTGCGGCTGTTGTTGTTGCTGGTGAGTTTGTGGTGGAGAATGCTGTTGTTGTTGAAGTTGTTGTTGGGCACTAGTGCTAGCTATTTGTTTTTGTGTCTTTGCTGCTTCTAAACTGAGTTTTTTTTTGCATACTCAGCTTTTTCTTTTTCATATCTCTTTTTATCAGCTTCGGCTTTATTTTCATAGGGAACCTTGTCTTCGGTGGTTAAAGCTTTCCATTTTTCACCTAATAATTTACCAACTTGTCCAAAGGTAATTCCAGGATTTTCAGCTCTAACAATGTCTCTGTTTTCGTTAGCGAAAAACATATAGGCAGAAAGAGACCTTTTTGGTGCATCTGGATCTTTCTTTTTTCTTGTAACTTTTCTCTTTTCAGGTTGAGCAGACATTTTTCGGAGAAGTGGTTTGGTTAAATGCTATAAAGAGTGTATTAGTATTTAATAATGCTGTAATAAGTTGGAAAAAAAAAAAGGACTCAAGCAAAAAGGAAAAAAAAAAGACTCTCAAAAAAAAAAGAACATCAACTGTAAAGTGTAATAATGTCCTTGTATAAATATATGAGGTATTAGGTGATGATGATGGAATGTTTTGGTTTTAACAAAACCACAACATAAATAAGTAAACAAAGAAAGACCAACCACCGTGGGAAGCAAAGGAAAAGTAAAAAAAAAAGACGCGTGTTTTTGGTAGATGCACGCAACGGTTCGTGCGTGTAGCAATTATCAATTGAGGAGGGGGGCCCCAAGGCGGCGACAGTGAGGCCATGGGGTGCGGGAAAAAAAAAAAACCGAGTCAAAGTGAAATCCTCTTAGTTTATTTGATTTTTTTGCTTTATTGGTTGACTTTTTCTTCTCGTCTCTTCCCTTCTCTTCTTTTTTTGTATCAATTGCCACTCCCCCTTTTTTTTTTTTTTTTTTGGAGACAACCAGTTCATTATTGGTGTAACACCAAAAATGGGTTTCACCAACCATTGAACTTGAATTCAAAGTATACCGACATTTTTCTAATCAAACATAGTTCTTTTTTTTGTAGAAAGTTAGGTAGATTTTGAAAAAATTGAGAAAATATCAATTGGTGTCAATTGATATGTGGGTGGTGTTGATTGGTGTTGGTTGATGGTGTGTGGTATTGGTTGGTATTGATGTGTGGTGTTGGTTTGGTTGGTGGTGTTGGTTTGGTTGATGTCATATTGATACTAGTGTATAGAAAATGTAAAAACACATATTATATGTGTGGTTAAACCAATTGACCTTGTTCAACAAAAATGTGTACTTCAAAAAAGATGTACAAACAAGTTGACCAAAGTTGGTTAAAGAGAGCTTATTGATTAAAGAGTTTGTTCAGTAATTCTTTATTAAAAAGTTGGTTGTAAAAGTTGATCTCTTTTTTTTTGGGGGGGGGGGGGGGGGGGGGGGAGGGTTATCGTCTTTAAGTCATTTTCACTTTTTAGTGACACCTATTGTGTTTTATATATACATACACTGTTAATTAATAACTAGTAGTTAATAGCAGTAGTAGTAGTAATATATATACTATGTATGGATTATACTATTGGTAACAGGAAAAAAAAGTGTATTAAATTTGTATGGTGAGATCTTTGCTATATGCTTTATAATTTATAGTATAGAGGGAGAAAAAAAGTAGGGAAAAGCTTAGTAGTGCACATTGAACAAACCACAGAAACACACTTTAGTAGGCCCAACTTATATTATTATTGTAGTCACATGTTTCAAAGTACTGTTTACGTTTCACCCCGTCTCAGTAAGTCTTTGTTGGAAAATGATTTTCAAGCAAAATTTGTGACCTTGTACCTTGTATTGTCTTTTTTGGAAGAATAGAAGGAAATTTTGTTTCAAATTTTGGCAAAATTTGTAAAAACTATGGACAAAAAAAAAGATAATTTCTACTTCAATATCAAATGAATACTTCTTGCTGATAAAAAAAAAAAAGGGTGTTAATAACTAATCTCTTATGTTTGTAAGTACGCTATAACGTATTAAAATTAAAGACTTTCTGTCAAATCACGTGATAAACACGTGACGCAAATCATAAACAAGTAAGGCTTTCAGGTCTTGACAATTGTATTTCTTAGAGTTTGATCAGAGTTAATGAGAATTTATCAAGAGTTTGATCAGAGTTAATGAGAGTTGATTGGAATCTATGAAAGTTGATCAGAGTTATTTAGAGCTGATCAGAGTTATTTAGAGCTGATCAGAGTTATTTAGAGCTGATCAGAGTTATTTAGAGCTGATCAGAGTTATTTAGAGCTGATCAGAGTTATTTAGAGCTGATCAGAGTTATTTAGAGCTGATCAGAGTTATTTAGNCGGGAAATACCTTTAGGTTACCTCTTTTTTTTTTTTTTTTTTTTTTTTGTTTCACACTTTAAAACAATCTTCTTGATTACTCCTCTCCTCGCAAGTTATCTCAACTTTTTTAACCAAAAAAGAAAAGAAAAAAAAGATGTTCAGTAACAACATTTCCTACTTACAAAGTGGGTCACAAATACACGACTCACGTGCTATTTACAAAGTGGGTCACAAAAATACACGACTCACCCTTTTTTTTACAACCAAATTTAATTTGGTTGTAAAATTTTGGTTGTAAAAAACCAACGTTTTCCATACCAAGCTATAGATCATTATATCACCAACAGTTTTTGAAACAATGCGGTGACAAAGCAACACTGTCGAGGAGAGCGATATAATGGAGCACACTGACTAGCCGCCACCGACACTTTCCCCCTTCCTACTACACTATCTCGCTCTGCTTGATGAGTCGGTGGCAGCTAGTGTCGTTCCGCTGCGAAAGATGTAGGGTAAATACCCGGCAACGGCAGGTAACTAACTTTGTTGTTTTTCTTCAACCCAACGGCGGGAGGACTGGTGATTGTCACTAAACTTTGATTAACAAGCGACTTCACACAAGTTTGGTTTTTCGTTTTTTAGAGGTACGATATTTAAAAAGAACAAGTTGGGTAGTTTTCAATTACGAGTGGTATAGGGTATAAGCAGCGTAGAATGCAAATTGGTTAAAAACTCTTTGTAGCTTAGTCTCAATAAAGGATAATGATTAAACCCATGTGTAATCGGTAGCTCTAACCGATCACAATGGACTTGTGCAGCTGAAAATAGTGGACCGCTATTCCAGTTACTAGGAAATCAATTCACAAATTATGTGACTAGAAATATTACATGTCTTGTTTGTCATCAACCATTACCTATTGAGCGAAGCGAGATAGTGGGGCAACACTGACTACACCGACACTATCGAGCAGTACTGACTACACCGACACTATCGAGCAGTACTGACTACACCGACACTATCGAGCAGTACTGACTACACCGACACTATCGAGCAGTACTGACTACACCGACACTATCGAGCAGTACTGACTACACCGACACTATCGAGCAGTACTGACTAGCTTGTTACACTGCTAAATTCTTTTCCATAGCATTGTTGATGAAGAAAATTCATATGTACTATACAAATATGCCTGGTTCACATGTTGTTGGCCAAGCAATGGACATTTTTAAGAGAACGGTATCTGTTGTGTTTTGTTTTGTGCTCACCACATAAGATCAATGGTTGGGAAAAAGTTGATGTTTTGATGATCTTGATGTAAGGTTTCTTGTTGAGATATTAACCACGTTTTGACCAAAATAGTACATATAGAATAAGTATTCAATCTTCAGTTTTTTTTTGACAATTACTATTTGGTTGCAGTCACACCTTTCTTTATCAAACATACAATTCTTCTTTATTATACCTATAGATGTTAAAAGACATGTCAATTTACATCAACATAATACATATAAATACTGATATACCTAAATGAGGCATATACTTTTTCAAATTTGTAATTCCGTTATCAAACTCCCAAGTTGCAGAATTAGACATTGTAGATGTTGCAATTGTGGAATATTCAAAAGTATCATCTTTCATCCCTTTACTCATATAGGAGGAAAATGCATCATCAATATTAACTTCTAATGTGTTTACCCTTCCCAAATTAGTCACACCTGTTATACCCATAGCATCAGTTTTGTCAATAGCATCAGTTTTGTCGATAGTGTCAGTTTTGTCAATAGCATCAGTTTTGTCGATAGCACCAGCTTCATCAGTAGCATCAGTTTTGTCGATAGCATCAGTTTTGTCGATAGCATCAGTTTTGTCAATTGCATCAGTTTTGTCGATAGTGTCAGTTTTGTCAATAGCATCAGTTTTGTCGATAGCATCAGTTTCATCAATATTACCACTTGCAGTCACTGCTGCCGCTAGTATTGAGGTTTTCTTTTTCACCTTTGTTTCATCTTTCGTATTTGAACTTTCAATTTCTGTCAACACTTTCAAGTAATTATAATTTGTGGCATCAGATGTTAAACTAGAATTCCAATATACTGTTTTTTTTTCAGTACCAGCAATACTAGGGGGTATTCGATTGTCGTATGAAATAACAGAGATTTCGATTGTTTTTGTCATTATGGCCTCTTCAACATTTCCAATACCGGATAAATTAATTGCAAGAACTTGTGCCTGCATTGTTCCATCTATTTCAGTCGTAGTCACTTGAGTTTTGACGTAAAAATGTGGAAAATATGAAGTTCGTGTAATTTGTTGGGATTGTGCATCTCTCTCAACTTCAACAATAGCAGTCTTTGTCACCCCATCTTCAATACAAGTTGTAAGCATTGTTGAAAAGTGCAAAGTTTCCATCAGGGAATTTATATATTGTGTTTTGGAGCCTTGGGCAACACTGTTAGTTGTGACTTCCATTGACATTGTTTCCAAAATTACAGACGAATTATCGGTTATGCTTTTTTCCAATGACAGTATTAGCTTTTCGGTTGAAGCATACTCTTCACTACTCAATACTGATGATACTTCTGTAACTGTTGACTCTTTACCTGCAAAAGTTGAAAATTCAGAAAAAGAAATTACAACTAAAGATACATTTGATATGTTACCCCCAAACATTTCGGTATCTCTCATTAATGTCGTCCATTCTTCTGTGACCATAATTGACTCATCAAAATTGTGGTACGACGTGTGGGTGACCCACTCTCCAAACTCATCGGTAACTGCTGTAACAATAGCAGTGTTTGTGACACCTTCCTCATTGATACTAGTGAAAGTGGATGTATACGTCAGTCTCGGAACCATCTCCGTCGTCGTATGCCACCAATTCTCTTCATCTGAGGTGACCTTGACAATACCGGTGTATGTACCTTTTCCTTCATCTGTGGTTATAGTCTCAGTATATGCAACTGGATCGGCTAACAACTTTGTTTCATAAAACATTCCAAACTCTTCAAAATAGTATCCGGAAATCTCTGCATCCTTAGTTTGCATCGTTTCTTCAATCTCGGTAACCACTCTGGTGGTGAACGTAGTAGTTTCCATAAGCTCTGTATACGTCAATGTCACCCATTCTCCACCATCTTCAGTCTTGATCTCAACCAAATCGGTCCATCTAATAGTATCACCTGCTTCATTTCTGCTCTTTGACACTTCAAGATACGTTTCTGAAACAGGAATGTGGTACGACGTGTGGGTGACCCACTCTCCAAACTCATCGGTAACTGCTGTAACAATAGCAGTGTTTGTGACACCTTCCTCATTGATACTAGTGAAAGTGGATGTATACGTCAGTCTCGGAACCATCTCCGTCGTCGTATGCCACCAATTCTCTTCATCTGAGGTGACCTTGACAATACCGGTGTATGTACCTTTTCCTTCATCTGTGGTTATAGTCTCAGTATATGCAACTGGATCAGGTAAAGTTTGTCCGGTGACTGTGTATGTCGCTGTCCCATAGTCGTAGATGATTAGCTGCACATCTTTTGTGATAGTGGTCCTAGAACTTGTGGTAGTGGTTCTTTTGGCACTTGTCCGTACTTCAATCAACTGCGTATGTGTATCAGAAGTCCAATGGCCATTATCAATGGTTTTTTCCTCATAGAAAGCGGTAACAATAGTGTTAGAGCCATCAAAATTGGTGGTGTAGGTTGTGAGATATGCCTGTGAAGTAGGGATGTGAAGGGAAGTTTTTGTTTCAATAGCACTGCTAATAACTGTCAAATAGAGTACCTGTGTTTCTGTTGTTGTTGCTGTAACATCATCGCGCTCAACAGTTGTAGTTTGTTTATCTGCAATATATGAAGTGACTGTAGTCCAGCCACTATTAAATACACTTGTTCTGATTATTGCATAGTCTGGACTTTTAGTATTAACTGAAACTATAGGGTCGACAACTGATATGACATTTTTCGTCAGGCATCGATCACAAGTGCTTGGACGAACTCTAAAGCTTATTAGTTGAAAGGGGACACTACCATCGTACGTTAAAGCATTACTCGAATATCCACCTAGATCAATAATACGAAACTTGTTAGAATCGTATCCCGTTCCAATATCAAAACTTGCTGTTTTACCAGTGTATCTATCCATGAGAGTTAATGTTCCTAAAATCACATTATAGGACCAATAATTAGTTGATCCAGAACGCTCAATAGAACTCATTATACCAAGCGCCAGTCCTTGGGCAAAATTGAAGACATCCCAATATGTGTTTACTAGCGCTCTCTCAAGAATGGTGCCAGCTTGTGCCATATAAGCTACTCGGGTTTGAGATGAAGCAGTTGTCGCTAGTGACATAAGTATTGAATTATAAAAAACCACACAGCCATCACCACCTACAGGCATCCACTCATTGATCTGTGTATTCGTAAGACACATTGTCCCACGATTGTAGGCTACGCTATCTGACTCCGTCATTTCAACCATAGCCAAACCAGGTAGTTTCTTTTCAAAATAAAGCTGTCCATAATTTGTCCATGATCGAGCAGTCATTGAGACAGAGAGCTTTGCTGATTTAGCATCAGCTAGAAAGAACATGTCACCCTGATTTTCAAAAGTATCCATTGCAATTATGTACTCATTATCAGAATTATTATTAGAATTAACATTTCTACTCTCAAATTGGATAAGGCCATTGTTTCTTAAAGTGGATCCAGCTATAGATGTCCCCACACGTATGCTGCTAAAGGGAGTTCGGTTAAAGACTAAGAATGACGCCGATTGTGCAATTGACAAAGTATCAGCAATTGTAAAACCAGTTGAGTCGGATACTTTTAGTATATTTCCTTTCTCAAGTATAACAGAATTCTCTGTATTGTAGGCCGATCCAGTAGTTATTGCATTCAGTACTGTCGTGTACGCATCGTTCACAACTTGGCCAATTAACACCACATAACCAGCAAAGTGAAAAAGCATGGAATCTAAAAGGTACTGCTCTAAATGATTATAAAAAGTTCAAAAAACAAAGGTAAAGGAAAACTCCAACTTTTCGTTTTGAAATATCAAAAAAACTAGTTTTGCATACCCTTGAGCTAATTCTTTTTGCTTTACAATATCGTCCTGGTAAGAACGTGCTATATCATATCATTTTAAGAAAAAAGCAAGAAATTTTGCCTGTTTTCTAATTGAGCTAGCTGGTGGTTCATGATAGCTTTTTTTTTGTTAAATACAACATTTAGAAGAAAAAAAGTCACCAAGTCCACCTTATTCAAAAAGCCAATATCTAGAATATGTGTATATCTTCAAATCGTATTGCAGGATCTTGCATGAACACACAAAAAAAGTGTGAATATTATTATTATTCAACTGCTATTTGAATCATTTTCAACACATTATATTTTTGCCAAGTGCAAAGTCGAAAATATAATATGATTAAGCAGTTTAATAAACAGATTGACATTATAAAACAATGTTGGATTTTTTTGGTTCTTTTGTAGTTTGGTTATTTTTCTTGAAGCAATGAGATTATTGGCAATGTAACAGCGATGCGCCTTCGACACTATCGACAATATCGACAATATCGACAATATCAAGCAGAGCAAGATAGTGGTGTAGCTTTGACTAGCTGCCACCGACACTATCGACGCTATCGACGCTATCAAGCAGAGCGAAATAGGAGTAGCTTTGACTAGCTGCCACCGACACCCCATCTCTTTTCCCCCCATTGGTATAGTTTGCAGTTGCGACACTACTGCCACCGACACTATCAACACTATCGACAATATCAACACTATCAAGCAGAGCGAGATAGGAGTAGCTTTGACTAGCTGCCACCGACACTCTATCTCTTTCCCCCCCCATTGGTATAGTTTGCAGTTGCGACACTACTGCCACCGACACTATCAACACTATCGACAATATCAACACTATCAAGCAGAGCGAGATAGTGGAGCAGCTTTAACTAACTGCCACCGACATTATCGACAATATCGACAATATCGACGCTATCGAGCAGAGCGAGATAGGAGTAGCTTTGACTAGCTGCCACCGACACCCCATCTCTTTTCCCCCCATTGGTATAGTTTGCAGTTGCGACACTACTGCCACCGACACTATCTCGCTCTGCTCGATAGTGTTGGTCAATCTCTTCCCCCTCACAGCAAAGTTTCAAGTTATACCCTTCAAGCACGCCTCATCTCGATGCATTTCAAGTACGCGTTTTCAACTTCAAATTATTCATTTCAGTCCCGAGCTAACCATAGACACCTTTTCTTTTCTATTTCATTTAGGATCCCTCAACTATTTGTACCACACCTGTCAACCTTCTCTTCAATAGCTCTCTATAACAAACTCTTCCCAAGTAGGAGGTTTTCCCATACAAACTTTTGTATGAGAGCTGAAGTTTTCGTAAAGACGGAAAAAAACAAAATGAAAAATTGAAACTTTTGTTATAACCATTTGTAAGAAGGACATCTGTATAGGAAGCAATAAGGAAAGACAAGTAGAGAGAGAGAGAGAGAGAGAGAAAATTGGTTCATGATGCTAGACAGTAAATCTTTAGAAGTTATATCTCAGTTTAAAGCGGCATTAACTGAAAAAAACCGTCGAAGCAAGGATACTTTGAGTAAAGGGAATGAAAGTTTCCCGCCTTATAATCGAGGATTAAAACTTTTCACGCAAATGCCATCATTAGATTCGCTCGTTACTAAGACGGTTGAGTACGATGGGAAAACTTATGCGGTTTTGACAAATGATTTGATAGAAAGAAACAATGCTAGGAGTATACGAAAGTGGAACGGGTCAAATAGTGGAAAAAAAGTCTTTGATGACGATGGTGATGATGATGCATGGTCTGATGCAGACGAATCAGAGGAGCAACTACATCCCCTAAAGCAGTCACATATCATCCAAATACTATCACCACTCAACCACCCGCTGGAGCTTGTAACACATCCGGCTATTTCCAAGACTTACACTCTGCAGACATTGAGCAAGCTAGCCATGGAATTGATCGACTTGATCGAAACCGAGCAAAATAATTTGAATTGGTTAAACAAGCTACTTCAGGTGCTAAATGGGGAGGATTGGTTTTATTTGTTGGAGGAAAATTTGGGCTTGAAGGATTATGATCATGGATTGGATGAGGAAAAGCAAAAGCTATTGACATCCAAAAGCAAGAATAATGATACGACGAGCAGCAGCAAAGAGAGCAAAGAGAGTAAAGATAATGGCAGGAATTATGAAGAAGTGGAGGATAGGGATATGGATATGGATGTCAATAGGGATGGCGTTGAGGATAATGAGGATGATGATGATGATGAGGATGAGGATGATGAGGATGATATTATGGATCCGTTTTTCGCTTTGCCTGCCGCTTTGAAAAGATACGAATCATTACAAGAACAGTTGCACGCAAAAGAAGATAATGGAGTAAAAGAGGAGCTCATCAACTACCTTCAAGTGAGTATTCAAAGGCAGCATGAATATATAGAGAATTTAACGCAATTGAGGAATGGGTTGGTGCGTGCAGATAGGCTCAAGAATGATTTGCATAAATGGGGTAAGGAAATGCATGATAGGAGAAGCTCTTGAGGAAACTCAATTTTGGAAAACGCTGATTTAAATATGTGCACTGTATACGAGACACTATCGAGCAGAGCGACACTATCAAGCAGAGCGACACTATCAAGCAGAGCGAGATAGTGGAGCAACACTCAGTAGCTCGATAGTGGAGCAACACTCAGTAGCTCGATAGTGGAGCAACACTCAGTAGCTCGATAGTGGAGCAACACTCAGTAGCTCGATAGTGGAGCAACACTCAGTAGCTCGTAACAACACTATCTCGCTCTGCTCGATAGTGTCATTAGTCAATGTGCTTTACTATTTTGCTCTGCTCGATAGTGTTGCTTTCAATACAATAAAGGAATAATGGAAAACAAAGAGATTGTGCAATGTATACGACACTAGTCAATGTGCTCCACTATCTCGCTCTGCTCGATAGTGACAACAACAATAATAATAACAGTAATAATAATAAGATATTTAGTCGTCTTCGTCGAACTTTGGAGCCAAATAAAATCTCAAATAACCACCCACATCCAATTTGAATTCAAACAAAGCAGGAGCCTTATCTGCCAATTTTATAGTTATTGAGTTTGATAAACTAGATGCCTTTATTATATCGCCCAAATACTTTAAACCAAATGTCAAGTCAACAGGATTGTCCAAGTGAACGCTTACACTTTCTTCAGGCTTATCCATGTCGGTGTATGGTTTTAATACAACACTACCACTACCTTTCTCACCTTCACTTGTGAATTTCACCGAGTCCTTAGTGACCACGATATTCAAAGATTCACTCAAATTTCTCAAATCTCTAACAATTTTCGAGAATTCCGTGCTTGGCATATTTATAACGCAATCATAGTCCATATCGTCGATTTTTAAAAATTCCGAGTCAATGTTCATTAACTTCAAGCTATATTCACTAACCCTTTCCTTTTTTTTGTCCTCGAAAATGGTCATAACACTATCAGGACTATCTTCAGCCAATAATGTTAAGTAGTCTTCATTTTGACCACATTTGATGATTTTGGCGAAACTGTCTAAATCGATCCCCAAAGTGACATCTCTATCACATCGGTATTCACTAAAGGCAGTCTGGCCCACTAATAATGATACCAACAAGACACGCGAATCATCAACAGCTTGCACAGTTATACCATGTTCGGTACAATTGAAATTACAGACTTTAACGGAGTCCTTCACCGCATCAACGATTTTCTTCAATAGCGTGGATTCATCGAATTTTCCTTCCAACATTGGGGGCTCTTTTGGTTAACTCTTGCTTGGCTGGGGTGAGAAAAGAAAAGCTAAGTTCAATTGGCTAAACAAGATTGAATGTTGAAAGGTGAAGGGTAAAAGTTGAAATGAAAAATTTTGTGCGTTGGAAAAAAAAAAATAAAAAAAAAAAAAAAAAAAAAGACGCGTCAGACGCGTCACGTGAAGCGACACTACAGAGCAAAGGGAGATGGTGGAGCTGCACTTAGTAGCGACATTAAGCCCCTTGTAAAGGGAGAAGATACATTTGAATTGTGTATAGAGCTGTACTTAGTAGCGACATTAAGCCCCTTGTTAAGGGAGAATGTAAAACATTGAAAAGGAGTTTGTCTATATGGGTAAGAAGATGCACATTTGAATTGTGTATAGAGCTGCTACCAAATGGTCCCCCTTGTTGATATGATGGAAAGTAGATTAAGTCGAGGTTAGTGGAGGCAAAAAGGCAATACGAGTGTGTGATTTGTCACTCAACGGGAGTATTAGTCGATAAGCGTCGTGCGTACTCAAATAATACTGATATAGCCTTTTCGTACGAAGAAAGCCAAAACTTTCATATAGTTTCAATGCGCCATTATTGGTTACTTCAGTTTCCAACATTATTTCATCTACATTGTTCTCTTGCATCTTTTCTATTGTAATTTTCACCAAACGAGTCGCAAGTCCCATTTTCCTGTATTCGGGGTCAATTACCAACATACCAATGTAACCTCTTGTTCTCACATCACGATGGGTTTCAACTTTTGAGATTATCACACCAACAATGCATGACTCTTTTGTCACTACAAAGCTATATTCTGGCCAGTTATTTAGGAAATACCAATAGACATAGATTGAGTATGGCTCCGAGAGATGCTGTGATATGAGACAAAAGATTTGCTTAAACTCTTTTTGATTTTTGATATCAAATTGGCGGAATGAAAATTCGCCTAGTAAATTTTTAACCATTATCGACACTATCAACACTATCGACACTATCGACACTATCAACACTATCGAGCAGAGCGAGATAGTGTAGCAACACTCAGTAGCTTGTAGCTTGTTACTACACTTTCTAGCTTGTAGCTTGTTACTACACTTTCTAGCTTGTAGCTTGTTACAACACTTTCTAGCTTGTAGCTTGTTACTACACTTTCTAGCTTGTAGCTTGTTACTACACTATTGGGTAATGAATGGAACTCAAACGCTGAAATTGGATATGTAGAAATAAATTGATGATGTTTTTTTTCCAAGTTTTGCGCCGCATGTATTTCCATACAAAGAAGGTTATCACCTTCTGTGCCTCATAGATGATGTGTCAGGGACGTGATCTAAAGATAGCACGTTCAACTTGATGCAAGGACACGTAGGAGTGAGATGTAGGAGTAAGATGTAGGAGTGAGATGTAGAAGTGAGTTAGAGAGAGTTGTAGAAGCCACATAGAAGCTTACTTTTAATTTTCAAGTTTCACAGGATATTGGTATGTAATTTAGTCAAAATCGCTAAACAGTCTACCAAAGAGTTCAATCTGGATAGAAAATCTCAATAAAATCTCAATAAAATCTGAATAATCTAGCAACAAGATTACAGATGGTTTGATTACTTTAAAAAAAATAACATTAATTATTCCCCATACTTTGGGTTTGTTTGTGCACCACTAGGGAGCGAAGCGGGTGCACCACTAGGGATCGAAGCGAGCTAGCGAGTGCACACTATCGAGTGCACACTATCGAGTGCACACTATCGAGTGCGACACTATCTCGCTTCGCTCCCTAGTGTCGCCCTCCCTAGTGTCTATTACGGATCACAGTGAAATTAACTTTTCACTCTATGCAGGTCAATTAAAATCAAAGCAATCTTATTTGATATTCAATCTCATTTTGATATCCACGTAATCCACCAAAACTTACTCATGTCAGGAGGTCACTTCTATATAACCTCCTAACTATTGCCTTTTACGGATGGTTGAAATCCATTAATCCATTAAAAAAAAGGTTCAATAGAAAAAATGTAAAACCCGCACGACTCTATATGGCCCACTTTGTAATTATTGCTCTCATACTCATTCATTAATAAAAAAACAAAAAACAAAAAAACTGCCCATGTTTAACATTGACACTCGCTGACTCGCAACTCGCAATTCGCACGCACTGGAGTGCTGTGACTGGGCTTTGCTGACTTCATGGAAAATATGGTATCGGATACACGTACATTCCAGCTTTTTTTTTTTTTCTTTTCTTTATGACTCTCGGTTCCATACTGTACGTGGTAAATAGATTTTTCTTTCTTTTCTTTTCTTTTTTTTTTCCCAGTTAAAGCATTTTGGCCCCCTCTCCTCCCGCCCCGGGTCTCTCCCGCTCGCGGTGATATAAATAGACGTCCACTTCTTCCATCTCTCTCCAACTCCTCTTGTTATTTACTGACTTTGCATTTTTTTTCCTCTTTGGCAAATTAATTTATAGTAGTAACAAATTAGAATTTTTCAATTGCAATAATGGCTCCTCCAGCAGTATTAAAAAAGACCGGTGTTGTTTATGGTCAAGATGTTAAGGACTTATTTGACTATGCACAAGAAAAAGGATTTGCTATTCCAGCTATTAACGTTACTTCCTCATCTACTGTTGTCGCAGCTTTAGAAGCCGCAAGGGATAACAAATCACCAATCATTTTGCAAACTTCTCAAGGTGGTGCCGCTTATTTTGCAGGTAAAGGTGTCAATAACAAGAACCAAGAAGCTTCTATTGCTGGTTCGATTGCTGCTGCTCACTATATCAGATCAATTGCTCCCACATATGGTATCCCAGTCGTTTTGCACACCGACCACTGTGCTAAAAAATTATTACCATGGTTCGACGGTATGTTGAAGGCCGATGAAGAGTTTTTCGCCCAAAATGGTATTCCATTATTTTCATCCCACATGTTGGACCTCTCAGAGGAAAGCGACGAGGAAAATATTGGTACTTGTGCTAAATACTTTGAAAGAATGGCCAAGATGAACCAATGGTTGGAAATGGAAATTGGTATTACCGGTGGTGAAGAAGACGGTGTCAACAATGAACACGTGCAAAAGGAATCCTTGTACACTTTGCCAGAAACAGTTTTCAAAGTTTATGAAACGTTATCCAAGATTGCTCCAAATTTCTCCATTGCTGCTGCTTTTGGTAACGTTCATGGTGTTTACAAACCAGGTAACGTTCAATTGAAACCAGAAATCTTGGGTGACCACCAAGAATACGCTAAAAAACAACTTGGAACTAGTGCTAAACACCCATTATACTTGGTTTTCCACGGTGGTTCTGGTTCAACACAACATGAATTTGATGTTGCCATCAAGAATGGTGTGGTTAAGGTCAACTTGGATACCGATTGTCAATACGCTTACTTGACCGGTATCAGAGACTATATCGTGAAAAACATTGAATATTTGAAAACACCAGTTGGTAACCCAGACGGTGACGACAAACCAAACAAGAAATACTTTGACCCAAGAGTCTGGGTTAGAGCCGGTGAAGTCACCATGTCCAAGAGAATCGAAGAAGCTTTGGAAATTTTCCACACTAAGAACCAGTTAGCATAAATAGTGTATAATAAGACAAGTGAAATCACAAGTATATAACAAGAGAAGTGAAACTATAAGTATATATAATATATCAACCCCCTTTACCTCTTTCAATATACCCAATGTCTAGTCTATTTATCGCGATGACCTTTTATTCATCAATGATTGTACTTTTATATACTCCGGCATGGTGCTATAAGGATCTAGTCTTTGCGATTGGATTCTTTGCCCAACTATTTGGTTAGCTTTGACATATTTGGAAACACACCTGTCTATACACTCCAGTTCTCCCTTGGACAACTCACCTTCGCCATATTCGTGTACTAAACATTTCATCTCACATCTCCGTAGCACCTTGTTAAATGTATGTGCTAATGCTTGAAACTGGATATCCGCCAACTTTACCTTCTCAGGATCAACTCTGGCATACGAATACTGTGTGCTTGACCCTATGAACAAGGACATGGCTCAAATCTCAGGTGGATCGTGCTCAAGACAAGAAGATGATCTTACCCACTAGGTTTTTTTTTTTTTATAGTGGTGAAATTTTTCAATCAAAAATTGTTTTCTTTTTTTTTCCACCAAGAGAAAGAAAGGAAAAGGAATTGATATGGAAAGTAATTTGGTTAGGTAGTATTAGCAGCAGCAGTAGCCACTAGGAGAAGTACCAGCAGCAGTAGCCACTAGGAGAAGTACCAGCAGCAGCACAAGAGAAGCAGTAGTACCAGCAGCAGCCACCAGGAGAAGTACCAGCAGCAGCACAAGAGAAACAGTAGTACCAGCAGCAGCCACCAGAAGAAGTACCAGCAGCAGCATGCATGTCCTATTGACTAATGATGATGGTCCGATAAATGATCATTCGTGTCCATATATGAAATATTTTGTAGACGAGATCTTAGAGTCAACAGATTGGGATCTCTCTATAGTTATCCCAGATCAACAACGATCTTGGATTGGAAAAGCGCATTTTGCCGGGAAAACCTTAGTTGCCACTTATATATACACGAAATGTTCTACAACCTCCCCAAACACAAATATAAACTCGTTTGAAGGCCCTTTCAATCACCCTGTGGCGAAATATTCAAGTAATAAACAATACCAGGAATGGTGCTTGATAAATAGTACACCTGCGGCATGTGCCGATATAGGGATCCATCATTTGTATAGACACTCAAAAAACAAGCCAATTGACTTGGTCATAAGCGGGCCCAATTTCGGGAAAAACTCAAGCAATTTATACATCTTGGCTAGCGGTACCGTAGGCGCCGCTATGGAGGCTGTTACTCATGGGGTAAAGTCCATTGCCTTGAGTTATGCCTTTAGTAACTTGAATCATGATTTTGGCATTTTGAAAGAAGCTGCGAAAATATCTGTTAAATTGATAACAAAGCTATATTCCCAACTCCAACTGAGTCCCGAAATTGATCTATTTTCTGTTAATGTTCCTTTGGCAGAATCTTTGAAGCTTGGAAAGACAAGAATCCATTACGCGCCTGTTTTCCAAAACAGGTGGGCGTCTATATATGCGCCCGCACAGCATCCTAATGATAAGGGCCAATTGCAGTTCAATTGGGCTCCCGACTTTAAGCAGGTGTACAAGGATGGGTTGCGTGACCACGCTCACACCGATAGCAGGGTGCTACTCAACGAAGAGATCAGCGTTACCCCTATGAAAGCTGCGTTTAAAACAATTGATACAATATTTGGCGAAATTCACCTTCTGCCCCTGAACGATTCAGAGCTCGAAGAATCAGAAACAAAGACAAAGACAAATACTTTTTTGATTACCATTCCCAAAGAGTCCTATTTGTATAAGCCATTGGTGGAACCGTTTACAAAACTCAACTATAAAATCACTACCGATTCTCAAGAAATCCATCACTCCAAGAATGCAATTTTTCACTATGGTGAATACGAAGATATTGATATTGATTCCATTGGTAACGGCAATTATTTCATACCATCCTATATTTATCGTAAAGCACTTATTAGAAAGCATTATCTTGCAAATACAATTCACCATTATGTTGCAAAGAATCCGAAATCAATCTTATCGAGGGCATTTCCTGAAAATTACCAACTTGAACTTGACTATGCAGAATTTTTGGATGACTCCTTGGATGAAGCTTATGAGTTGAGAGATGCAATTAACAAAGGTGACAGTCTATGGATAGTGAAACCTAGCATGAGTGATAAAGGTCAAGGAATCGGTATCATCAGGACTATTGACCAGCTTCAAACTTTTTTTGACTCTTTTGACAATGATGATGAGGAAGGAGAAGAAGGAGAAGGAGAAGAAGAAGAAGAAGAAGAAGAAGAAGAAGAAGAAGAGGAGGAGGAGGAGGAGGAGGAGGAGGAG